TGGGGGTGGTGGAGGGGGAGGAGTTGTCAGCGCTGCTGGTAGTGGTGGATTCGTAGGCTTCGGGGTCCAGGGCTCGCAGGAGAAGAGGAATGGTGGAGGGGTGGGTGATGTCGGCTTTGAGGGTCGTGATGCCCTCCAGGGGAGCCATGGGCTGCAGATCGATCGAGACGATCTTGACGTTCTTGCGCGGCTTCAGCTCCTCTGCCTCCGATGTCGTCTCATCCTCGTTCGCGGATTGTGACTCGGTGCTGCTTCCATCGCTCTGGACCCGTTCGAGGGCCTCCTTCTCCCGGCGTTTTTTCTCAACCCAAGCGCGGCGCCCAAAACTCTCGCCCTTGATCAGTACGCGACTCAGGACCTGACTCCAGCTGCCGGGGGCAGCGCACAGATCGACGACGCGGGTCACCTTTTCCGGGTTCTCGTGCTCGAATAGGTCGAATTGCTCGTCAATCTGGATCAGCTTGAAGGCGGAGCGGGCGCGCCAATTCTGCTCCTTTGCCAGGCGGTAGTAGGCGTCGCGCTTGTCCTTGGAGGATTTACCCATACTGAGTCAGACCGTGAACAATGCGATTGAAGGTAAAGGTTGGGGAGTGCAAGTCAGATCCAAGCAGGCAAATGGAGGGGGAAATGGGCGGAATTTCTTTCGGTCTTTGCGTGTGGGGCGGCGATAAGATTCGCAAGGCGGCCCTTTTCTGCCGCTTTTTTTTCTTTCCCGCAGGTTTCGCAGGCCCGCTCCCCTGCCTATCCATCTTCCTTTCCATTAACTTGTTTTTTTGCTATTCACTTGTCGCGGAGGCGATTGTCCGTCTGAGAATTCCCAGTCGCCGTGTGTCATTATGGGTCAAAAGCGGCAGCGCGATGCCAAGGGCGCAGATGTCCAGACGAAGAAGCAGAAGAAGAGCGCCAATGCTGACGTTATTACTGTGAACGATCTCAACTGGAAGGAGGTTGCGCTCCCCGATCGTATGGAGGATGCAGGAGGCTTTTTCGGACTAGAGGAGATTGACGGGGTGGACGTTATCAAGGCCAGCGGTGAAATTAGGTTCAAGGTATGACTTTGAGCTTCTATTTAGCTGTAGACAATGAAATTGACGTTCGCAGGCTGCCGCTGGCAAACCACAAAAGTCAATTCTGAAGAAGAAGACCGCGGAAGAGCAAGAGGAGGAAGCGAAATTTGACGACGAATGGGCTGGAATCAGCGATAACGAGACCTCGGAGAAGGAGAAGACGGAAGCACCAACTACGGAAGAACAAAATGAAGACCAGGAAGAGGCTACCAAGTCCCCTGTGACGGACAAGCAGCAAGAAGCCAAGGATAGGAGGAAGGAGAAGAGGGACAAGAAGCGGCAGGAAGCCAAGGAAGCAAGAAAACAGAAAGTCGAGCAGAGCAAGAAGGGAACCCCGAATCAAGAGGACAAGAGCATCAAGTCTGGTCTTTCTTTCGCCGCTCTCGAGGACGAGGAGGAGGATAATGGCGTGGATATTTCTGAGTGGGAGTCACTGGGACTCTCTCCGGAAGTGCTTACCGGTCTTTCGAAGCTGAAGTTCTCTACCCCCACTCTGGTCCAGAAGTCCTGCATTCCTCCCATCCTCGACGGCCATGACGTGGTAGGAAAGGCATCAACGGGTTCCGGAAAGACCTTGGCCTTCGGTATTCCGATCCTGGAACACTACCTGGAGATCAAGCGCACGCAACTGCGCAATGGCACTCAGAAGAAGAAGGAAGACACGGAACCCATTGCCCTAATCCTTTCGCCCACTCGCGAACTCGCACATCAATTGGCCAAGCATATTGGTGACTTGGTACAGCAGTCGCCAGGCGCCAATGCACGCATCGCCCTCCTCACTGGAGGTCTGTCCTTGCAGAAACAGCAGCGCTTGTTGGCTAGTGCGGATATTGTGGTCGGAACGCCGGGTCGAGTTTGGGAGGTTATGAGCACGGGTCAGGGTGTGATTCGCAAGATGCAAGGTATCAAGTTCCTTGTCATCGATGAGGCGGATAGATTGCTCAGCGAAGGACACTTCAAAGAAGCAAACGAGATCATCACTACCCTTGACCGTATAGTGGATGGAGACTTCCAGTACGAAGAGAAAGAAGCGACCGAGGAGGAGGAGAAGAAGAACGAGAGGCAGACACTGGTCTTCTCTGCTACCTTCCACCGTGACTTGCAGCAGAAGCTTGCCGGCAAGGGTCGCTGGACGAGCGGTGATATCATGGACAAGAAAGAGTCGATGGAATACCTTCTGCAAAAGCTGAACTTCCGGGAAGAAAAGCCCAAGTTTATTGATGTCAACCCTGTCTCGCAGATGGCGGAGGGATTGAAAGAAGGCATTGTCGAATGTGCGGCGATGGAAAAGGTAAGCCTACGATTATCCTACCGCCAAATCGTCACCCTTGCTAACCAAACGACCGCAGGACCTCTTCCTTTACACGCTACTTCTCTACCACCCCAAGCACCGCACCCTCGTCTTCACCAACTCCATCTCGGCCGTCCGCCGTCTTACACAGTTCCTTCAGAACCTCCAACTCCCGGCGCTGGCCCTCCACTCTTCGATGGCGCAGAAGGCCCGTCTGCGCTCCGTCGAACGCTTCTCATCCCCCACCTCCGACCCCAGTTCGATTCTCGTTGCCACCGACGTGGCGGCGCGTGGTCTCGACATCAAGGGCATCGACTTCGTCATCCACTACCATGCGCCCCGTACCGCTGACACCTACGTGCACCGATCCGGCCGTACGGCCCGTGCCGGCGCCTCGGGCAAGAGCGTGCTCATCTGCTCCCCCGAGGAGATGCAGGGCGTCATCCGCCTGGCGGCCAAGGTGCACGCCAACATGGCGAACCGCAAGAAGGTGCCGCTCGAATCCCTCGAACTGGACCGCCGGGTCGTGGGTCGCGTCAAGCCCCGCGTCAAGCTGGCGGCGAAGATCGCCGATTCATCCATCGCCAAGGAGAAGATCTCCGCGGAGGACAACTGGCTCCGCAACGCCGCAGAAGACCTGGGCGTCGACTACGACAGTGAAGAGTTCGACGAGTCGGCGGGCCGCGGTCGCGGTCGCGGTAAAGGCCGTCAGGAGCGGCAGCGCAAGGCTGGTGAGACCAGCAAGGGCGAGATGGCCAGCATGAGGGCGGAGTTGAAGCAGCTGCTGTCGCAGCGGGTGAATGTGGGTGTGAGTGAGCGGTATCTCACCTCGGGACGGGTGGACATCGAAGCGCTGCTGCGTGGCGAGGGCAACAGTTCGTTCTTGGGGCAGGTGGACGCGTTGGAGTTCTAATCATGGGGAAGATGAAGAGGAGAAGCAACTCTACTTGATGCATGTATATACCTAGTAGACATTGTACAGTTTCGTTAACATACATGCTTGTTCCATGTCATTGCCTTGATATAGTAGCCTTCTTGGTCGCGGGGGAGTCAGGTACAAATTGTGTGGAATGAGTCCGCATGGAAACAGCGCATGCATTGCAGAGAACTATTGATACACGAGAGCCAGATGGGTAACTCCTCTCTCTCTGAATGAGTTGTTACGCCAACCTCCACCTATTTTGCCCCTTGTGTGATCAGATTCAACTCTAGAAGCTCATCCCACTTGTCGCGACACATTTCCATTTCAAAGCGCAAAAGATCAATGCTCCCCAGCATACCGCAAAGGATTCATTCCAGCCCCAGCCACAGGTTTCTGCGGCAAAACAGACACCATGTCGACAACCGGCAACAAACGAAGCCTTTCTTAGACGCCCTTAGAAACGCAACATCAGGAACTGCACGAGGACCCGACAGATGTTCCGGAACATGAGCTTTGGATTTGCAGCTAGCGTGCTGGGTGCTATTGGGGCTGTTTTGACCTTAGTACCATGGGCTTTGAACCTCAAATATGACAACTAAGCAGGCATAGATCGGAGATTATGGACCAATGGGAGAAATGGTCAGAAGACACGAGATCTATATCGTGCGCGTGGAAATGGGATAGCAAGAAGATGAATGAGAACTGGAGGGAGCTATGGAGGGAAATGGCACTATAGCAAGAAGCAACTGGATCCGCTCCACTACCACATACCACCAGCGCACTGAAAGTCTTCATCATGCACCCCACCGAGGACAACCTATGTGTAGCCAGGTATCCGTAGCATGACTCTTCTAAAGTACTGCTATCTCCAATCCAAGTTCCGTTTTCTAGATGCTAGATAAAGTCATGCGTGGTCAAGTAATTTTGGAGGCTCATTGTACAGATATTTTCGAAATAGACCATACGTGATGGAGTGTCTCCCTGTCTGAGATACAAACAGAGTATCAGGTCTCCACACAAGGCCCGAAAACAAAGACCCTTTCGCCTATAACATCTCATTCAAGACAAGCTATGAACCGCCTTCATCCTGCTTATAATTCAACTTGCCAGCTTTATCATCAAAGTCCAAGTCCCTGAGCAGGTATAGTCCACATCAAAATTGAGATGACCTCATCCACACACCAAGTATAAGTATCCCGCCCGATCTCGAAGCCGAGCCGAGAAGCGCCCCACCCGGGACTCTGGCGCGGAACACCCGCCCACGTAGGGGTCTCATTGGACGGATTGCACCCGATGCACCGGGTCCATGGATCCCACGTGGGCTTACCGAGATAGGAAGTATGATCCACTCCGTTGGGATGCGCCAGGCTTTTTCAATTTTTTTCTTTTTTCTTCTCGAACCTGGATAGAGTCATTTCAACCCGAAAGCTATAATCCTGCCAGAGAAGATCACGCAATTGTATTAACGGTAAGCAAGCCGTCGCACATCCCAATGGCATCATCAGCACATTCCCAGATCCATCAACACAGTCAACCCCCGTACGACAATCACATCACATCAGCGCAATCGCAAATCGATAAGACCCTAACTGACGACCCCAACCCAGAGTCATCGCAGTCAACACCAGGAGTCACCACCTGCACCTAAACCAGTTGCTATAAATCCAGCCTCGCAAGCAACAAGTATCAAATCCTATCCAGAACCTCAGCACAACGCAAAATGTCGCACCTCCGGCCCCTCAGACCCCTAACCCGCCTCCTCGCGCGCCCTCACCACCAACCCAACCACCTACCAACCCTCACAACCCCCACCACCTCCTCCCCTATCCCAAATCACCAAACGCGGACCCTCCGCTCCGCAACCCCCACCTCCGCCACAGCAACAACCACCACCACCACAACAACCCCAACCACCCCCCTCCCCACCGAAGCATACCCCGTGCCGCCGCACCCCGAACACCCCGAAGTACCCAAAGCCGAAACCCAGCTCACCACGCACCCGCTCCTGCGCACCCTCCGCCAGGACAAAAGCTACACCGAGACCCGGCCGCACCTGTCCATGATCCCCACGCACCGCGCCTCGCACTTCGTCGCAGGCACCCTCTCCGGCGCCCACAAGGTCACCGTCCCGCCGTACGTATTCACGCGGAGCAAACCCGCCACCCAACAGCAAACCCAATCCCAGCAAAGCACCCCGCCAACCCCACAGAACCAACCACCATCGCTCGCGCAAACCATCTCCCTCTTCCATCTGGGCACCACCCTCAACGGCCACCCGGGGTACGTGCACGGCGGCCTGCTGAGCGTGATGTTCGACGAGACGTTCGCGCGCTGCGTGGCGGCCTCCTTCCCCAGCGGCGTGGGCATGACGGCCAATCTGAGCGTGGACTTCCGGAAGCCCGCGCGGCCGGACCGGGTGTATGTGCTGCGCGCGGAGACGGTGCGGGTCGAGGGCCGGAAGGCGTGGGTCGAGGGATCGTTGACTTCGCTCCCGCCACGCAGTGCATCTGGGGAGGTGGTGGTGGAGGGGGCGGAAGACGAAGAAGGGACGATGGTGGCTGAGGCGCGGGCGTTGTTTGTTGAGCCGAAGTTTGCGGAGGTAAGTTCCCTCTTGTCTTTTTCTTTCTACGGATGGGAATGCTCGGAGATTTGGGGTAGTAGCTGACTGGGATTCGATATAGTCTATGGTGCCCTTGTATCGGAATTGATGGGGTGGAGATTGTGGTGAGTTGCAGTAGGGAGCGAGTATAGTGAAGAGAAGCACAGTGCGGTGAGGAGTACCGTGAGGAGTGCATATAATACCCGGTGTTATCTTTCATTCTGAGAATAGATATACACCAAACATAGATATAGACCGAGATAGACATAGACACAGACACAGACACAGACCGATTGATTAAACAAACAACTTTTACACGGTCATCTCACCATCGCCATATTTGCATTTCTATCTAAATTCAACCAATACGGAGAAGGTCCCGCCTGGAAACTCCTTTTCCCCTTCAAAATACACATGAGAATCAACTCACACCCTGAAATGCCCACCCGAAAACCGAAGAAAAAAAGAAAAAGAAATAACACACACGAATGCGATTGGTCCTAATCATTTTCCATCAACAAGCCACTTTACCTTGAGGCTCCCTCACCACTCTTCTACGACAGATGGAATGCACCCTGGCCCTCCTTGATGGCAACAGACAGTCGCTCGCGAAGGGTGTCCAAGCTGCTGTAGTCGGGAAGCTTCAGGTAGTTGACACAGGTCATGACACTAGGCAAGTAGTCGTCGGGGGTATATGGCGGCTCGCTGGGCCGACAGACCACCGTGAAGATCGGAGTGAGACTCTTGAAGCCTGTACAGTCTATGTTAGCAGTTGACCTTAACCGAACAACTAGAATCACTTACCGCCAATCGGCAGCTTGGGACTGCCGGTCACAAACTGCAAGAAGTCTCGTCGTTGTTGTGCATTCAGCTCGCTCATCGTCTGAAGCAAGTTCCGCACGCTCCGGCTGTCCATGTTGAAGCCATGGTCAGCTTTGATGGAGTCCATCAGGGCTAGAACCGAGGTTAGCGGGGTGCTCTGACACATTCTTGGGGAAACACCTACTCTCAATAGTCCAATCCTCCTCGGCGCGGCCGAATAGCATAACCAGTTCGTTAGGAGTGAAGGTTCGCAGAGCCGAGTAAGGGAAAACCTGGGAAAAGCCCGCTCGGAAGGCTTCTAATTGACGCTGGACTCCATTGCCCAAGGTCATATCCACCACTCTGTCCACATACAGATCTACGTTGTCGATCATCACGGGGATGTTCGAACCATCCTTGATCAACTCAATAGCTGGATATCCAGGTAGTGTGAAATCCAAGCTTAGATCCTCGACCTTGACCCCATTAATTTCAACGGCTTGGAGAGCCTGAGCTTTCTGAGCTACAGACAGCCCTCTGTCCTCTTCGATGGCCTTCTTCGCAGTGGCGTAGCGCTTCAGCAACGTCAACGAATTCGCCAGATCCTGGTCAACAGCCTTCACGGTGCCAAGCGACGGCGCAACAAAGGTTGAGCTGTCAGCAATGCGGAAGAAGGCTGGGTTGAACGAGATGTCGATGATTCGAGAGTCGAGCATTGACCGGGCAACAAACTTTCCGAGAATCTTGAACAAGTGCAGTTGCTTCTTACCGGCTTCCGATGCAGCCTGTGCCTCACTCATGGGCGCAGGGAACAGACCGCGCTTGCCAAACGCGTACTCTTCGCCATTGGCGCAATCGTTCTCCCTCCAGATCTTCAGCTTCTTCTTCGAAAACTCCTTCGAGACGGTGGAGTAGAACTCAAGAGTAGGGCCTAACCCGGTACCGACTTCCTCAAAGTATTCAACCTCCAGCACGCTCGGAGAAGACCCATAGAGCTCCATCACTTTGATGGCAGACTCCAAGATACGGCTTCTTGAGATCCTCACCTTCTGCCGCTGCAAGCGACCGAGGATAGGTCGGTCATCGCGCCGACTGTCATTGCGGCTGTCATCGCCGTTCTGGGAACTATGCCACCTCATCATCGCGCGCGAATAGCCGAACGCAGTTGACTGGAGGAACAAGTGTCGCGTCTCAAACGGAAACAAGAATGGGAAGAGGCGGGCAAGATCCTCGCTCCAGCTAGGGAGACAGCTACTCGCCACGATGAGAGGCTCTTCCAATTGTCGGTTGAGCTTGGCAGTCAGCTTAGTGTTGATGAATTGGGCCAATGGCTCCGGCTTCAGTGCGACAAGCTCTTTAGTCTCCGCAATTATATCGTCGAGAGTGGCATTCATCTCGTGCAAGACACGGAGAAGCTGGAGGATCACCGCGGTCGTGGGACCTTGACTGAGAGAAGCCGGCATCTCTTCACCCTCGGGCTTGGCAGAGACAGAGCCTCCCTGAGTGATAGATGAGGGTTCAGGAGGAGGGGGCCCTGGGACACGCCGGAATTTGACTGTGTGCACTGCCGACCAAACGTTCTTCACGCTTGGGTCAACATGCTGACGATTGTGATGCACTGCACGGTAGATGGTGGTATCACTAGACACTGGGTGGTCGTCAATGCTAAACTCGATGTGCCAGTCTGAAGGGATTGAGGCCATGGCAGCCGCATAAGACGAGAACGGTCGACCTGCCGTTGCCAAGGAGCTACCAGATGAGGGGTTCGGGCCGGCGCTCGGTGCAGATGTCGTTGACTTGGAAGCGGGCGTCTGCAATGGTGTAGCTACACGGGTGCCATCTTCTTTGCGAGCAGTCACCTTGCCGGAAGATGCAACCTCCATGTTGACAGCAGTAGGGTCTTGGGCATTGTCGTCCGAAAGGTCTTCATCGAGATCATCCACAATGGCGTTCAACTCCTCGTCGTCGCCTTCATCATCATGATCTTCGTCATCGCTCATTTGCCGTTCGTCTGCGCATTCGAGCGGCTCATTGTCATGTTCACTTTCGGCAGCGGCTTCGTGACGTCTTGATCGTCTCAGTCCTGTCTCAGACTCGTCGCCACCGGCAGGAGTTTCTCCGGGCTTAGCCGGGTTATTCGTCGTGCTCGAAGTTCGTGGCAGCTGAGGGCTACCGCTGCTAAAGCGCTCTGCATCAGCTATTTGCTCACGAAGCCGGGCTGCATTTGCATTTGCAAGTTGGGCAAGGATCGAGTCGTGATTACGCGCTGGCCTTGGCCTATCAGACAGACTAATTCTCGGATGCAAGAAATCGTCCAAGGCCTTGAAAGTCGCGATGGCATGAATCGATACCATGATGTTGCGATAGGTTCTGGGGATGTCGGAATCCTCATCTGCCACAAGCTTCAATCGGAGTTGCTTCCCAAGCATGTAGGCGGCATTGCTACGTGTATTCTCCAATGAGTTGTGACTGACGGTGGTGACCTCAAAATGCTCAGTCCTGCTGAGCAAATCCTGCAATTTCTGAATGAGCACACTAAAGGGGGTAGTTGCAGTACTCTGGCTTTGGGCCTTTTCGGATATGGTCGACCCCATGAATGCTTGCAAAAAGGCGGCACGAGCTTCGCGCATAGACGTTGCTAGATACAGTTAGCACATATCAGCAAGGTAAAGATAGGCCTCTTACTTTGAAAATCCCCAAAGACCTTGAGAAGAACTGTGATGATGCCAGAGTTCAACAGCTCTGAGCTAGTGATGCTCTCCAGTGCATCGCCGTCAAAGTAAGTTGCCAACTTCTTGAAGAGGGAAAGTCCGTCGTCAGTCTCATCGCCCGAGTAGCACGCCTCGAGATCGGAAGCAAGAGTTTGCAATTCTTTAAGAATCTCCAAGGCCTTATCTCGCATGTCATTGCCTTGACTAGCTTCGTACTGACTGACAAAGCCCTGGGCGTTGCGAATTACGAGATCCTTCAATGCATTGGCGATCTTGTTAGCAACGAGTTGGCCTGAGGCTGACGATGAGCTTTCGGAAATGTCATCGTTATCTTCGTCCTCCGGCTCATCATAGTCATCTTCTGCTTCATCGTCGTCGTGCCCATCCTCGTCGTCTGAGCCCAAGACGGAACTATCCTTGGCGGGGGCTTCCGCAGCGGGTTTCTCTTCCTTAGCGGTGTCCTTCGTGGTGGTATCGCCAGTCTGCTTTTCCAGCTTGTTTGTCGACAACGGCTGCTGAGCAAGCTTGAAGATCTCGGAGATGACGCCTTCACGATGGAATTGATGCCGATAGACATGTTCCAGGCGCAAGAACAGGAGTTCTGCGCAACGAATAGCGTGAGACACCAGCGTGGGGTGATCGTTCTGGGAGAGGATCGCTGCTAGGAAAGATGCGTAAGGGACCGATTTCAGAGCATCTTCAATCAAACCGACGTCCAAATTGTGAAGCATCTTGAGTTGAGCGGTGAGAACCTTCTGGCGAACCTCCAGATTGACAGTGCTGGAGTAAGCATCGGTCAAAGTCGGCAGCAGTATCATGGCAAACCGCTTGAGTTCCGTTTTACATTCCAACAGCAATTCGCGCCGTCTCTCGGCCGTCTCTTGCGCCTTAGGATGCTTGGAAATGCCACTGGGCCCGATCAAACCTTCGAGTTGTGGGACATGCCGGCTCGGGACGCTAGGCAACAGCTCACAGATGACATCAAGAGTCTCAAAAACCTGTTCCTTGGGACGGTGGATCAATGCTTGCATGACCAATACGCTGTCCATCTTCATAGCCGTATCGTCCAAGTTGGCCGGAGGCGACACCCCCGTCAGGATCTGGTATAAAGTGTCGACCACGTCCATTTTGAGCAGCTCCACGGACAATTTAGGGCTGGCTCTGGAGATGATCGCGAGTACACGCAAGAACTGAGTGTGAATATGCGACCCGATGAGGTTGGTGGTTCCGGGCAGAAGCAATCGAAGTACAGCTTTCAGCATGGCGGGTTCAATCAGCTCCTCCAACTTCTCCGGCTTGTGTTTATAGCTCTCAACGATCCGCGAAACACAAAGGCACGCCTGTTCAACCACTTTGGGATCGTTGCTGGAGAGCACGTTGAGCAGGGTCGGCATCACATCACGAACAACTGGAAATGAGTCGTGGGGCAAGTTGCGGCAGCAGTTGGCAGCAGTTGTCACGGCCGTGCGCTGCGTGCTGGTAGGAAAGAAGTCGAGGTAAGTCAGACAGGCTGTCAAACCACCTTCCCGCACGATCGAGGCAGGGAAATCGACCGAAATTTTGGCTAAAGTCTGTCATAGCTAGTGAGCACGCATGTGTGAAGAACGTGCAGAGCATGACTTACGCTGAGAGCTTGCTCGGCCAGGTCAATGAATTGGATGTCCAGTAGTTTCTGGCACAAAACCGGAACAGCTCCACCATATACAACATTGGCCACTGAGCCACGAAGGGCCTCCATCAGATTGGCCAGGCAGCGACACGCAAGGAGCATGATCTCTGGGTTCTCCTCGCCAAAGTCGTTTGGTTGCATCAGGGCCACTAATTCCTTCACATATGGGTCCGGAGAGAACTGGCCTGACAGATTATCCTCGTTGGAGACTAGTAGTAGCTCCGAGAGCTCTTGAAGAGCTATCAGTTGAATGGACGGGTCATCTTTCATCCTCAAGTTGTTCAGAATATCGCGCAAGCGCGAGGACATGCCCGACATCATGCCGCTTAGAGCCCGTAGGGTACTCTGAAGGCCTAGGTGGCCTCGAGCCCCGAACAAACTGTTGTGGAAGAGGTCCGCATCATCATCATCATCATCGTCGTCATCGTCGCCGTCGTCGTCGTCGTCGTCCAAGGTCGACGGAATGGTGCCTTCATGGTTATCACTTGGCGGCGACGATTCGTGCTCTTCAATGTGGTCCTGCTCCTCCAATTCCTCTTCCGCCTCTCTCATCAGCACATCGGGATCGATCTTGGAAGGACGCTTCTTTTGCCGGCGCGCTGGAGACTGGGTGGTCGAGCTACGCTCTGTAGCATAGTGTCAGTTCTCATCCACCACTTTTCCTCAACTTGAGGTTTCTGCTCTTACCTTCCGACCTTCCGCTCTTATTAGACTTCCGCCGAGATGTTGGAGGCGAGACTTGAGTCTTGGTCGAATCCTCCGTGGGCCGCGAGGATGAACTACAGAGTTCGCAGTCAGTACATTCACTGTGACGAGGAAACAGTTCTAGGTGCGACTCACCCGGATTGGGACATAGTAGCTGGACGGTTGCGAGTGCCGCGACGGGTGGCAGCAGTAGAAGCTGCTGGAGGTGCTGCCGGGACGGGAGGGGACGCTGCGCGGCGCTGTCGTTTGCTCTTCCGAGGAGTAGATGAGGGGTTTGTTAGGTCGGAGGCTTCCACGGGCTGGTCAGGACGAGGGGCCTTGCGCTTCCGAGTCGACGCCGAACCAGCGGCGGGATTCGTAGGAGAAGAGCCGGCGCTGGTAGACGGGTGAGGTTCTGCAGCTGATCTCGCAGCAGAACGAGTAACCCTGGAGGACATGAGAAGGCGTTCACTTCCAGCAAATGATGAAAAGGTGAGGAGAGTTGGAAAGTAGACAGGAAAGTGTGATCGGGGTGACGGTGGAAGAGAAATGTTTAAGGGTTAAATCGATGTTCAGTCCAGGAAACCGACACGCAGTCAAAAGACTCCGTCGCATGCACAGCTTGTCGGAGACGCCTCCGCGGATACCGCTATACTCGTACGGACCAAGGTGTTGAAGCTTGTTGGGGAAGGGTTGGCCAAGTCGCGAGGAATCAGAAAAGAAGCCAGGGCTGAAATCCAGACGCCAGACACGACAGAAGGGAACTGATGGTGGAGAGGCTTTAAGGGAGATAGAAGTAATATGTACCTGGCAGCAGAGGCGGAGAGTTCAGCGGATGGAAGAGCGGCAGCGTCCTCTAAAGGGTCCTGGCGGTGAGAATTGGGCCTTTGTTTGGCCATATGTCGATTGCTAACCAGAGCTAGTTAAGGAGGGCTCGCTCGTAAGTCGACGCCGTTCAACCCGCCATTCGTTCACTGTCGGAACTGTTGACCGTGAGTGAGTTTGGGGGGGGAGGTTGGGTTGGGTTGGGTGAATGGACTGTGGCTTCCGTCGACGATCCGGGGTGAGTTTCGGTGAGAGCCGATCAGGCGGGCGGCTGAGGAGCCGGAGGTCAAAGTGCAATGTAATGCTAGATCTTGAGTCCAGATACAAGCAGAATCAACTATAGGGGTTTGATAGGTGGATGTAATTCACACAAAGGAAGAAAGTGTGTAGGAGAACAAGAGAACAAGTCGATGGATGAAGTTGGGGGGGAGGGGGGGGGATGAGGGGGAAGGTTGACTGATTGACGTGGTGGATGCCGGGCGGTGATGGCGGTCCGGAGAGCGACAGACTACCCGAGTGCAACTACCAACATCATACTGTCTGTCGAACTCCGAAGCATTTACACTGCTTCACTGCACTAATTACCACTATTTACAATTTTACAATAGCAAACAACTAGATCAATTCTACCACTCACATAACCTGGGTAGTTTGCATGATGAATGAGCTTTGTTGCTGGCTCTCTCCCTTACCTATCCATTGTTCGTATACTCGGCACCTGAAGTTCCAGCCGAGTCTGATTACTAACAAGGCTAATTCTCACAAAATCAGTGCGACTCAGGACTGATCGTGGATCTGATCGTGGGTTTCAATGCAAAAAGTAACGTCATGAAGAATGCGCCGGAGCTTCTGCTTATCTGCGGGCGACCTTTGCAGTTCTTCCGTGCTTTACTGAATGGATATCGAGCTTGTAGTCACTACGGACCGAGGTATGGGAGCACTCGGGTCTGTGCCTGAGAACATGGACAGACAACCTGGTACTCACCACTTCCCTTCACCACTGTTCAACTAGGACCACGTAGCCCCAGCATGCAATGGTGGCATCGGCAATTCTCATCGAGATGCAGAAGTGCAGAAGAGCGCAAGGGGCGAGGGCCATGCGGATGACTGCATCAACGCGCGGGGTCCTTATCACCCGCATTGGCCCAGGTTATATGTGGATTCATTCTTCTTCTCTCTACCGAAACTCAGTCTTGCATGGAAGGGAATGGCGGCAACCGCCACAGTTCTCAATGTGGCTTGTTGCTGATATCCCAATCCCTTACAGACTGTTACAAACTGGCTGAGCGGGGATGTTGGGACAGCAAGGCCTTGCTCGGTTTGAGCGACAAGACCAAAGGGCGAGACATAACCATGGCCATCATACCGCGGGCAGTGGGGTTGAGTTGAATTCAAAAATGAGGTTGAGACTCGACCATGACTGAATCTTGAAGATCGAAGCATGCGATGGTAGTTTCATGGGTTTGTGGTTGTGTTGACATACAGTAAGTAGTGTCCCCCCCGGAGAAACCGAGTGGGGGAGTTTCCCCTCAGCGGTGGTTCAGTTCATTCTCCATAAGACTAAGAAGATCTAGTCCAGTCGGGGAAAGAATGTCCTCATTCGGAGAAGGAGTCGCTCGCTTCCTAAGTCGTTGCCTAGAAATTAGGCCTAAAGTCCGAGGCTGCCCATGCGACCAGCTTGGAGGCAGGTGGAGGCAGGCAACAAGAAGCCATACTTTGTCTCCCTTTGTATACTCAGTAATAAGATCGATTAGAAAAGAGCCTCAATGGGATGTGAAAGTAAACACCAGGGTATGATCCACTGAAAATAATGTTTATTATTCTTATGAAGGGAATCAGCCTTAGGCGGCAAGATCTCCCCGGTTAGGAGAGAGAATCACCTCATCACCACTAGGTTGGAGTAGGTTTACAGTGTTCGACACACCGAGCGTCCATCTTGGTCGTTTTTTTTTCTTTTTGCCGTGTGCTTTGGTTTCTTTTTTCCCCGCCCGCCGCCCTCCCCACGCTGACTAAACCGCCCTTCTTTGCGCCGCCCGCATTCATCCTCCATCCATTCCACTCCTCTTCACTTCACCGGCCATCTTGCTCTTTCTCTCTCCATCTTACCCTCTCTCTGTTCACTACCTGACTCACTCACTCACTTACCAACTTGCCCAGCCATCCAGCATAAATCCCCTATAATAAGAACCCATCCCAGAACACAGAACACCCATACCACCATTCGATCACACCCCCACCATCAACCCGCTCTCATCCAGAGAGCCCAGCCAGCCCTACCAACTTCACCCATAATAACCTCAACCACAATGACCGATTCCATCAACAACAACAACAATACGCCCGGAGTAGGGGACGATGTCCTGCGCACCCCTTCCCCGCTACCCCCGGCCCCAATGCAAGACTACACGTTCCCCGAACACCGCCTGAAGCGCCGAATGGACGACCCGGAGAAGACCCCATTGCTGCTGGTCGCCTGTGGCTCCTTCTCGCCGATCACCTACCTGCACCTGCGCATGTTCGAGATGGCGGCCGACTACGTCAAGTTCAGCACCGACTTCGAGATCGTGGGCGGGTATCTATCGCCCGTGTCGGATGCCTATCGCAAGGCCGGATTGGCGAACGCCGAGCATCGGTAGGTTCCCATCTTCTGTCCCTAGAGGAAGAAAAACACTAACACCACCACAAAAAGTGTGGCGATGTGCCAACTAGCCGTCGACCAGACCTCCGACTGGCTCATGGTCGACACCTGGGAACCCATGCAGAAGGAATACCAGCCCACCGCCGTGGTTCTGGACCACTTCGACCACGAGATCAACACCGTCCGCGAAGGGATCGAGGCCGGAAATGGCACGCGCAAGCCCATCCAGATCGCTCTGCTGGCCGGCGCAGATCTGGTGCATACCATGTCCACCCCTGGGGTGTGGAGCGAGAAGGATCTCGATCACATCCTCGGAAAATACGGCGTACGCTCTCACTCCCTCCCCCACCCCCCCCGGGAAACCAAATCTTAAAAGAACGGCCTAAGTTAACGCAGCAAAACAGACCTTCATCGTCGAACGCAGCGGAACCGATATCGACGAAGCGCTCGCCGCCCTCCAGACCTGGAAGAAGAACATCCATGTCATCCAGCAACTCATCCAAAATGACGTCAGCAGCACCAAGATTCGCCTCTTCCTGCGCCGTGACATGAGCGTCCGCTACCTGATCCCCGTCCCCGTCATTCATTATATCGAACAGCACAATCTTTACAAAGATGATGGGACCGCCGACAAGGGGAAGGGCCGGCAGGAGCCGGGTTCGTCGGGTTGATAGAAACCTTGTTCTTCCCTCCCCGCGCGCCCTTGCCCCCCCCTTCCTCCCGAGAGGGATTCAGTTAACTTTAGTGTTCTCCCACCTTTCCCCATCCTATTATCCGCTGCAAGGGTACACAAGAACACTAGAAGAGGGTGGGGTCGCGGGAATTGATATCGGGGAGCGCTTCGCAATATGGGACTTCAGACAAGGGGGTTTTCCTTTCCTTTCCAGCAGAACGGGTTTTCTCCTCGCAGCCTCCATCCTCTCACCCTTCTCGCAACACGATCCAGGATACCTCGGTGGTGTGCTCATTGCGTCCGCTCATACTGCCACCTGCTATATTCCCCGCATGTTTCCCTTGACTTCTTCTGATCCAACCTTCAAGAATCCGGCCACGTTCTGCCGCTCACCCCGGCAAAGAGGGAGGGAAACGCCGTGACCACCACTGTACAGTCCCTCTCGGGTCATTGCTCCGCATGTATAGCATCCACTCATCCACTCCTTCTCCCCGCTGGGAATGAGATCCTCACTCGGTTGCAAAGAAGTCCCCCAAGTCAACTGTCCCTTCTCCCTGGTTGATTCTCTCATGACACGTTTCGGAATTGGTCTCTTTCATGTCTTGCAAAGGCGTCTTATGCACTGTTACGATTAATGCGTTGTGTTTCTTGTCCCGCCCCCCTTTTTTGTTTTCAAAGATACCATACATATCATAGATTTCCACTTAATACCTTCAATCTTCCCCCCTCCCTCCTCTTTTCTTGGTATTTTTCATTCAAAGCATTCCGATGCTGTAGTCCTCACCTCTTCCTGGTTAAGATGCTGAGCAAAGAAAAAAGGTACCAAAGCTATTGATTGATTCTTGGCGAGCATCGAAGTGGTTATGCATTATATATAATAAATGTTATAGGGAAATATATGCAAGGAGATTTTCGAATGAAGAAAAGTATCGTTGGGGGAATTTAGGATATCCAAACCCCCCCCCCTTGGGTATAATGATAATGTGAGATAAGAAGAAGCAAGCGAAGAAGCCACGCTAAAGACGGGGTCTAGTATGTATATCACCAAAACAGGTCCCAACTGAAGTGAACCAGGCTTCCTTTATGCGAAAAGATGCAGGTATCGACCCGCCTGTCTGAAGTACCTGTAGACGTCTTGTATGCATGCGAGAAACATATTGACAAGAAGCTGAATAATGAAAAAAGACCAACAATTGTGGATGGAGTTCAGGGAATGGTAAAACCACGGGAAAAGAAAACAACTTGCGAGAAGCGAGGAGAGTAGAGGTTGAAAAAGATCAGCCAAAGGGAGAAAAAAAGGAGATCCAAGAATATGTCAAATCCATGAATGCTCAAAAATATCAGTCGTATACATCGTCGCCATATTTTGGCCCTGGCATGAGGACCTTGCGGGCCCGAAGGCAAGGAGAAGAGCTAGTCATCACAATCATTCCACAGATCCTCGGCCTCGATCACGCCCAAGCACTCGTTATCGTGCATGACTGCGAGCACCACCACAGTCGTACTGGCGGCGGCATTGGCCTCAGACACCAGCCGACGGGCGTCATCTATGGTGCTCGAGCTGGGAATCTGAAGCCAGTCTTTGCGGGATACGCTAAAGGGAAGGCCTAGATCGACGAACGAGGACACATGCATATCCACATAGTTGCTCTGAGAAAGGAAACGAAGGTGTCGCGGAGGGATGATCTCCGACGGGGACAAGAAGACCCATGATTTCGCATGGGGATGTTGGATCGCTGTAAGCAGGATATCCAAGAGACGGATCTTGCCCGATGCAGAGACCTTCGGGATCTGGTCGAGGGCAGTCGACACATCCGCAACGCGTGGTTGTTGGCTTCCTTTGCGGTCCACCTTGGGGAACGATATGATGGAGTCCTGCGTTGGGATATAATCGGACGGAGTAGATGTGCTTGAGGCGGAGGACATGCTCATCGGGGTCAAAACCATCGAGGCAGCGCCAATTGCACCGCCCGGGTGGTAACCCTTGAAGACCTCGGCCGGACCCCGCCCCGGAGCGGTATGCAGTCGTCGAGCCGTGGCGATAGCCAGAGCATCTCCCAGCGACAAGGCCACCGTGGTGGACGATGTTGGGGCACTCACACCAATGGAAGACTCCTCGTCCTCGTGGATTGGGGCGGGTAGGAGTATCCCCATGTCCGAGGGTTGGAAGGACAAAAGAGGGCAGGTGGAAGGGTGCATGTGCGAGGTGATGGCAATCACTGGCACTGTAGACGGAATATGAGGGAGCAGAAGTAGAAGTTCGGGTGTACGCCCGGAAAAGGAAATCAACAAAAGGGTATCATGCTGAGACACGACTCAAAGTTAGCAATCCAGGTATCATGTGGGGAGTTTTCATCATGTCTTACCGGTCGAATCATGCCAAGGTCGCCATGTAGGGCTTCCGTCGGATGTAAAAAAGCACTGTAAATTCCGAGACTGTTCATCGTGGCCTCCAGCTTTTGGGCGATTTTACCACTCTTGCCCACCCCGCAGCAGACCAGCTTCCCGCCATGTTTGATGGTGCGCGCAATCCGAGTGACTGCGCGCGCAAGGTGTTCCTGGGCGAGAGCATCGGTCTGATAAATGTGCTCCAAGTGCGCCAAGGCTGCCCGTTCGGTGGAGATCACCTGGATGGCATCAGATACAGCACTGGAGGTCACCTTAGAGGCAGCAAGAGCAATATCTGAGGTGTCCGGGGGAGTCATGGACAGGAAGTCATCGTTGGTGGCGGAAGGCATTGAGTGGGAGAGGGGCATGGCGGCGGCGGCGGCGGGGGGAGAGAGCGGGATGGGGGGGAACTGCTGCTTGATGAGATGCCCCATCATTGCCGTACCATTTCTCTCGAAGATACTAAGTAAAGAGGTTTAAGGTTCGGGAGTGAGGGAAGGCCGCGTCCTCTCCCAGGAAGAAGCCTGGGACAAGACCGAGAACCCGGACAGAAGCCGGGAAAGAAGAAAAGAGGGGAATTCGGAATCGAAGGTGGGGGGTGGGGGGGGAGAAGAGAAAGAGACCCGAAGGGAGGGGAGGGGAGGGGAGGAGAGGAAGAAGAAGAAGAAGAAGAAGAAGGAGAGGAAGAGAAAAATGCGGAGGGGCGAAAGAGAAACGGAACGGGAAGGAAGAAGCCTATATGGATTCTGGATGTTTGGATCTACTAAGGAAATACAGTACTTACTCGTACTTTGTATGCGTACTCAGCGTAGATAACAACCCGGCTAGGATCTATCGGAGAGTCGGAGATTACTGCCTGCTAACTAACTGCCTTGGGCTTTTCTTGACAAACGATAATCTTTTTCTCACCCCCCGCCTCGATCAACCAGTCAATGGCTCCGATGAGGGCATTTCCTCCATCGGCTGGCGCCCCGATTCACCCGCTATCACACCATTACCGCGGAGGCTGATGTCTTCTTGCCTGCTCTCCGAGAATCTTTGGTCGTTGGTGCACGGATCCCACCCTCCTTCAACATTATTAATAATGTTAATAATGATACATTGGCGATACTCGGATATGGGGAGTAGTTAATCTTACTTGGTTTAGTTACAGTTACAGTTACATTTTTCCCACCTCCCCCCCCCCCCCCCCCCCCCCCCCCCCCCCCCCCACCCCAAAAAAAAAAAAAAAAAAAAAAAAAAAAAAAAAAAAAAATTCCCTACCACCACCACCACCACCACCACAATTTCTCCCCCTAATTCAAAGGCTTAATCCCCTTATGAATCGCCGCAATGCCCCCCGTAAGATTCTCGAACCCGCGACCCGGGATCAAGAACCCAGCCTTCTGGATCATGCCCCGGAACTCCTCCTGACTGGGGAACTGCTCAATGCTCTCGACGAGGTACTGGTAACTCTCGCGGTCGCCCGCGACCAGCTGCCCAATGAGGGGAATGGCGCTGAAGCTCCACTGCTTGTAGACGGCGTTGAACAGCGCGTTGTCGACCTTGCTGAACTCCATGCACGCGAAGACGCCGCCGGGCTTGAGCACGCGGAAGGCCTCGTTGAGCGCCGCCTGCTTGTCCGTGAAGTTGCGGATGCCGAACACCACCGTGTACAGATCGATCGAGTTGCTGGGGATCGAGGGCAGGCTCTGCGCGTTGCCCTCCAAGAAAGAGAGGCGGTTCGTGTTGTAGTACGGGGTCTGGATGCTGCGCTTCTTGCCCTCCGCCAGCATGTCCGGGTTGATGTCCGCGATCGTCACCCGCGTCGCCGCGTCGTGGTTGATGTTGGTCGCGTGGTCCAGCATCCGGAACGCGATGTCGCCCGTGCCGCCCGCGATGTCCAAGATGTTCCAGCCGCGCCCGGTCGTGTCGTGCTCGCGCGAGGGCAGCGCCGACCCCGGGTTCAGCGACCGCACGAAGTGGTCCTTCCACAGCCGGTGGATGCCCAGCGACATCATGTCGTTCATCACATCGTAGGACGAGGCCACCGAGCTGAACACGGTTTTCACTAGCGCACGGGGATCGTTAGTACGCGAGGCCGTAATGAATGAGCAGATAGTATGTCTTACCCATAGATTCCTTCTGCGATTCGGGGACATTTTGGAATCCGAAATGCGTGAATCGCTCCTCGTCGGCGGTCGGCTTGGGCGGCTGGGCCTGGGCTTGTCGTGCGCAGGAGAAACACCGGTAGGGAGTCTCGGGCACGGCCAATCGCCGTGTTGTCTGAGTCTGTAAGCTCCGCCAAAGAGATCGGGACGACATGATGGTGGTTTAATGTGGTGTAATTATGAGCCGGGCTGGAGAAAGGGAAGAAGATCGAGAGATCCGCCCCCCGGGGCGGAATTCTACGATAACATGATGCCTCAGGCATCCGTTATCATGCTGCCTTCCGTTTCTTATCGGCAAACACCACAACTTCTAGATCAACGCCCGAATGATAGCAATGTTGCTGAAGCAGAGCATTTATCTACAAATATGCTCATAGGCATTGCATCGCTTACTACTTGAGACTTCTCCAACTCCCTGAGACAGCTCGTTTCACCGCAAATTTCCTAAGCCATTACTTACACTACCCAGACGTATATCCCATCTCCCAGCCCAAAAACAATGGGCCCAGTTCCCATAAAATCAACAACACTCATACCCCCTGAAGAACCTCGCAAGTGCCCCCAACCGCACACCGAACCTCCAAATCCTCCTCCGCGACACTCTCCCCTACCCAAAAAACCACCCCTTCCCCAGCAACCGGCACCCTCCAATCCTGCACCGTAACATCCCAGACACTCAGGTCCTTCCGCGTCACGCTCAACTTAACAATCTCACTCGCCCCCGGGGCGAGGGTCCCGGTCTTCGCGAACGCCCGGAGCTGTCTCTGCGGCGTATCCACGCCCAAGACCGCCTGCCCCGGTAACTGTACATACAGCTGCGCCACCGCCCGCCCACTCCGCCCGCCGGTGTTCGTGACCGTCACGTCGATCTCAAAGGCCGTCTCGAACAGCGCCGGGTTGCCGCCCTGCCCGCCCCCGGCGCGCGGGGCCGGGTGCGCTATCGTGGAGTAGCCCGGCGGGTACGCGTAGGTGCTCGTGGAGTTCTCCGTGACGCTCTTCGGGTCGTCGAGGTACGGATACAGATACCGCCAGATCCGGTCGAGCGTGCTCGGCCATGCAACCTCGGAGGGATCGGGGATGTTCGTCGGGTACGTTGGGACGGAGGCCTTGCTGGCGCGTGCGGCGGGATAGGCGGTGCTCAGGTCGGTCACGGTCGATAGTGTGGGAGCGGAGTATTGGAAGGTGGTGTACGACAGGCCGTGGCCGAAGGGATAGCGGGGGGTAATGTTCGCTTTCAGAAAGTACCGGTAGTCGATGTAGAGCCCCTCGTCGAACCAGTCCTGGATCTGGGAGAAGAGTGGTTGCGAGGTGATGATGTCTGTGGAGGATGGATAGTCGGACGCAGAGGCGGGGATGGTGTAGGGCAGGTGGCCGCTGGGGCTGGTATCTCCGTAGAGGACGTCGGTGAGCGAGTAGCCGGCGGCTTGGCCGGGGAGATGCGCGACGAGCACGGCTTTCACGCTGGGGAGGTCGATGAACGACTCGAGGAGAATTGGACCGACAGTATGGATGACCACAACCACGGTGGAGAACTTGGCTGCTGCGGCTTGGACGAGCGCATCGCCGTTGTGCCATGCGTAGAGGCCGGCGTTGGTGCGGTCTCCGGGGTTGGACTCTACAGTGATATAGTTCTCTCCGGAGTCGGCGTTGATGAAGACAACAGCAATGTCGGATGACAATGGCGTGGGGAGGTTGGAAGGGAAGGTGTCTGTAATGTAGAAGGTGGTTGTGTTCGATGTGGAAACGTTGGCAATTGCTTCTTGCGGCGTCACAAGAGAGGGCAGGCGTGAGGTGCCACTTCCCCAGCCCATGGTCAGAACGCCTTGGTCGCAACCCATATCACTGCAGGAGTTAAGTCCTGAATTGTTAGGCCCAGCATCGGTCCCAAACACTTTGAGAGAAGCATTGCGCTTGAGGGGCAAGGTGTCGTTGTCATTTTTGAGGAGAGTGATAGCATCCCGAGCAATCGCGTGGGCCGTGACATTATGGTTGCCTTGCACGTCGACAAATTGATTGACAACTCCTGTTGGGGAGAATAAGGCGCCGGGGTAGAGAGGACCCGTTTTGTCGAGGGTGTTGCTTGAGAAGTTGGGCAGAGGGTAATCCTGATCCTGACCCATTTGATACCAAGTTGCTACGATCCGAGTGACCTCGAGAGGGCTTAGCAAGAAACCAGTTGCAGAGGTTAAGAAACCATACCATATCATTCAGTCGGTCCAGCGGTACTGTTCCGTTGAGAATTGCAGTCGATAGCTCCGATCCCCAGAAGGCAGTTCCTAGCAAAGGAATCGCACCGTCGCCAGGCATAGCCATGTCAAGCCCGGCTAGAGCAGACGAAACGCCCCCCTGCTGAGCCAGCCAGTCGGTCATGACGAATCCCTGAAAGCCCAGCTCGTCCTTGAGGATGCCGTTGATGAGCATGCTGTTCTGGCTGCACGCCGAACGATTCACCTGCTGTCGTCAGCCCAGAAGGCCCGTATCACCCCCATCCCGAAACTCACATTATTGTACGCAGTCATAACCGACCCAACGCCAGCTCTGACTCCCTCAGCGAACGGCCACAGATACAGCTCATGCAAAGTACGATCATCAATATTCGACGAATAACCCGTGGTCAGCACCGAGGTCTCACGATACATTTCCTGCTCATTGCCGATGTAATGCTTCAAGCAAGCGATGGCACCAGTGCTTTGCATGCCCTGGATTGTCAACGCGCCGCCAATCGCCTGCAGCGTGGGGTCAGCTCCGAAGCCCTCCCACCCGCGTCCACCAAGGGGTTTCCTGAACATGGGCCCAACCACAGGACCTAGGAGAACATTCACACCCTTCCCGCGAGCTTCCTGCCCCAGCTCCACACCACGCTGATACATCAGATCCTTATCCCAGGTGGCTCCGACAGTCACCCCAGGAGGGAACGCGGTATTGTGATCCGAGTTTCGAATGCCAAGAGGCGAGTCCTGAAGACAGAGATTCGGAATGCCAAAGCGCAGTGCGCTTCCTGTTTGACCGACACAAGGGCCCATGTACATCCCTGTGCCGGTAGTGAGGTTCACTTTCTCAGCAAGAGTCATATTGCTCACCACGGCTTGAGCTTTGGCGTAAGCCGCGCTCCAGTCCGAGATCCAGCCTCCAGGAGGGGCTGGGTAGTAGGGAGGTGAGTAGGCATCGGCGTTATCGTCGCGGCGGCGATGCTCGGCCGCAAGGTATCCTGGAAGGAGAAGGGTTAGGATGGAGAGGTAATGCCAGAAGGGGGTCATTGTCGATGCCTTCGAACGAGAGACACAGGGACAGACAGAGGAGAACCTTACTACACCCGTTGACGAGCTATGCAGCCTGCTGAAGATATAGCTATCGGTCCTTTCTAGACCCAAGTCTAGTCAGAGGGCCCTCGATCACAAGGACATGGCCATGAAGGACGTATGCAGCCTCTACACATTATGACATATGACGGACAACAGCCCACACCAATCAGGTGTAGAGCATCGCTGTCGTTGTCTCGCAATTCAGCCGATCATTGCTGGATAAATAAATGATTCGAGGCCACCGAGCAGGAACCTGCACGCATATCACTCGTGAACGGCGTGAGTCGGCCGAGGTAATGAGGGCTCGTTGCTGAAAATAGCGCCAGTCCGCGCCAGACAAGGGATGAGGTCCGGTGGCTAATCAACGGGCTATTTGGGTGGTGGCCAGAATGCGGGGGCGTTCAGCTGATGTACCTTTATCAAGAGAGAAATAGATGAATTGACAATTAGACTGATGAAACCTGCGCATGCATGACAGCCCGGAAATATATGAGGTTACACTGGCTGTGATCTAGAGATACATTGGATTACTGCTGAAGAACGTATTGTCAACAACGTGTGCAGAAAGTGTAGAGACAAAGCAGTCTTTGTTAAGGGCACAAGCGAATTCTGATCCAACGAACCTGCAGAGTGACCAAGTCAGTCCAACGCTTGATGATGATCCTTATCTCGGATAGCCGACAGAGGAAGGCAGGCGATGGTTGGGAAAGCGGAGGATCGACAGGGGAACGAACCGCAGGCAGCGTGCCTGGATCAATCAGCGAGCACGGCCGGCTATTCTTGCTCCATCCAACGGTAATCAGTGACCACCACCACTAAGCCAGTAGCCGCCAGTCAGTCAACCAAGTAATCTCCCAATCGCAAGCCCACGATCTCTGCATTGATCCTTCGTAGCAAGGTCCGCGTCTCCGGAATTAGCCAACACTTTGTCCCTGAGCATCCGACCCTGCCGTGAACCAATTCCTTGCACCGGGACTCTTTCGACTCATTGACTGTCTTGAGCACCGCATTCAGACTAAGTCCTTTGTCTGGAGCCTGTGGTGGAGGAAATAGCTTGCGCGGCTTCAACTGCCAGATGAGTGTCCTGACCATCAGCTGATCGCAGTCGGAACAATACGACTCATGATCAAGAAGGTGTTCCATGCACTCATACACAGATATGAGAATCTCTTCGATGCGAAATTGACGAGTCTTGTTGATGAGGTCTGACGAAATTGCATAGGTTAGCCTGCCTGTCCATCCCTGCATGAAGGGTTATGAATCATTGCGAATTAACTTATCAGGCCTGCAGGAAATGCCAGACCTTTCGTCCTTATTGGCTCCGTAGATTCCCTCAGTGCAATTTCAGTAACCAGGCGAAACAAGCCATGATGGCGAAACGCCCATGCAATGAACATCCACCGGGGTAGATCATGCGAGGAAGATGTTGGGAAGCAGTCCTGAATATTCTCAAGCCAGGTTCTGGCAAAGGCCTCCACGGCTTCGGGGCAATCGTAGTGCTAAGCCAACCCTGCTACCATGCAAAGGAGGTTCAGGTCCAAATCACGGGGCACTTGACGAGTGCGGCAATGCAGGATGTTGAGGAGGATGTAAACGGCGTTGAGGTCGGTAAGGTTGCAGAGTAGGATGTTGACCGGTTCTGCTTTGGCGTTCAGATGTTGTACCCGAATGGTCTAGAGACAGTCCGTCTAGAATAAAAGATATGTCAGCGGTTGGAAGCAGAGGGGGGACAAAATTCCCACCATTCTTGACTAGACTTGCATAGATCCGGCCTGCCTGTTCCTGCAGCACAAGCAGCACATCCCCATTGGGATCGATCACCTCATAGGGGGACTCCATTGGAGCCTTAACCCGTGATGTGCTGCTCATAGTGGTAAGGTAGTTAGATATGATTGACAGCCAGGCACGAAAGGTAGATAGTTGATAATCTAAATTTATGGTAAACAAACTGCTGTTTATAGCAAGTGATTCTTTAGCAACCTCACCCCCCTCACTGTTCACAGTGAATGAGCCCCCTTCCCACGAGCCCACATCGAAGCTGTCAGTAAGTCATCTTTGTCAGTAACTGAGAGACATCCGATTATGAAAGCATCTTGAGGTCTATCATCATAAGTTCATTCCTATAAATATCTATCTATCACTCATCAAAATCTAGTTGAAGTAGCCGGGGAAGAGCCAGTTCATGCGCTCACGAGCCTCGGGGCTCCAGTTGGGCTGAGCAGTGCTGAGCCCGAACTTGATGGAGCCCTCAACGTGCTTGGCCTGCACCAGCTCGGCGTGCTCGTCAGAAGCCAAGGCGTCCAGCACAGCTGTGACAAAGCGCTTAGCGTTCTCAGCGTTGGCCTTCATGTGGCCCATCACCATCTCCACAGTCACGTCCGCGGTCGACTCATGCCAGCAGTCATAGTCGGTGGACATGCAGATCATCTGGTAGGCGATCTCGGCCTCACGGGCCAGCTTGGCCTCAGGCAGGGCGGACATGTTGATGACGCTGCCACCAAAGGAGCGGTACATGTTGCTCTCGGCGCGGGTCGAGAATTGAGGACCCTCTGCAGGTGCTTGATTAGCTTCTGCGGTTGAACTTTGGAAGATGCATACATACCCATGCAGATCAGGGTACCCCGGTCGTGCAGAACGACTCCCTCACCCTCCAAGCTGTGTCCGCAGGCTCTCACGACCTTGGCGACACCCTCGTCGAAGGGGTCGCCGAAAGGCACGTGGGCGACGACGCCACCCTCGAAGAAAGTAAAGGGACGGATGCCCTTGGTACGGTCAATGACCTGGTCGGGAATGACGAAATCGCGGGGCTTGATGGCCTCTTGCAAGCTCCCGACGGCGGAGAAGGCGATGATGGTGCGGACACCGATGGAGCGCAGGGCAGCGATGTTGGCGCGAGCGGGCACTTCATGGGGAGCGATCTGGTGGTGGGCGCCGTGGCGGCTGAGGAAGGCAATGGCAACGGTCTTGTTGTTGTGGGAGCACTTGTGGTGCAGGATGGTGATGGGGGAGGAGGGGCTACCCCAGGGAGTGCTGACGTTGAGGGAGGCGACCTGGGTGAAGCCAGGAAGTTCGCGCAAGCCGGTACCGCCGATGACGGCAATGCGGACGGGCTCTAGAGGTTGTCAGTGATTGCTTGCAGGTGAGATGGTCAGGGGAGGGGAATTACCGTCGTAGGTGGTGGGAAGGGCGGCCATTCTGCGGGCTAGTTGTCTGGGGGATTCGATGCGAATGCGAGGTTTGGAGATCGACGAGAGATGGCGCCAGAAAGTAGCCAGCATACAAGGAAGAGAGTGGTTGTACAGAAGGAGGAGAAGAAGAAGAGGAGGAAGAGGGCAGACGGAGACGCCTGAAATTCTCGGCGGGGTATTACTCCCAATCGGGAAACCGCGATCTTATCGGTCGGTGCCTGAGTGCCTGAGCCTGTCCCGAGGCGTGGGAGTACCTGAGTGGTGCCTGAGGCAGGAATGGGTGGACTATCACGTCATTGTAGGGTAGGTAATTAAGATGGACTTTACATAGTCTACTGAAAAGAGGTCGATGGTGGTATGATTCATTTGTTGACTGTGCTCAATACATATGTGCATCACGCTATCATTATCATCTAGATCATTAAAATGCTCATCACTCAAGCAGGGCGCCACTCATAGTGGTGGGCTCCCTTGGAAACCGGTCCTGGGTCCTCTCCCTTCACTCCTGGCTTGTTGTATCCATGCGCACCGAAGAGGTCCATCTGGGCCTCCATGAATTTTGTCGGGAGCATGGTTCCTGCCTCATACTTGAGGTATTCCAACGTCGCCGAGAGAGCCGGCGTATAGTGATCGGCTACTGTTGACGCGAGCACCGTGTCTTTCAAGGCGTCGAAATGCTCGTGCAACTCTCGCGCCACTGCGTCCACGCATTTGACATTGGTGAGGGACTCGGTCATGGCTGGCTGCAACAAGTCGGCGATTGCTTCAGACTGGATGATACAGCCGTTGCGCCAGATCTGGAGACACTTGCTCAGATCCACGTTCCAGCCCTCGTCCTTGGAGGTACGAGCGATCAGCTCGAGACCCTGACAGAACGAGGCCAGGAAGGCGCTGTACACCGCTCTGCGAATCTTCTCAATGCACGTCTTTTTGTCAATGATGCCCTCGAGGGGTTTGGGCTTGGGAAGGTTCAGCTTCTTGGCGACCTCCAAGCGCTCTGCGCGGTTTCCACTGGCAATCCGGAGAAAATGCGCGGTGGCCAGCGTTGGGGCTGAAACGTGGCGGGCGGCTGACTCCATAACGGACCAGTAGGGGGTGCCCTCGGTGTCATCGTCATCCTGCACCACCTTGTCGAGGACATCGTCGAGGACGAATCCACCATCTTTGCTGGCGCCTTCACCTTGCTTATCCCCTTTTGGAGTCTTCTTCGTGCGGAGAATCTGGACGCCGATGTCCAGGAGGAAGTTGTTACGCAGTTCCCCTTCGGAATTCCACTGCTCGAAGATGTCCGCAATCTCCTCGTACTGGAGGCCGAGTCCATGGTGCAGCAGCGACCAGGCCTCGGCAACGGTGGACAGCATGCCGCCTTCAATCCCGTTGTGGACCATCTTGACGAAATGGCCCGACCCCGCTGGTCCCACGTTGGTGACACAGGGCTTCTTGGTCTTTGGGTCTTTAGCGGCGTATTTCTCAAGGAGCGGGAGAACGAGGTTGATGGCGTCTGGGTCGCCGCCGGGGGATAAACTCGGGCCATGGCGGGCAGATTGGTATCCCCCGGAGACGCCCATTCCGATCCAGTGGATTTCGCGCTCAGCGCAGCGCTTCTGACGCTGCTCGGTGCGACGATAGTGTTCGTTGCCGCCGTCGAGGATGATGTCGCCTTTTTGCAGGCTGTCCTGGATCTTGTCGAGGACAGAGTCGGCGGGGTCGCCGTGGGTGACGGAAAAGATGAAAAGCTTCTGGTCTTGGCCAAGACTTTGGGTGAATTGATCGACCTCGTCAAAAGCTTGGATCTTGCCTTTCCCGGTGAATTTTCCTTGGTCGATCCATTGGCGGATGCCGTCGACGTTGTCACGGCTGACGTCCCAGATGGAGACGTCCAGACCGAGCTCGTTGAAGGCGAAAGCCATCATGGAACCCATGTTGCCGGCCCCGACGATGCCGATCTTGGAGAACATGATGCCGATATTCAAGGATTAACTGTGGTTTCTGTCGGACTCTACATGGCTGCGATGCTGGTGTTTTAAGTGGTGAGACGATGGGGTCGACGCAGCGGTTACATCATTCCGCCATCCGGATCGTATCAGCCCTAATTACTGTAACTGACATCATCCTGATTCTGTTAGCATGTAGATATATCTGACCACCCACCATTATTTGATTTTGGTATCCATACCGAAATTGAGTTTGACTGAATCTAAGATAAAAAGAATGGCACACGATATCCCTTTCTCTTTTGCGACTTGTTCGATCGGGAAGCCGACCGACAGCCTCCCCGCTAAGCTGGAGGCACTGTCTGAAGCGGGATTCCATGCTGTGGAGCTCGCCTTTCCGGATATTTTGTCCTATGCGAAGGAGATTCGAAAGAAGGAGGTTGCTGAGGATGACTATGAGGCGTTGCGGGAGGTGGCCAAGGAGATCCGGGGGGTCTGTGATCGGTTGGACGTGAAGGTGATGCTGCTGCAGCCCTTTGCCAATTTCGAAGGATGGCCAGAGGGATCGAAGGAACGAGAAGATGCATTCAAGCGGGCGAGGGGATGGATCAGTTTGATGGAGGTGCTGGGGTGTGATATGCTACAGGTATGCTGCCATTGCACTGCACCCAAACCATGCATAGAGCTCCTCCCCCCTCCCCTTATTTCGTGTCGATACACATACAGTACACCACTCCTACACCAACAAACCAACCAACACACCCACTCCCCTACCCAAACATCTGCACACATCATGGATAGGAAAAGACCCACCACAACACCACTAACAAACACAAAAGGTCGGATCAACAGACACGCCCCTCCCCTCCCTCTCCACCACGCCCAGCCTGCACGAGCGCATCGTCCACGACCTGCGCGAGCTCAGCGACCTCCTCGCCACCCACAACATGCGCCTGGCCTACGAGAACTGGTGCTGGTCCAGCCACAGCCCGGACTGGGCCTCGGTCTACCACCTCATCAAAACCGTCGACCGGCCCAACATCGGCCTCTGCCTCGACACCTTCCAGACCGCGGGGGCCGAGTACGCCGACCCCACCGCGGCCGACGGCCTGGTCCCCACCACCGACGGCAAGGCCAACCTCTCCACAGCCCAAAAGTTTTCGGCGAGTCTGGCGCGCCTCGCCAAGACTATCCCCGCCGACAAGATCTACCTGCTGCAGGTGTCGGACGCGTACCGGGCGGAGCCGCCCCTCGAGGACGCAGTGGTGGAGGGCATGCGGCCCCGCGCGCGCTGGAGTCATGATTACCGGCCGTTGCCGTATACGGAGGGCGGGTATTTGCCGATCGAGGAGGTGGGGAGGGCGGTGTTGGGGACTGGGTTCAGGGGGTGGTTCTCGATGGAGGTTTTTGATGGGAAGAGGAGGGAGGTTGAGTTGAAGGGGTATGCGCGGGAGGGGTGGAAGAGTATGCGGCGGTTTGTGGAGAGGTGTTCTTCTTCTTCTTGAAGTCTTTTTGTGTATCAAGCTGGAGTGTTTGGGGAGGGTCTTGCGGATATAATATATGAAGGTATAGTAAAGAGAAGGGATTCTGAAGAGAAGACTACGCGAGTTTACATGCACACGTAATAAGGTGGAACATGGATATATTTTACCGAACGCCTGAACTATGCAACCTATACCGAACATGGAACATATACAACAATCATCGTAGCGTCATTAAGCGTTGCTGGGGTAAGCAACCTTGTAGGTGGGAACGAACTCCTCCTTGATCGACCGCAGACTCACGAACCGAGACAACAGGTTGCCGCTGCCCGCCTTGTCGTTGGTACCACTGGCACGCGCACCGCCGAAGGGCTGCTGGCCCACAACAGCACCAGTGCTCTTGCAGTTGATGTAGAAGTTACCAGCGGTGTTGCGCAGAGCATCGTCCGCCGCACGCAGGACCTCGCGGTCCTGGGCGAAGATGGATCCGGTCAGCGCGTACTCGCCGGTCTGGTCGATCTTCTCGCACATGCGGGTGAAGTCGGCCTCGGTCTTGTCGGCGTAGGTGTGGATCACGAGCACGGGTCCGAACAGCTCGCGAGACAGCAGAGGGTGGTCGGGGTTGGAGGTGCGGTAGACGGTAGGTTGGATGTACCAGCCCTTGGACGAGTCGTAGGTGCCACCGGCCAACAGCTCCAGCTCGGGATCGTTCTTGGCCGCGTCGATCACCTGCGCCAGCTTGTTGAACGACGCCTCGTGGATAACAGGGCCGCAGAAGTTGGTGAAGGTGGTGGGCTCGCCCATAGTCAAGGCCTTGGTCTCGGCAGCCACGATCGAGAGGAACTCATCGGCGACGGACTCGGCGACGTAGGCACGGGAAGTGGCACTGCACTTCTGGCCCTGGAACTCGAAAGCACCACGGACGGTCTGCACAGCGGCGTTGCGCACGTCGGCCGACTTGTGGACCAGGTGGAAGTTCTTACCACCGGTCTCACCAACAATGCGGGGGTAGCTGCGGTACTTGCCCTCGGCGACACCGTTGGCGATTTGGCCGTACAGGCTGCGGAAGACCGAGGTGCTACCGGTGAAGTGAAGAGCAGAGAACTCGCGGTGGTTGAGGACAGTGTTGGTCACCTCGGCGGCGTCTCCCGGAACGAACTGGATGACGTTCTTGGGCAGACCAGCCTCAAGGAGGATCTGGTGGACGAGCCAGTTGGAGGCGATGGCCGAAGGAGACGGCTTCCAGACAACGACGTTACCCATCAGGGCGGGGGCACCAGCAAGGTTACCGCCAATGGCAGTGAAGTTGAAGGGGCTGATAGCATAGACGAAACCCTCCAGAGGGCGGTACTCAACACGGCTGCAACAATTGATTAGCTTGACCCTTTACGGACCCAGGCATGATTAACTCACTTCCAGACACCAGGGGAGTGGTGGACGGGCTGGGTGGCGTAGAGCTCCTCGGCGTACTTGACACCGAAGCGGAAGAAATCGCACAGCTCGGCAGCGGCGTCAATCTCGGCTTGCCAAGCATTCTTGCCCTGACCGTGCATAGTCAGGGCCATGATGTCGTAGCGGTATTTTGTGGAGATCAGGTCAGCAGCCTTGAGGAAGATGCTGGCACGGTCGGCGAAGGAAGTGGTGGACCAGGTCTTGCGGGCTTCAAGGGCGGCGTCAATAGCGGCCTGGACATCGGCCACGGAGGCATTGGCGTAGGTGGCCACGGGGGCGTGGGAGGCAGGGTTGCTCTGGGTCAAAGTCTCGGAGCTCTGGATCTCCTTGCCGGCAATGACCAAGGGCACGTTGAGAGGGCCGCTCTGCTTGGTGCGGGCGAGAGCTTCCTCGAGAGCCTTGCGATCGGGGGATCCAGGGGCATAGTGTTTCTGTTTGATGGCAAAATCAGCCAAAGCAACACCGGCAATTGTCGCCAATACTCACGTTAGGCTCGTTGTCAATGCGAGGAACCTTGAAGGTGGCGTAGGAGCCCATGGCGCGAGAGCTCTGGCGAGCCAAGCTGGCGGAGAGGGAAGCGCATTTGGGGAGACCCCGGGCGCGAAGGAGCAACGAAGACTGCATGATGACAAGCTCTCTTTCGCGAATGAAGCAAGGCGACACAGCACAACAAGAAAGAGAGAGGAGAAAGGGGAGAGCAACAGCAGTGGTTGACGCGGGGAAACACGAAGCTTTAATTGCAAGCGAGCAGGCGAGGACAAGCGGTTACTGCCGGTGAGCTGACTCAGCACCAGCCAATGGGAAATGCAGCCGATGCAAGGGGGTTTTCGACCGGAACGAGACTGATTCCTGCCCGGGGAGCCACTTTATCAGTACAATAGTCGCAAGTGCGTGGTGAATTGGGTTCAGATTGTCTGTGTGCGTAAGAGATTGATACGTTATCAGACCAAGTGCCATCGCAAGCTATCAGGAACACCGGCACATGCCGGGTGGGTCAACGTCACCGGCCCGGTCACTCGCCTTCCAGAACCGCCCCAGATATCCTTTCCAACATGCAGTTTCGCATAGGAATGAAAGTGATTAAGATGAAATGTTACTTGACTAAAAAAACTGCTTTAGTCCATGACATCAATACGTAGTTTGAATCCCAGGGGTTGAAAACGTCTGAATTGCCTAAGTTCATGTCCCCAGATCGCCAGTGGGTCTTCCCCGCATAAAGCGATAAGACAAACCTTTAAGCTCGATAAGACCAGAGCTTCAGAACCCGGAACCCTGCACTCACGCCATCAATCAACACCTCAGGTCTGTCTCTCAGTAGTAGATCAGCGAAAGCACAACCCAGTCAGCTCAGATTCCCATAGTGTCACCTAGCATGACTACAAGTCGTCCTTGTAAACAGTAAACCTTCCCAGACCATACACACGGACGCCATGAAACGAAATTCCGATCAAGGATCGCGACGAAGGCCGTTCCTCGCCATCCGTCGAGCATCAGGATTAAGGCGCCGTGAGACAAACCAGAAATCCACCGCCGTCCCCTCGTTCTCAAGCTGCGCGATCAACTCTCCGATCTCAAGGTAGAACCCGGCATAAGGCACATCTCCTTCATTGTTGGTCCGCCACCCATTTGTGATCCAGTGCGGCATATACTCCGTAATCCCACTCACCACACGCTCCGAGTCCGATTTCACCACCAGCCGTTGCACCGGCGTGCAGTTGGGACGTTCCTGGCGGATGCGTAGACCGTCACGTAAGGCCCGACAGCAGGCGCTGAGCTCGGACATAATCCTGGTGCGTGGGCCCGGGTACGCGTCTAAGGCAGTCGAGACGTTGTTTTGATTGCCGTATCCCCAGAACACACCCACCGATGCGCGTCCGGTCCCATGGTTTCTCAGACAGTCGCCGCTAATTGCGACCACCAGGGTGGTGCGGTCTGGCGCGCGGCCAGTGCGTGGACCCCCCGGGCTAGCAATATGCACCCAGCGTCCGGACTTGTATTCGATGCGACTAACGCCATTGTTGTACAAGGCTTGATGGTCAAGGCGTCGGGGGAGAACAGGCTCGTCGATTTCGACCATGGCGTTGGAGTCTCCTTTCGTTCGAGATCCTAGAGATATAATCAACTTGTTAATTGAGATACCTTGGCTGATGGGCTTGGAGTCAGACCGCGACAAGAGAGGCGTGGTGGCTGATGAGATGTGACCTGCGTCGAGACAAAGCTTCAGCCGCGAAAAATACAACGAGCAGAAGTGCCTCAGTTGGTGGAGTATCAAAAGCAGAACATTGTGAATGAGAGGAGGATAATTGTAGAGGTGCGTGGTAGGGAAACGCGAGATAGGAAGCGTTGGCATAAACAAAACAGGAAAGAGGGGGCAGACACAGCGTTTGGTGAATTTATGCCGGCTGGCTCCAACTAAAATAGCCATCACTTCGTCCTTTGCTTCAAGATGCCAATGAACAGATCTTTCTATTTCTCAGCATTATATACACGCTTGAATTCACAGTAACTCAATCTGCCCGCAGAAGAATCACTTCACATTTTCACTACTACGGTCCGATATACTTCTCAGGCAATCCACCACCAGATCCGCTCCAGCCAGTTCCGCGGCTTGCGCTCGAAGTCGTTTTCACAGAGTTGATCAATTTCCTCCTTGCCAGTGAACACATCGACTTCTGACACCTTTGTCATCCACGGAGTCCGATACCACAGCTTGTGACCAACGTAGAAGACCAAGAAGAAGACAATGCCGATGTAAGAGACTAAGAAATCCGCCGCCGTAAAATTACCAGGGAAGAAGACAGCATAACCATTAGTGATGGTCAGCAGGGTCACAATGAAAATCACATAGTATGTACCATAAGGCTGAAGGGTAGTCTTGAACGGTAGTGAGTCAAGCATGCCATGGAAGTCCATTGCCTTGCGAAAACGCTGCGTCCACGTTAGCACAGATCCGATCGAATGTTCGTCGCGTTTGCAAAGAACTTACCAAGTACGCAATGCCAACCAAGATCCAGCTGATGAACCCACCGACAGTGGTGAGGTTGGTGAACCAGTAGAAGACATTTGCACCTGAGTTGGACAGATTGAGGAACGACAACAGCCCCACGGCCCAAGTAGCTAGGACAGCCACCCATGGTACACCGTTTTTATTGCAGCGGGTAAACACTTGAGGTGCCTGGCCACCGCAAGCGAGCGAGTACAGCGTTCTGGACCCAGCGAAGACCCAGGCGTTGCCCGACGACCAGGCAGAAGTCAGGATGGCTGCGTTGATGACATGGTTCAGGCCTGAGATTCCTGCATTCTGAATGGCAATCACAAATGGACTGGCACTAGCAGTAGAGCTGCCGCTGGCCACGGCTGACAGGAGATTCGGATCATTGTAGGCCACAGTAACACCGATGACCAAGGAGCCCAGGACATAAAAAGTGAAGATCCGGTAGATGAAACGATTGGTGGCCTTGGGAATGTTGCGACGGGGGGCTTCAACCTCGCCAGCAGCCGTGGTAATCAACTCGGGAGAGAAGATAAATGAGAAACCAGACTTGATGAACGCAGTCCAGAAAGCCAAAAAGCGACCGGTGTTTCCGCCGGCTAAGTACGGCTTGAAAGCGCCTGGGTGCTGCCAGTAGCGGAAGCCCAACCGATCATGGTTGGGACCGCCTCCAAAGAAAAGGATAATCCCCAATATAATGAGACCAATGATGGCGATGATCTTGAGAGCGGCAAACCAGAACTCAGCTTCTCCATACCAAGAGACAGCAACGATATTGAGGACCAAAATGACTGAGCAACTGTTAGACGAGGAAGCCAACTCTGAAAGTAAGGGCGAGGACTATACCGATGAGAACAATTGCAATCCAGACGCCAACGTTGACGGAAGTGGTCCAGTACTCGATGATAATTCCCGCCGCCGTTACCTCACTTGCCAGTAACATAGCAAATGAATACCTGCAATCAATCGTTAAGTGTCATGTACGAAGGAACAAGTTTAAGTAACAAATTTACCAGTAGTTATAGCCTGAAATCGATTAGCACTCACTCACTCAATCAGAATATAGGTACCTAGTAGGACATACCAGCAGCAAAGCCGAGACTAGGCTCGGTATAGCGGCCAATGATATACGGCACGGAGATCCCCTTGATGGGAAGATAGGTAGTCATTTCACCCAGCATATTCATCACGAACCAAACAACTGACGACATGGCTAAGTATCCCATAAAAAGCGGCGCTGGACCGACCGTCGAAAGAGTCGAGCCTGACCCGACGAAGAGACCAGTTCCAATACATCCACCGATGGCGATCAGTTGCAGCTGACGGGAGGAAAGTCCACGATGGGTCTCCGTGTTAGGACCCAGGTGGACCTCTCCCTTGAGTGCCTCTGGATCTTCATAGCTGTCGACGTTGGGAGATTTGTCTTCATATTTGACCTCCTCAGAAAACTTGGAGGTAGGAGCGGAGGCCATGATGTGCTAGCTCAGGAAGATCGACTTGAATGCCTGGAAGCCCAAATGCCTGGTGAATAGGGCCATTTTATAAGATGGCTGCTGAAGCGGGGGGAAGCACGACATGTCCAGAGGGCAATTTCGACCGCGCTTATCAGTATCAATTATCATCTAAGATAATTTTACCTCAAAGTTTAAGCCAGAAATCGCCTGCATGACGCCCCTAGGCAAGTGGCGATTGGCCTAGATGTGGCCGGGGGGGGGAAGGATCAAACCCAGTTCCTGCTTATCTCTCTCGGGGCGGAGACGGGCTGATGCAATCATGGCGCGCGATAGTCAGCCACTATGCTCAGGCTGATCTATCTGATCTATAGTGAAGTCTATAACGAGGCAGGAGATATTGTGCATGTATAAACATTGTCTACAAAGGCTGCATTTTCGCGACAGCGATCAATTGATGTCAGATCAACCTCGTGGCATTCCACTGTGGAAATCCGGGGTCGAAACTCCGCATTGATGAATCCACCTCATGGTACGGTAGTGAAGTAGTTTATTGTCAACGAGGAGTTTATGTTACCTAATGGTTTGGAGAAACAGTCCCTGACCTGCCAAAGCTTGACCCATTGTTCGTATCCCGCTAGACTAGACCAGGCTTAGCTTAGAGCCATCCGGGCCGATGGTCGAACTTTCTCATCTCGTTGCCTGAGATTTCAGGGCAGCCGGCTATGACAAGCCGGCTCTTACAGATGAGGTTTATGACTACAGCACTACCCCTTCTCTCTCCAAGACCAGTGTATATCTTCTCATGAGAAGTAAGACACGGTGGGCATAGATTTCTAACATGCTATCTGATCTCCCTCTTTGGAGAGATGGATGCTGGCATATTTACGAGTGTCATTCCTCGCTTGACCGGGCCGGTCAACCTGCTGCTGTTGCGCCGGTGGGGCTTCCGACCACCGGCCCGTCTACCGGGCAGTGACCTGGATACTGATAGAGGATACCTAGAACTGTACTGGAGTATCCTGAATGGTGCTTGTATAAACTATAGAGCCTCACACAGGGATCTGTGGTAGTCCAAGATAAGACTGACAATCCTGGGATACTGGTCATCTTGAGTTTGGTAGAACAGGGAAAGCCTGGTACAGTAGATATCTCGAATCTCTGAGAGATTCGCCTCCTTCGCTTTCTGCCACAATTGACTTTTTCAAGGGTGTTTCCCGGTGGCAAATGGTGTAGTCGGTTTACCCCAAAAAGCATAAGCTGTTGATATCGACCTGATTGAGAGATTCATACGACCAAAATCTGGGGCCGTCGCGGAGAATCACGAGACAGCGTATACATGATTGAGAAACTAGAAAGTCGCTAATGCGAGGCATATTGCCAGAGGGTGGAACCTAAAGATAGCTCCTAGCTCCAACAGTCATGATGCATCTGCTAGTATGTACATGGGGAAAAGACTGAAAACGAGCCTTGAGGTTAAACAGTCTAGCGGATTGAGAGTAAACTACCAAGTAGTTGGTATCGGCGTTAACTTACCCCGCGTTATCTGAGATATCACCAAGACCGGAAGGCACCTCCGATGCATCAACGCTCAACCACCCCTCCTCAATCGAACAATACCTCCGACACCAACCGAGTAGCAGTCATCAGTCCATTTCACAATGCGTATCCTTGCTGAGCCCAATGTCTCTCAGATCCTGCGCGAGTTAACTCAGTCGCAATGCCACGACTTTCTCAACGTTCTTTGCGACTCTCTCACAGCAGTCTCGAATGAAACAACCGCCCAAGAGACGGAACGCCTCATCCACCAGCCCCTCCGTAGCACCATTCTCACGAAGAAACAAAACCTCTCTCTCTTCATGCCAGTCTCCAACACCGCCAGCACGGGTATCAAGATCGTCACTGCCTCTCAGTCTCATGGCCTCATCGGAGTCATCAACATTTTCTCGCCGGAAGGTAGTCTACAGGGTCTCTTGAGCGCCGCCAAAATCACCGCTTTCCGCACAGCCCTCACCATCATGTCCCTCCTCGTTCGCTGCCAGGCCATGAGGAAGGAGAATGTAGTCATTCTCGGCTCTGGTCGCCAGGCGGAATGGCATGCTCGCTTAGTCCTCCTTTTGTTTCCAGGACAAGTGCGTTCGATCACCATCTTCAACCGTGGTCGCAAACGACTGGAAGAGTTGGAGACAGAGGTCTTGGGGGAGTTGCGGGCTACGTATTCAGACGTTGCAATCTCGACGGTTGCAAAAGATCATGTAGGCGACGATGTCTGGGATGAGAAGCTGCGGGCGGCACTGCAGACCTGCGATGTCTTGTTCAGTTGTACGCCTGCCACAGAGCCCAATTTCCCGGCTTCCTATCTACAACCGTTCCGGCAGCGGTTCATTTCGCTGATCGGATCGTATAAGCCGCATATGCGAGAGATTGATACGGAGACATTGCTCTCCGGCGGTGGAAAAGTCTACGTGGACTTGAAGGAGGCATGTCTGGAGGAGTCGGGCGAGCTGATTCTAGCAGAGATGAAGGAAGAACAGTTGATTGAAATTGGTGAGTTGTATGGGAAATTAGGTAGAGAAGCGCCACTGGAGGTACCTCAGGGGTCCAATGTGGTATTCAAGTGTGTGGGTATGGGAATAATGGATCTGGCCATTGGCAACAAGCTGTTGGATGTTGGACGGGAGAGAGGAATTGGCATGGAAGTAGATGGCTTTTGAAGCGATGGCTAGTTGACGGTGACACCAGATATTGTGATCTATTTAGTGACTTGGTGGTCAATCGCTTATTCAGTACAAATGAAGGATCCTGCCTGGACAAAAGCACTGCGTGGTGTAAATTTGTACTCATAGTTATGTCAGTGCAAGATGTGCGATGATCATGGCTGGTGGTGACTGCTGGCTGGTTGACTGACTGCCGCTGGGGCGGAGCCAAACCCGCACTCACTGCTTATCAGTTCGCCCTCTCCCCCTTGGAGAGAGGATGGATTAAACTCCGGGCCATTTTTTCCCTATCTTCCGTCAACACCGCCTTCTCTTTCTTCGGAATCACCTCTTACTTTCCCACTCTTCCTACACACTTACTTCTTCTTACCCGCCATTCCTCTGGGCTGTCGCTGTTACGCACCCCACATGTCCATGCTCTAATCCCTACCATGCGCCTGTCGCTGCATCGCCCCCCTTGATTTCGAACAGCCATGGATGAGGGCTCAACCACCCCTGCTGGTATGGGCCCGCAGAAACGACCCCGCGTTTCCGAGGAGAATCGCAAACGAGCTGTGCGAGCGTAAGACGATTATATTCTTCTGTCAGGGTCTTTGTCTCCTTACTCACTGTAACCGATTTCCAGCTGTGATGGTTGTCGCCGAGTGAAGGAAAAATGCGAAGGAGGCGTTCCGTGTCGCCGATGTCTCCGCTATCAGCGACAATGCGTCTTTACTCATCCCGACCATGCGGAGAAGATCGCCCGGTCCTCCTCCATCTCGTAAGGCTACCAACTCCTCTCATCTCGGGTCTCAAATCTTCGATACTCTAGATTCATTAATGGCAGTGACTAATACAGCTACCAATCTAGACTACTTGAACGAAGCACAGCTCTCAGAGGACATGACATCGCCGAGTCGGAGCGTGTCCGATGCATGGAGCGCATCCTCCAGCATTATGTCCCCAACATTTCCTTCGATGTCCATACCCTGCGAAAGATGGCTGAAGAGTTGAAACACAAACATCGAGGCTCTGGCACAGAGGCATCTTCAACGCAGCTCGACGGCGAGGACCTGGAGGACTTGGCTATTGACGATGAGGATTTCACCATCAAGGCTCTGCCGGATAATACTACACGTGGGTGCTCTGGGCTTCTTTTTGGGATGTACTTGGGTGGTCTGACTCGTTTTTCAGAATACTCTGGAGAATTCTCGTATCTCAACTTCTCTATGAAGATTCGACAGAAGATTGACGAATGGATGAAACATGCTGGACCAGAGGTATGCAGCTAGTGATCGCTCACTGTGAAATACTCGCTTACTTCTTCCAGGCATCAACGGAGACAGAGCCATTTGAAGAGCGCTGGCGGGCAACCCAACTGCAGTCCGGATCGACCCTAGTATCAACATCAGTGACCTGCCTTCCACCTCGGTTTGTCGCAGATTTCCTGGTGCAGATCTTCTTCAAGTATGCGCAGACGAACAATTTCTACGTCGAAGAAGACTGGTTGAAGGATAAGCTAAATATATGCTACACGGACCCTTCAAGCCTCTCTTCTAAGGACGCAGGCACGGTATGTGCTATCCTGATGGTACTGGCGGTGGGCACTCAGTTCGCGCACATGGAATCAGCTACACCTGTCAACCGCCTGTCCTCGAATTCCGCCTTCGCCGACGATCACCACTTCTCCGAAGATGATGTTGGTCTTACCTTTTATCAATTTGCATCGAAACTACTTCCCGACATCATTGCCACAGCTTCCGTTCGAAGCGTCCAGGCTTGTCTTCTGATCGGTACCTATCTTCTGCCACTAGATACGTCGGGTCTATGCTATACGTATTTTGGTCTAGCTCTGAAAATGGCCATTCAAAATGGCATGCACCGGAAGTACTCGGGTGAGGGAATGTCACCTCGTATGGTGGAGATCCGCAATCGTGTCTTCTGGACGGCATACACGATAGAGAAGTAGGTGGCCATCCCAACGTTTCAGCTGCGTGACAAGTACTGACACTCTCTAGGCGCGTCAGCATTCTTCATGGGCGACCGGTATCGCTATCTGACGCGGATGTAGACGCTCCCTTTCCTACTGACTTTCCAGGATTGACTCCTTCTGGACATGTAGCGAATGACACAAACATGGTGACGCTCATCAAGTTGACCTTGAAACTTGGCCAAGTTGCCAACGAAATGTACGTTACGCGGTCACCGAGCAGCTTACATATAGCTAACACAGAGCCAGATCTATTCTGCGTAAATCGCGAAAAAACCAACAATCGGATTGTCTGGAACGGTTACTGAACCTTCGGAAATGCTTGGTTGATTGGTGGTCAACGTTGCCGGAGGAAACCAATTGCCGGGATCTCAACCCGTCTGGTCCTCTCTTTCGCTCCAATGTGCATCTCAAGCTGGATTATTGTCTGACTCGGATCTTCCTTGGACGGCCCTTCCTGTTTAGCAGCATGAAAGCCATCACTATCGCGGGCGCCCCGGTCAAAACCCCTTCGGGTTTATCGAAGAATCGCTCCACACTAGTCACTGACTGCGTGGAGGCAGCTCTTGAGATTATTGACCTATGCCGTTTGCTGCGGGATGAGCCTGGTCTCGCCCGCGCTTCCTTCACCGAGTTCAGTTCCTGCCGTGCGGCTCTTCTTGTCATTCTCGCCCAGAGCTTGACCAAACGCACAGAGCGATTGCGCGAGGCCCTCGATAAAGGCATGGCTCTCATCAAGATTATGTCGATGGGTGTCGGATCTGCCCGATCCGCTGTGAGTGTCATTGAAACACTTGAGCGGGCAATTCGCCGCTTTGAAGAGTACAGTCAGACGCAACCCCCTGGCACTGCTGACATAATGGAGTCGGCCTATGACCGCTTCAAGAATTGGGAAATGCTTTGGAAGACGGGACCAATCTCTCCCGACCCAATATCGTTCCCTGAGCAGTACCCGTCTGGTGGCGGTGGATTGCCGCCTGTTATGACGCCTTTGACGGGTCCACCAACAACGAACGAACCGGCAGAAGGGGAGCTTACCAACGCGAGTATCCCTGATTCGACTGAGTTCTCTGTGTCTCATCCGCTGTCGGAGATGCCGCATTTCGGGCTGGACCATTTTGTTGCAAACCTGCCGCAGGAGTTGGGCGAATTCACCGCGATTCCGTGCTTTGATACCGACAACCAGTCCAGTTTGACCGGGGAGTTGAAACCCGGGTCTACCGACACGCGGTGGATGAATTTTATGAATGAATAGTGGTACCGACAACTGGCCGGTCTTTTTGTGATTTTGACAGCGCTGCATTATTTGGGGTCCTTGCTTGGCGGTTGCACTGCCATGGATCTGTTTTAAGATACCTAAATCGTGTATATTCATTGCTTCGTCTAGACACTTCGTCTACATAACATATATAAGAACGTCCATCCTAGATGGTTGTAAATGGCTACAATTCATGCTGAAGTATATACATGCTAAGACTGGGATATCTAATCGAACACGACCTTCTTACCCGCAAATGAAGCCGTAGCATTCTGCTCCTTGGCCTTCTTTGCTGCCTCCCAGGATGGATGCAAGGGTTTATCATCCTGTGGCTTCGGGGGTCCTCGTTGAGCTCGACCACCATCGTGCTGCGGCCGGCCTGGTGCGGAACCTGCACCATGATCAAACCTCCTTCTGCCCATGGGAATAGAATTGCCGTCTGTCGCTCCCTTTCGCGGATCCCAGCCACCATCCCTCCCTTTCCTGCCTTTCTGTTGTTGTTGTTTGACATGGTTTGCTCCCGCACCGTACTTCTTCTCCCACAGCGCCCGACGCGCCTGTTGACCCATTCGATTCTTGCGTCGTGGTGGTTCAGCGGCTTCTTTGTCGACATCCTCGGCTTCAGACTCCGACCCTGACCAGTATCCGCCCATCATGAGAGAGGGCAAGAAGGTAGTGCTGGTTGCGGGTTTTGCGCTGCCTTTCTGGGCTGGCTTGGCCTTCTTCGAGGGGGGCGAATCGGATTCTTCTTCCTCGTCTACCTCCGGGGAGGGAGAGCGCGAGATTGACATATCAGAGGGGGCTCGTCGCTGTAACATGCGAGTATCAATGTCATCCTCGTCCTCCTCATCATCTTCATCGTCGTCATCGCCGTCATCGCCGTCGCCAAGCATCTGCCGCCGGATATCGTCCGCGTCGTCCTCGTCTTCGTTTTCAGAGCCCGACGCGAGTAACCCATCGTACATCGCGTAGTCAATGCTCTCCGAATCGTCCATACTAACATCTCCGTCGCCCTCCCCACTCGCGCGCTGCAGTCGTGACCGGCCCTTCTCCGACTCGCTATCCGAAACCTCCTCCGCCGCAATCTTTTTCTTCGGCTTCTCATCCTTCTTGGTCTTCTTCTCAGCCGTCGCCTTCGACGGCGCAGGCTTCGTGTCATCAATCTTCAACAACGACCGGATCCCGTCCATAATCCCCGGGAACACATTCTTGACCGGCGTCGACTTGTACAGGCGGGCCGTGACATTCGCCTCGAAATTACTCTTCGGCCCCTCCGCCGACAACTTGCTGCCCATATGTTCCTGGAACTCCTTGAAAGTAGGCGACTCGGCGATCCGTTTCGTTTTGAGGAGTTGCTTGTAGAGGTATTTCTGTGCGGTTTTGATCGGGTCCAAGTCCTATGCGTAAAAGTCCAACATTAGCATCCAACGCATACAGAAGAGAACTCGCTCAGAACACGCGAAAAGAATCCACAACCAAGACCAAGACTCCCCGCCAGCATAGAGAAATGGAAAGACAATACAGAAAGATACATACCCTCAAAATCCCGGCCTCCTCAGCCATCCTCTCCACCGCCCCCTCCTTCCCCTCATCCTTGACCTTCTTCTCCCGGCGCTTCCACTTCTGGCGCTCGAACCCGCGCGCCAGCTTCAGCGCCTTGGCCAGCGACTCGACCCCCTGGGAGAATTTCTGCTTGAGCCGGACGGTCTGGATGTGCAGGGAGCGGGGGTCAGATTTATCGGTGGTGAGCTTTTGGGGACCATTGTCCGTCAAATCGGAGAGTTTGCGTTTCGGCATTTTTACCTTCAGGTTATGTTTTTGCCTGGTTCAAAGATTGGGGAGGTTTTTTGGGGGGGATTTGCGGGATTGCGGCTGGGATAATTTACAATTCTGCCAAGGCGGAGGAGGATTTTTGGGACTTGGAAACGGTGAAGAAGGCGGAGCGGGATTTGGGGCGATGGCATTGGTGGATGGGGCGATGACTTTAGCGGGGCGGTTATTGGTGGGCTTTTTTGAGGTTTTTGATGCTCCCGCCGGCCGGACGTTGCTCGGGGGTTGACGTAGTTTGGCAACGCATGGGTATTGGACCTGTGTTGGTGTGTATTTGTCTCATAAATGTGGATGATAAACCAAGCGTTCGGTCGGTCACTTGTCAGGTTGGGGACTGGAGGTGACAGATTACAATGGCAGTATATAAGGAAAGACGGTTATTCGAACTACATCAAACGGTGGTCGAACATCAACGTCACAAATAATTCAGACATAGACGCGATATGTACATACAGAACAGATTAAAAGGGAAAAAAAACCATCTAAGCTAAGCCTCCTATTTCTTTTCCTCCTCCTTGGGGGGCTCCGGCTTGGGAGTAGGGAGTTTGAACTATGTGCATGTCAGTGGGCTCTCAACGCACTGGCGGGGGTTTTGAGCTATAACTCGAAAGACTTACCGACTCAGGAGTCCGGTTAGTACCCGGACCAACAGGCTCCCAGGCGGTGGTGCCGCCCTCAAAGTTCCGGAAAGCCTGTGTCAACTCGAGCGGCTCGATGACGATCCGCTTCTTCTCCTCGTCCCACCGCAGCTCCGTGTAGCCGGTCAAAGGGAAGTCCTTGCGCAGCGGGTGGCCGTCGAAGCCGTAGTCGGTCATGATGCGGCGGAGATCCGGGTGGCCGGTGAAGAAGACGCCGAACATGTCGTACACCTCGCGCTCGTACCAGAGGGCGCCCTCGAACAGGCCCGTCACGCTGGGCACGGGGCTGGCCTCGTCGGCGTAGGTCTTGACGCGGATGCGCGAGTTGTAGCGGACGCTGAGCATGTTGTAGACGACCTCGAAGCGCTGGTCGCGGGTCGGGAAGTCGACGCCAGTGATGTCGGAGATCTGGGTGTACTCGGCCGCCGTGTGGTATTTCAGGAAGGTCATCGTCGGGATCAGGCCCGAGGGCGGCACGTAGATGCACAGCTCGTCCTTCCACACCGAGAACTGCTGCACGTGCTTGGGCAGGCACGACATGATGTACTGCCCGTACTTGTGCAGGCCCTCCGCCTTGTCGTGGTGCTTGTCGGCCGGGTTGACGACGGGGGCACGCAGAGCTCCCTCAGCTGGTGTGGTAGATTCACAGGTTAGTTTGGGGGTGTGGTAACATGAAAGTGCCCATTGTGAAAGGCGCGGTGGTCGCGGACGGAAAGGCCAGGAGTGCAATTGATGGACATACGAGAGCGCTGGGCGTGGCGCATGTTGGGGACATGATCGGTGACCGGGGTCGACGAGGCCTTCAACACAGTCGAGGAGAAAGCACGGACGGACGTCCGGGTGGCGGAGGACAAGGCACGACCGGTGCCCAGCCGCATCAAGGAGCGAGTAGCAGCCATGATGACAAGGGACAATGGCTGAGAGGTGATGAGTTGGAGGATGAGAAGGAGCGGAGACGAGGGGGTCAAGCAGCAGCAGCGACGGCGGCGGAGGTTCCCTTGCAATTGGAGCTTTTGCCCCAAGATATGCACGGTCACGTGCAGCGAGCATTGACATAAGCGGCCGATCCCGAGGACATTCCTGCAGCCTCAGGCACAATGCCCTCCATCCAGCGCAGAGAATGCAAACACGACAAACACGTGCAAACCCGATCAAGCAAAGCTTCATCACTTCTCGCTATTCTCTGTTCGCCTCCAACTCTCCTCTTTCGCTCTTGCGTCGTGCGTCCCTCCTGCTGCTGCTGCTGCTACTTCGCTTGCTTCTCCTTCCCTCCCTACACCCGCCCCAATTACCCCACGTTTCTATAATCACTTTCTCGGACTCGGTCCTGCCTTTTCTCAAACCTCTCTTTCCTCTTGGGCGCTCATTTACTTGCCTCTTTGCTCCCTTTTCTCTGACACTCGATCCTCTCTCTCTCTCTCTCTCCCCCCCCCCCTCCTCCTCCCTCCCCTTCCGCCCCGGCTCGGTTGATGGGTGTTAGTTTTTGCTTGTGATCGTCGTCCCCATTCCACTTGTACATCTCACAGTCTTTCTTCGACACTACATCATGTCAAGTCGTCAACAGATTGATTCCGTCATCGACGATGATGACGAGTTCTGGTACGTGTGGCCTTGCGCCGTCGGGTGCTCGGATTCTCAGGCTGACGACCTTTGTTTCTTCTAGCCCTCTCTGTATCGAAGAGTTCGATCTGTCGGATAAGAACTTCAAACCTTGTCCCTGTGGATATCAGGTACGTCTTTCGCTCTCTTACGTGTCCGCCCTTGCCGAGTCAACCAGATTCCTTCGCGGCTTGTTTCCCCGAACACTCGTCTCAAATCTAATTTGTATATCCGCAGATCTGTCAATTCTGTTACAACAACATCAAGACCCACAGTGAGGAAGGACGGTGCCCCAACTGCAGACGTGTCTACGATGAAAGTACCATCCAATACAAGGTTCCTGACGCCGACGAGTAAGTCGCTCCCGCCGGAAGTTGATTTGCACCAACCCTCGGTCCAGTCTTGGCATTAACCGTTTCTGTTCCGCAAATTTCTAGATTCAAGGCAGATCTCGCCCTCAAACATCGCAAAGCCGCCGCTGCGAAGAAGAAGGAGGCCGAGAAACGCGAGATTGAAGCCTCCAGTCGGAAGAACCTGGCTGGCGTCAGAGTCGTGCAGAAGAACCTCGTTTACGTGATCGGTCTCAACCCCACAATACGGGACGAGAGTCAGCTTCTGCAGACGCTGCGCGGCAGAGACTATTTCGGTCAATATGGTGATATCGAGAAGATCGTCGTCAGCAAGGCAAAGCCTGGTGGCAATCCAAACCAGGGCATTGGCGTTTACGTGACGTATGCGAGGAAGCAGGATGCCGCAACCTGCATAGCGGCGGTTGATGGGTCGGCTAATGGTGACCGCGTGTTACGGTAGGTCGATTCTCCGCGCCTTTGACCGGGCGCATTGCGACCGGCACTCGAGAAACTAACAGTTGTAGGGCGCAATACGGAACCACGAAGTATTGCTCGTCCTTCCTCCGCAACGAACAATGTCATAACCGAAACTGTACCTTCTTGCACGAAACTGGGGAGGACAGCGATAGCTACAGTCGCCAGGATCTCTCATCCATGAATACCCTGTCGAGTCAACGGCCGAACGGAGCCCCTACTGCTTCCGCCTACGCCATTCCTCCGCACGTTACTCGAACCTCTGCTCAACCTTTATCGCAACCGATGCGTCGTCAACCTAGTCGCGACGATGCGGCCGGCAGTCGGGTTCCCGATGGCCCCGCTCTTCCCTCGTCGGCTAGTTGGGCAAACAAGGACGCTGTTCTGAGTCGAGCTAGACGGGCTAGTCTCACAGGCAGTCAAGCGTCACAGAGCCCTCGGCCTGCCACTGCTACGGTCGCGCCTGTTCTGGAAGAAACGAAACCTATCGAAAGGTTGCCGCCCTCTACGCAGCAGGAGCCCGTCCAACAATCGCCCCCTCCTCCGGAGCGTAGATCCTCGACTCCACGTTCGCTTGAGCCTGTGCAGACGCCCCCACAACCCGAGACTCCATTGCTGGACAACCTTGTTAAGGCCGTAAACTCACCCGATTTCAAGTTCATTTTCTCGGCGGCTGGTCTGCCTGCGGAAGAAATTGCCTTGATTGAGAATCACCCCTCTTTCATTGACCCGTATGGTGGCGTTAAACGTCGCGCCATGCGCGAAAAAGCCGAACAAGAGCGCGCCAGACGGGAACAAGAATTACTACAGTCGGTGGCTGCCGAGGAAGAGAGTCGGGAGAGCGGAAGCTTGCAACTAGGTGGTGAGCCCGATGATGTTATGCCCCCTCGGGGTCGCAGCGGCCGCGAGTCTCACGGTGCTATTCAACCTCCCTCCCAGCAAGGCACAACCGAGAACTCCGCGGTGGGCTCTCCTGTGTCTGCCTCAAGCCACCAGTTCCAACAATTCAATCAGCAACTCAACCTCGCCGGTCGCAGCTTGACTCCCCAACAACAGCAGCAGCTACTCATCCTGAAGTCTGCCAACGACCGCGCTGCCATGGACCAGCTTCAGGGCAGTCTCGGTTCCGCTGCTCTTGATCAGGCCGCCCAGGTTCGTCAGGGTCTTCTCCAGAGTCAAATGGCGCAGTTGAATTCCCTTCAGGCTCAAAATCGCCAGAATTCCCGTTTCTCTTTCGCCAATGAAGTCAACTCGAAGAATCTTGCAAATGCCCGCATGCTGAGTCAACAGGCATCGTTGATGCAGTCTGTCGGCACCCCCAATCCGCTTGCAGCGCCCAGTCCACAGCACGGACTCAGCGGTGGCTACTTTCCCAGTGGTGTACAGGGTCCACCCCCTGGCTTGAAGACGGCTGGTACGCCTCCGATCAGCGGCGGTGGTATGTTCGCCCAAGGACACGGTTTCACCACAAACACTAGTCTCGGACTTGGAGCCAGTATCGGCAAGCAAGAAGCTAATCCCGACTTGATGCGTGAGTTGCTGCGTGGCCGCAATGGTGCCGGTGCCAGTGGTTTGCAGGGTCAAGAGGCCGCTAAGCGTGAGTTCATCCTTCCTTTCCTTCAGCAGCACCAAACCCCCCCTCCCCTGACTCCTGCCAATAATGGCCTTCTCGGCTCTTTCTATGGCTCTCAGCCGGGGACCTTCTCCGATTCTGGGCCACAGAAGCAGAAGAAGAAGGGGAAGAAGCACAGACACGCTAACACTTCCTCCGGTGGAGGTGGTGTAGTAGATCTTGCGGACCCGAGCATCCTACAGGCGAGGATGCATCAGAATGCTGCTGCTACTGCTGGGCAAGCACTGTACGGGAGTCAGGGCCAAGGTGGGTACAATCAGACCATGATGTATGGCGGCGGATTCAACCGCTGGTGATTGTTTCCCTTCCCTTTCCATAATATCCATATGCCTCCATAATGCCCTAATTGCCTCGTCATTCCCCCTTCCTCCCCCTTCTCTTTCCGTTGCTCATGATGACTACCCTTTTTCTCTGCATGTACTTCGCTACCTCCCGTATGCCTTTTGCGCTTCTATCTCCTCCCCGTTTTCTTTTTGTTCCTGATGACATGATATCATACTTATCTAGATGGGTCTGGGATATGATCTCTTATCTTTCTCTTATTCCTCATTGTGATGTTGCCCTTGTTCATTCGATGTTGAAAACTTTGCGACATATTCCACTTTGCAACGATGCATTAAGCAAACGGCTCTTGAAAAAACAAGGAATTCGGGCGGGGCGTGCCCTTGGCGTTATCTTTCATGGAATTCTTCGATTCTGCGTTGCTTTTATTTGACCTGTCCTGTCTCTGTCTTCCTCTTGCTTGTTGTTCTTGCTGTCCTCGATTCGCGCGTGCAGATATGGCGTCCTTGCACCCAATGGGCCCCTTGTGTTTTCCAGGTCCACTGCAAGTTGGTGGCTATCGTTTACTCCTGTTGTTCTTTCATCCATGCTGCGTTGACCTATCAGCATCTTGGTGGCCCAATCGGTCTGGTCATGGTTCTCATGTACGTTAACCTCCCTGCCCTGGCTTTTCATAAACACAAGCAGGGTCCTCTATCCGAAACCAATTTCTCACAACCATTGTTCATTTAGACACTATGCCTTGTGTGTCTTCCTGGCCACATCGGTTGGGGACCTTTATGTAATTAATTGCCTGCATTGACCCTTTCGTATCTGCGCGTCGTCTCGTCTTGTCGGCATGCCCTGCTTGTTCTTGTCTTGTTGCTTTTGCCGTTTGGATTTCGTCATTCTCTCCTCTTGTCACCTCTACATGACATCACACCCACCCATGCATCTCTCACCTGAAGATGGCTAACCGGGCTGGTTTCCTAGTTGACGAAGAATTCCCTCCGCTGGGAGCGCAGCCAAAGGACAAGCGTACCGTTGACAGCTTCGGATATCTTGTTCGCTCTCAATTCGCCAGCGACTCGCAAAGCTCTGCTCGTGCTGGAACCCCGACGCTGCCCCCCGGCCTTCCTCTTCCACACGCCCACCCCGCATCAGCCTTGTTTCAGAGTCCATTGAATCCGTCCAGTCCAACGACTTCGGTGTCCGTGCCGCCTGGCTTGAACCCACCATTCTCTCGACTGGGGACCCCATCTCAAGCATATCGGGGAGACATCTCCCGACAATCGTCGCCTGAGGTAAATGATACTCCTGACGATGTGCCCGCTTCTAGTCGCGTGAAGAATGTGTCGGAGATATCACTGGGCTCGCCTGTACCCAAATCCACAAGCAAGGCTCGCTCGCAGGCCAAGGGTGACCTAGCCGTTTTTACTGAAAAGAAGCCCATCGGCGCGTCCAAGCATACCTTTGCGAACGAGAAGGTTGTTTCCACCCCGGTGAAGTCCAAGCCCATCAGATTGGACCTGTCTCTTGGGACTCCTCAGGATGCTCCTAAAGCAGATCAAGTAGCTCCGAGTACGCACGGGCCAGTCCCGATTTCCGCCATTGGCTCCCGTCCCAATACCCCGTTGACCGGTGTCTCACGGGTCTCTGATTCTTCTGCTCCACGGCAGCCAAGGGTGCTTCGGGTGGTTGACACGCCTAAGACTGAGACTCCGCCCCCTCCTTCTGCCCCGCAGTCTGTCTCTTCTCTACCAACTGCCAACAAAGCTCGCTCTCGACGTCCTAGCATATCGTCCATGAGCAGGCCAGATACTCCGGGTGACTTCGAATCCGAAGCCGATATTTACACCTCAGCATCTGTGTCCCGTGCTAACTCCCCTCCCGCTGCCTCGCGAATTGGCTCTGCTCCCGTCCGGGCTATCACCAAGAGTCAAGCTAAGAAAGAGCGACGCCAGAAGGCCAAGGAAGCTGAGGCCAAGAAGCAGGAGACTCCTACTATCGCGGAAGAGCCAGTCCAAGCTCCCATCATTGGCCGCAAGCGAAAGACTAAGAAGACTCCTGTGACCACTCCCGACACGTCGACTGCGGCACCAGAAACCGCCTCGGAAGCTGGAAAGCCCGTCACACCTGCTAGTGCTGAGAGCAACGACAAAGCAGAACAGCGAGCCGAAGCTGCTAAGAAGGCTAAATCCAAGGACAAGGCGCCCAAGGAGGTTAGCCCCGCTCCTGTTGAGGTGAAAGCAACTCCCGAGCCCAGCACTCCTGCTGAAGCCTGGCGTTCAAAGAACACCGTGGAACAGTTGATCAAGGATGCAGAGTCCAGCAGCGGTTCCATCAAGGACCTGTTCGCCGAACGAACATCGCCTTTACAGGTTCTGCTCGCCCAGCTACACAAATCGGGCCATCTGGATCTGAATCATCACCCCTTATTCAACCCTACCAACCTCAACCAGCGGTTCGACATGAAGTGCACTTCGGATGACTATGAGATTTTGAAACAGCCAATTGAACTTGCCGAGGAACACCGCAAGGCTCTGCTCCGTGGAGAGCCCATTCGTATACACTCGGACCCTGGCTTGTTGAAGGACCGCTGTCTGATTACCCCTCGCGGCTGTGTCCTCCGTCACCTGTCGCAGGAAGAGGAAGACCGCTATCTCGCGCTGGAGAAGAGCATCGCTTGGGCAGTTGAATCATTCCAAGAATACTCGTCTGCTCCCATCACGGAACCAGATGTGACTAATCGCGTTGGTGGCCTCGATGCTCTCTTCGCCACCCCGGAGAACTTCAACACCTGCTGGGCGGACGAGAACTCGGTTACCCTTTCTGCTGTGTCCGCCTCGGCATCTCATTCTGGCGCGCCCGAGGTTACCAGTTTGTCAAGCATTCCTGCCCCGCCCAATGTTCTCTCGGCCATGGAAGCAGACAGCACCCGAAGCCACAATTGGGCCATTGCCAACACCGCTGAACTGGTGAATGCAACGGCCACCTCGGTGCGCTCCTTTGCCGCCGCCACGGCTAAGCACATGCTGGGTGCAGCGGGCGTTGTCATGGGTAGTATTCCGGACCTGGACGATGTGGTGGGCATGACGACAGAAGAATTACGCTCCTTCGCGGTCAAATCGCAGAAGGATCTGGAGTCCTCGCGCAAGGAACTGGACACGATTGACAAGAAACTCAATGCTCTGGTGAAGCGGAACCGTAAGCTCGCGCAGCAGGCTCTGGCCACGACCGTTGAGGGCTAAGGCGTTGTGGACTGGCGGTCTCTTACTTCTAACTGTATCAACATTTCTCTTTTTTCTGTTTATGATGAGCTCGGCTTCTGCCTCTGTATTTTTATTAGGCCTGTATTTTTACCCATGTTGCAGGAAAAAATCCGATTTCATGGCGTCTGGGATGGATGGATTGGGTTTGCAGCCGGTTAAACATAATGCATCATACGTTGATACTCGCATAATTGCATAATTGAAGCGATCGAATGGGTAAAACCAAGGTTACATCGATTCTGAGTCTGTCTCCTGGGCGGGGATCTGCACTGCACCTCCGCCCACTAGTCAATTTAATGCTTGTTTGGTTTGTTTCTCCCGCCAACCTCCATCCTCCATCCTTCTTCCCTCTTCCAGGTTCCATTTATCCGGTCCTACATGGATCCGGTTGTACAATTGGCTTCGACCTCCATCTTTGACATGCTTCAAAGGCCTGCCTGATGAAGCTTCCGAATCGCCAAGCGGGGACCCGAGTAACCAAATATCCAGCACCGCATACCAGAGCACAAATGTGGCCTGTCCGATTGCCGTCCGAACATTCCGTACAACCAGCTTCCCCCTCCCTTGGCTCCGTCACTTTTGACTTATATAGTCTAGTCGCTCAGACTTGGACCCTTGCTGCAGGATGACAAGACGTCACTCATCGTTGTCTCGGCTGAACTCCGATTCTTCCTGGTTGTCGTCGTGAAATGAGATAAAGCCCCGTCTCTCCTTGCCCGCAAGTGGAGCGTGGATCAAGAAACAACCATCTTCTCCAAGTTCCCCCTCCTTTCCCCGCTGAATAGAGAGAACAACCATGCGTGCGCTTCCCACAACAGCCACCACGCTGTTGGGCGTATTGTCCTTCCCCTCGGCGAGCAGAAGCCAATATGTTCGTGACCTGGGTGCTGAACAATGGACACTCAGCAGTGCCGCGTTGAATCGTACGGTGCCGGCCCAGTTTCCGTCTCAGGTACATATGGATCTCTTGCGGGAGGGAATAATTGGTAAGATGATGAGCTCTTCCATTCGCCAACTAGTCTCTGGGCTGTGATTTGCTGATGATATCCAATATTTACAGATGAACCGTAAGAATTGACCCTGCACCCTGCTTTGATGATCCTCTACGTTTTTAGAAGGGATACTGCATATTGTTTAGCGATCTTCTCTAATAAGACTCTGCACAGGTATAATGATTTAAATGATTTCAATCTGAGGTGGATTGCGGATGCCAATTGGACGTACACCAGCGGGAAGATTGAAGGCTTGTGAGTGATTTCCGTCCAGTACCGTGGTGACATACATTTGGGTTTGGTTTTTCTTTTGGGGTGGGGAGGTAAGTAATTTGAGCTTGCTAATTTGGATCTTTGGTTACTGTAGAGGGGAGGACTATGATTCCACGTGGCTGGTGTTCGACGGGCTGGACACGTTCACCTCGATCTCGTTCTGCGAACAATTCGTCGGGGCAACGGATAATCAGTTTCGACAGTACATGTTTGATGTCTCTTCCATTCTTAAAGACTGCCCTGAGGAACCGACTTTGAGTATTCAGTTTGGCAGTGCGCCGAATATTGTGGATGCCATTGCACGAGACCCGAGTTCGCCGAGTTAGTGGTGCCTTTTGTTTCCCTTAAGGATTGTTTTGATGTGGGATGCAGAGCTAATGATGGTTTAGCATGGCCCGAGGGAGTCCAAATCACCTACGAGTATCCTAACCGGTGGTTCATGCGCAAGGAACAGTCGGATTTCGGCTGGGACTGGGGTCCGGCATTTGCGCCGGCTGGACCTTGGAAGCCCGGATACGTGGTTCAGTTGAAACAGGCGGCCCCGGTGTATGTCCGCAACACGGATCTAGATATCTACCGGCTGGGACAAATCAATTACCTCCCGCCTGATCAGACCCAGCCGTGGGTGGTTAATGTCAGTCTGGACTATCTGGGCTCTCTGCCACAGAACCCGTCTATGGCGATTGAGGTGAAAGATCTACAGTCCGGAGAGATTCTTGCTTCACGGCCACTGACGAACATCACTGTCACCGAGGGCTCGGTCACGGGCGTCACGGTTCTGGAGGGAGTAGACCCGAAGTTGTGGTGGCCGCAGGGTCTGGGTGATCAGAACCTCTATAATGTGACCATTTCGGTTACCGATGGGAGAAATCAGTCTATCGCTGAAGTCACGAAGCGAACTGGTTTCCGCACGATCTTCCTCAATCAGCGCAATATCACCGACGCTCAGCTAGCGCAAGGGATCGCTCCCGGGGCGAATTGGCACTTCGAAGTCAATGGACATGAATTCTATGCTAAGGGATCGAACCTGATTCCACCAGACTGCTTCTGGACTCGAGTTACCGAGGACACGATGACTCGACTGTTCGATGCAGTCGTGGCTGGCAACCAGAACATGCTCCGCGTCTGGTCCTCTGGAGCTTACCTTCACGACTATATCTATGACCTGGCGGACGAGAAGGGAATTCTTCTGTGGAGTGAATTCCAGTTCAGCGACGCGCTGTACCCTACAGATGACGCTTTCTTGGAGAACGTCGCTGCGGAGGTGGTTTACAACGTCCGACGAGTCAACCACCACCCATCTCTGGCCCTATGGGCCGGTGGCAATGAGATCGAATCTCTGATGCTGCTGCTTGTCGAGGCGGCCGATCCAGACTCGTACCCTTTCTACGTGGGCGAGTACGAGAAGATGTACATCAGTCTCTTCCTGCCGCTCGTCTACGAGAACACGCGGTCCATCTCTTACTCTCCCAGCAGCACCACCGAGGGCTACCTGGACATCGACCTCTCCGCACCCGTCCCCATGGCTGAGCGCTACAGCAACACCACGGAGGGCGAATATTACGGCGACACGGACCATTACAACTACGACGCGAGCATCGCCTTCGACTACGGCACCTACCCGGTGGGCCGGTTCGCCAACGAGTTCGGCTTCCACAGCATGCCCAGCCTGCAGACTTGGCAGCAAGCCCTCACGGATCCGGCCGATCTGACCTTCAACAGCAGCGTGGTCATGCTCCGCAACCACCACTACCCCGCCGGCGGCCTCATGACCGACAACTACCACAACAACTCGCTCGGCATGGGCGAGATGACCCAGGGCGTGCTGGCCTACTACCCGACGCCCAACATCCCGTCCGACCCCGTGGCCAACTTCAGCGCCTGGTGCCACGCGACCCAGCTCTTCCAGGCGGACCTCTACAAGTCGCAGATCCAGTTCTACCGGCGGGGCAGCGGTCTGCCCGAGCGCCAGCTAGGGTCCCTGTACTGGCAGCTCGAGGACATCTGGCAGGCGCCCTCGTGGGCGGGGATCGAGTACGGCGGCCGCTGGAAGGTCCTCCACTACGTGGCGCGCGACATCTACAAGCCCGTGATCGTCTCGCCGTTCTGGAACTACACCACCGGCGCCCTGGATATCTACGTCACCTCGGACCTGTGGACGGCGGCCTCGGGGAGCGTCACCCTCACCTGGCGCGATCTGTCGGGCAAGCCCATCGCTTCGAACGGCGGCCTCCCCACCAAGCCGCTCCCCTTCCACGTCGGTGCGCTCAACTCCACGCGTCTGTATCGGATGAACATGAAGCAGCAGCCCCTGCCGCGGCACGAGGATGCCATCCTGGCACTGGAGCTGACCGCGACGGGGTGCCTGCCGAACACCGACGAGGAAGTTAGCTTCACCCATGAGCAGTGGTTCACGCCCGCGTTCCCGAAGGATTTGGATCTGGTTAATCCCCGGGTCAGGGTTGAGTATGATGCGGCGTTGGGAAAGTTCGCGGTCGAGGCGACGGCCGGGGTGGCGCTGTATACTTGGTTGGAGCACCCGGAGGGGGTGGTGGGGTACTTCGAGGAGAATTCCTTTGTGGTGGTGCCGGGCCAGAAGAAGGTCGTGGGGTTTGTGGTGCAGGCGGATGAGACGGACGGGGAGTGGGTGCATGATGTGACGGTCAGGAGTCTGTGGAATCTAAATGGGGGAGAATAGAGGCGAGAGGATTCTTCGTGGGAATAGGATCTAGTAGTCGGTAGGCGATTGTGTAGTCTAGTGTATAGAATTGAATAAATGACATGGTTATGTGTGAGGATTCTCTTTGTGGATGGATATTGTACTTCCTCTGCCAAGCCTGCACAGCTTTGAGCTTAAACATAAGCTGGACCCTGCTATTAGTGTCAATGGATAACTATACACGCCATTGTGAAGCGCCAGGTTATGAATCGGGTTGATTATTCGACGATTTTATGTATGGGCTTGCAGGTCAGATCTTCAGGTGCAAGACCGTATAGATGGATGTGGCGACAGTCAGATTTTTTCAAAGGGGTTCCTAGTAAGTAGTATGTCGATTATGGATGAAATGGTGATGAGTTTACTGGCCCAAAGAGGAAAGCTTGATGCCTTGAGAGTCATGGAATCGGTGAGGAAGGAAGAACTCTACACGAATTCACGGTGTTTACATACTCGCTGTCCTGTTTGAACTCATGTGACCTCGCTGAACCGAGGCGTTACACGCACAACGCCGATATAGTAAATCAGCTTGATTGATTAGGTTGCACAGGGGACTATGGACAGTGAGTCAAAGCTGACAGGAGTAAGTTGAAGTAGTGAAAGCTCCTGTCTTCAGAACACTGTATATGACTGTGGGGAATATATCTCCTACAGCTCTACAGTATCTACGTCTTGGGGAGATCATCTACGTGAAACAAAAAGCGTATAACTGCTATCTCATATTGATTAATAGATCATATAGCAAGACAACTGATTCCTGATATTGAAGAACACACTTCAGATGATAGCAGGACTGGCATCAATCTAGAAGAGTGAGAGGTGATGCTAATAGAACGAACTAAGGTCATAACTGGTTATACACAAAGCTGACTAACACACCCACACCCGCATCGCTACACTCCCATGTAACGACCCGGCATAACCTTCCTTCTCGCCCGCGATACACCATTTCCACTCTATACTTCCTTATCAACGCCTTCCCCCTCCCCGCGACCTCACCGCGCCGGCCTCCCAGGCCCGGTAGAACTCAACCCTCAACATTTATAACTCACATCCAACCTCGAAATACCCCTCAGGGGAAATATCCTTCCAAAATGCAAGGCTTCAGTAAGTTACCCCGCCGTACCCACCGCACCCCCCGCACCCAACACCAAACCTACCAGCAGCAATCACTAAGCATCACCCATCACAGACATGGGACGGTTCGTCTTCAGCCAAACCCTCCCCCGGGTTTCAGTCCCCCCCTGCCCTACCCCCCTAACTCCTGATGTACTGTGACCAGCTACGTCCCCCCCGACCAAGAAGGCACAACCACCGGCAACGCCCTGCACAAGAAACACCCACTGGGCGCACGCGCGCGCCACCTCAAAACCACCGGCAGCCTCATCGTGCGCTTCGAGATGCCCTTCGCCGTGTGGTGCACCACCTGCCAACCCCACGAGACCCTCATCGGCCAGGGGGTGCGCTTCAACGCCGAGAAGAAACAAGTCGGGAAATACTTCTCCACCCCGGTGTACAGCTTCCGGATGAAGCATGCCGCCTGCGGCGGGTGGATCGAGATCCGCACCGATCCCCAGAATACCGAGTATGTGGTTGTGGAAGGGGGGCGGAGGAGGGATCTGGGGATTGCTGCGGGAGGCGGGGATGGGGAGATTGTGCTGCCGGGGCCGGGGCTTGGGTTGGCGCAGGTGGGAAAGAAGATTCATGGGGAGGTGGATCCGTTTGCGAGGGTGGAGGGGAAGGTGGAGGACAAGCGACGGGGCGAGGGGGAGAGGGAGCGGATTTTGGAGTTGCAGGTGCGGCAGGCAAGGGATTGGGAGGATCCGTATGAGAACTCCAGGAAGTTGAGGAGGGGGTTTCGGGAGGAGAGGAAGGGGTTGGAGCGGAAGGAGGCTGAGACGCAGTCGTTGAGGGATAAGTTGAGTCTCGGGATTGAGGTCGTCGATGAGACGGAGGGGGATCGTGTGAGGGCCGGTTTGGTGGAGTTTGGGGAGCAGGGGAATACGTCCACCAGGCTGAAGCCGCTGTTTGCGGCCGGCCCGCGGGCTCGATCTACGGGCAAGGAGGGGGATGCGCTGGAGTCGCGCAAGGCCTTGTTTCGCAGTGAGTTGAGGGGTAATACTCGCGCGGCGGTGGATCCGTTCCTCAGTAGTGATTCGAGTGAGTGGCGTCCGGAGAGCAAGAGACGGAGGACTGTTGCGAATAGTCGGCTTGCTGCTGAGGAGGCGGCGGCGGCGGCGAGAGATAGCAGTGCCACGCCTGACAGTGAACCCGTGAGGACGGCAGAGACCACGCCGCCGCTGGCTTCGGCTGGGCTGGTAGATTACGCGTCGGATTCTGATTGATTCTACATGGTGCATATGCTACATTGGCGTTACTTGGTTGTTCGTGATACCCTGGGTGGTTGTTGATATATCTGGATTACCATATTGAGTTTTATGACTGCATGGCTGCATGCCTTCTACTCTGAAGATTGCGATGTGAGAATGTGAGCATCATTGATGCGTCGGGTATATGGTTGACAGTAGAACTTTTGCAGATGGCCAGCTTACTTAGCCCAAGGGGCCTTGGTGAGCATGTCCTCCTGGGCTGCCGGTCCATCCGGAGCCGACCTTTGCTGGGCACTCGCCCACGGCGCTCGGGTAGGCGCCATGGGTCCGGGGGGTAACCGTGAGGTATCAGGGAGAATCGGGGCTCTTGCTGGGCCTCCAGCCCAGGGTGCAGCTGTGCCACCACCCGCTGGGTTTGCCTGTGAGCCGGCAGCCCAAGGAGCCGTGGTCCCCGGTGCAAGAGAAGGTTCCTGGGGTCGCGACTGAGGCCCTGAAGCGGCATGCACCGTTGACGGAGGGGGCACCGCATTGGGGTCGCGATCCCAGCTGAACAAGGATCCAAAGGGAAAATGCTGGACGACGGGGAACTTGGACAGAACTTCCGCATTGTACATCTTGATCATACCCTAGCAGCTGTCAGTTGCAAATGCTTCTGCTTGGTCGGACGCGAAAGTACCTTGTTGATCTTGGCCCAGCCAGTGCGGATGCCTGAAATATCGTAGAGCATCGGACTATGTTCCCAGAACGGCCCCTTCTTCACATCGTAGATGAACCCAATAGCAGAGAAATACAGGTTGGTTTGTCTCTCCCGTTCCACGACGGCCGCCTTCGCGACACCGTTGGGGTCAGGTGCATCAGGAAGGGAGCCTTCCTCAGGTACTTGGTCCGTTTGCGAAAGCGCCGGGGCGTACTGCGCCGAGCCGAAGATGTAGGGAATGAACGAATGATCGTCTAATCCCCATACGCCGTGAGACCCAGCCGGCTCCAGGGTGTAGGTCTTGATGATGATGCGGACGAGTTCCAGGTAACTCATTCAGGTTTAGCAGGATATTGGTCTTTGATTGGACGTCAAACTCACGGTTGGATCACGCCTAAAACGATAGCTCGTTCCTCCACCCCAGGGGTGTTCTGAGGGAACCCATTTAGCTTCCATAGGGCTCCCAAGAAGGCCAGAAAGCTCAGCTCGTGACCCGTGCCGTAATCGAGGCGTTGGGGACTTCCCCAGCTACCAAGAAAATAGGCCTTCAGTTCTACTTCGGCTGTCGGGCCGTTGGGGTCGGACGATTTAGTCTTCAGAAGGTCTGCGGGCAGGCACTCTTCCAGTAGGCTTGAGACGCGGCTCTCCACGATTTCATACCACCGGCGGAAGCTGATGTTCCCAAATCTGCGGGGCCCCTTATCGGGTGGTGCTTCTTCTAGAATCGCTTCGAGCTTGGATAGTAGTTGCTGCAGCTGACGGACGGGGGCGGAGTACTCGACCGCATCGGATCCCACAGGCCAGGTCTGAACACGCCCATCTGGCAGTTTGGCGGGGAACATGGACCGGTTGAGCTGCAGCAAGAAAGTCATAATATCCACATAGCCTCTGGAGCACAGGAACTCCGACACATCCTGGTGCTCGTGGATGCGTTTGATGGGCTCCCTGAAGCTGTGTCCCGCGGAGGGGTCAATGACAGGCAAGACACGGACCAGCCCGTTTGCAGCCATCGTGGAAATTGGTGTGACTGTTTCTTTGTCCGAGTGATGGAGGAGTCTCAGCGATCAGGTGGTCTAGTTTTCTGATTTGATAGATCAGTTTTTTGAGGCTGCGCCAACAGGTTGCGTCGCCCTCGTGAAAGCCGTGGTTGTGGGGGGATGGACGGGCGGCGAGTTGTTGCTGTTGTTGGCTCGGCCGCCCGCAACTTATCGATAACGGTCGATGACGCTTGGATGGACTAGTGAGTTAGAGTGTGTTATCGATTGTTTTGGTCCGACAACCCGCAGCCGCAGCTGTCAGTCGCACCCCCCGAATCAAGTCCCCGCAAAATCACACTGCCTTTTTCCCCCTTCATTCTAAACTCACAATGCTATGAAGGAACCGCAACTGCGTGTCCCGTTGAGGTTCAAATCCCATGGGCGTTCAACATGGCGAGATCCCCGCAGTCCGCCGCGTCGCGACGAAGGAAGCGTGATTCCACCACGCAGTCGGTGGATTTTTTGAACACCGTGATGCACAAGACCTTTCCCTCCAAGCCAGACATCACCTCTCCGAATACCCCTACACGCCGTACACGTCGCACCACTCTCGCGGAAATCCGACCCTCTCGCGAGGACCCGTGGGAGATTCCGCGATCCCCTGAATTGGCACCAGCGTCGGAGCCCCGACGTCGACTCCCAACGAAACTCACCACTGCCCAGACATCGTGGAAATCTCGACTGCGAGGCATTTCAGAGGTTGAATTTGGCGGAGAAGTGGTTACACCCGGGATTCAAGGGCTACACAAGGGTGGGGTTACGAAAAACGATAGCGGGGAAGGAAGTGAGGGTGCTTACGACTATGCTGAGGATGATGAAGATGCAGAGGTTCTTGGAAAAGTTGGCGACAAAGAAGACCATGGGCCTGATGATGACACCGAGATGATTGATGTTCAAGAGGAGGGGTCCATGGAAGACAATCCACCTCAGTTGAATCTTTTCTCCGATAACGATCAAGAGCTTACACCTGCACAGCATACATCCAGTTCGTCTTCCGTGCCCGATGACGATGAGTCGCAGCTACAACCAGTGAAAAGACTGGCGAAGCCGAGCAGTGCCCACTCGCATCTAGCAGAAGACATGGATTATTCCGAGGATGAGCAAGAGCATGCCTCCCAAGCATCGGGCAGCAGCCAGCGACGACCCACAAGTTCATTTTCTCAGGCTAGAAGCGATAGTGAAGAAGAAGTGGAAAGTTTGTCAGATGAAGCATTGGGTGATGACTATTCAGATTCTACGGGCCAGACTTCAACAACTGCGGAAAATCGTACCGAGCGGCGAGGAAAGGCTTCAATGCCAGTGGAAAAAGGCCTTAGTCCCAAGCCTATCGGTGAAAAGGAGCGAAGGAGAACACAAGGAACAGTAGCAGCACCTCCCAGCTCCTCGCGAAGTCGTGCTGTCGGAGTATCAGCTCCAAGTCGAAAAGAGCCACCGCCGGGACGATCAACTAGGTCGGTGACTACAAGAAAACAAGGTGGAGCAGATCCATCGCACCATTTACGGATTCGCAATCCGCCTCGACAAATCCAAGACACGCCTGATGAAGCCCGTGAAGCCTCCGCAGATGATGCATACAACCCCACTGGTTCAAAAGACGAACGCGATGACTCGGGCGATTCGGGCGTGCATGCTGCTGAGGCCGAACCGTCCCCGATTGCAACCCCAAGGAAACGAAGACGGACCGCTGTCCCGTTCCCAACCGTGCAAGCACCGCCGTCCCGCCAAGAGGCAGATGTAGCACAGCCGACTCCTGGATCACCACATTCTGGAAGCACCGACTCTCAAGTGAATCCACATTCGCAGGGTGCATCGGATGAAGATAACGACTCCAGCCAGAGCTCGGACAATGAATCGGATTCCTTAGCGGACAGCCCGTGGTTTGGGAAAGCGTCCGAGGCGGATGGCCAAAAGAAAGGTTGGAAGGCTATTATCAGGCAAGGTCGGAGATCCACTCGATTACGGGAGTCATACAGAACTACTGAGCTCGACTCGATCCGAAAACCGATCTGGTCGATGATCGCGCTTTACAACAACCTCGTAGAACGCTCCGAGGCTGGCGAAGGGCCTTCGGACAACGAAGTCTCACGTTGCGGTCGACTCCTGAGGAAGGCCAACGAGAAGCACGAGAAGCTGCTCCACAAGGTCTTCAACTTGGGCAAGGAAGGAAGTACCCGGGCCGACAAGAAGCAGGGGGTGGCCCTGGTGCAGGCCTTCTACAAGGAGATCATTCCGCCTATGGCGAAGGTTGTGTTCCTTTGCTACGAGATCTACCATACCCACGAGAATCTCTTCAGTGAGGCTTATGGCAACCTTTGTGACCATCTGACTACGCTGTCCGAGTGGATTCAGTGGGTAGACTCGATCTCTGGCTATCTGGATCAACCGAGCTGCGTTGAGTGGGGCCTTCGTCGCGCCCTAGGAGAGCTCGTCCAGGCCTTGAATTATGGCCGGCTAAAGAAGGCGCAACGACCGAAGCCCCCCGAGAAAAAGAAAGGGCCGCCACGGGGGAACCTGAACCCATGGACGCAGGATGAAGAGGATGCTCTTTGCCAGGGATTGCAAAAACACCCCGGTAAGTGCTTTCACACCATGATCGAAATTATGGATTGAGTGCTGAAGAGATGATTTTGTAGAGAAATCGACCAACCGTTATAAGTTGATCATGGGGGATTCTCGGCGGCGGCTCCCGAAGCGCGGCATCATCGATCTCCGCAAGAAAGCTCGAGAGTTGTATGAAAAGTACATGTCGGAGATAGAAGAGGAGTTGACAACAGAGGAGGGCCGGAAGAAATGGGAGTGGGTGACCAACATCCCCGGGTCGCGTTAATTTTAGAACTAACCTCCAGCACTGTTATTGTTGGTGTTGAATTCCTCCCAACCACGGGGCATGGATGGAGGACGGCGGGTGGTCGGAACCATGGATCCCATTGTTTTGAATAGCGGGGAAAGGAGAAAGGGGATGGATTAATCCACAACAAGAGATTCAATGAAATGTAAATATGTAAATATGTAAATATGGTCCGGGCAACTCAATGACAGATCTTGTTCCGGAGACGGGTGAACATTGGCTGTGCAGTCAGTTAGTCAGTTAGCTCAGTTATACATTGCCAACCAATAGTTCAGGGTGGGAAGAGGCTGGCTTTTTGTTTCTGGTTGGAGGGGAAGGGGAAGCTCCTTTTCTGGGGGAGGGGGAGACGTACTGGTGGTGGACAGTAACTACTAGACAGTGGCAGTACTTCTTCACATACATACTACTAGGTAGCTTCCTCAGCTTCCTTCCTTCCCTTCCCCTCCTCCTCCTCCTCCTCCTCCTCCTCACTCTCCTATTCTTCCACTTCCACTTCTTCCGCTTCTCTCCCTCCCTCCCTCTTCTCTCTTCCTCTCCCCCATCCCTCTCTTCTCTTCCATTTTGACAATCCGCTCATCACTCCACCTTCATCTCTCTCTGTCCTATTTTTCTCTTGTACTTACTTACTTTGTAATACTATAATTGATTTCTTCTTCTTTTCATTTCCGACCTCTCTCCGTTCCGTTGTTGGGAACCTTTTGTGGTTGATACTACTTCCCACCAGCGCCAGTTCTCGGTAAGTAGTAAGCCAACTGCTCATACTACCTTCTCCCCTCTGGGTCTGCATGCCCGGGGCAGAAGCATAAACCCCTCCTACGATTCCCGTTCCCTTCCCCTCCATGATCTTTTCATTTCTGTCGGAACAATTGTCGGAGCAAGGCTCCTTGCCATTGAGAGAAGCCCGCTCAGGTTGGTTGCGCAAATTGCGCTTGTCTCGTCCTGTTCTCCGCCTGGATACCCTCCCCCCGGAGTTTGGAGGGCTAAAAAAAAAAAGGAGATCCGCCTCGGCTACCCGTCGCTGCTCCCTCCGCCGGATTGAAGAGAAACAAAAACATTCAACCTCACTGGCTTGCGTTCTTGCCTCTATTCTCCTTGGTGATCTGGTGCTAGCTGGCGACTTTGGCTACTCTTTCCACTTCTGGCCAGCTGGAGCTGTATCATCTGCATTGTCCCTTTTAGCATTGTTTACTCGACTTTACCCCCTCAATTTATTTTGTCTTCGCTGTCCGAGCTAACGTGGACACTGTCAATTCGCTAGACTCCCCACTTGAGAACTTTCTCTCTCCCTCCCCTTTTAAGAAGCTCGTGGTGCCCACCCCCTTTTGACCAACGACTCGCGACCTCCTCCCACACCGCATCATGGCTTCCACTGAGGATCCCGTCGCTCCTGTCGCTCCCGCTGAGCTTGAGGCCGACATCGCGCCCCCCGCGACTCCCGTCGAGTCCACCATCCTCTCCGGGAGCGAGGGACCCCTGACCAGCCCCGAGGCCTCCAGGGACAAGGAAAATGTCAAGGCATCGCCGCTCAAGAAGAGCCCAACAAGCACTACCACCACTAGACGTCCGCTCTCGGGGACGACCGGCGCTACGAAACGGCCCAGCTCGGTCTCGGGACCTCCCAAGACTACAACTTCGACCTCGCGCACCGCCACGACCAATGGGACCACCCTGAACAAGCCACCCACCCGGCCGACCAGTACAACCACTGTGCGCAAGCCCCTTGGCACTTCCACCACCACAAGCTTGCACCGGTCTCGCGCATCCGTCAGTTCCGCAGACGAGAAGTCCCGGTCGGTGGCTAGTTCCGGCGACGAGAAGCGAGGAATCTCCAGTGCAGCCAAGCGCATGTCGCTGGCAGGGACCCCCGCCACTAGGGCCCCGGTCAAGTCCACCACTTCCACCTTGGATCGACGCTCCAGCATTGCGGGCTCTACTACGGCCGAGAAGAGAACTTCCACCTCTCGTCCCAGTACAGCGTCCACCGTGAAGCCACTCGCGAGGCCGCCTACCGCTACGTCGGCCTCTCGCCCGACCACCTCCTCATCCGCCACGGCACGCCCGACCACCCGTCCCTCTTCCTTGGTCTCTAAGCCCGCCACGTCCACTGTGACCAAGCGCCTGAGCACTGCTCCCAAGAGTGCCGGAGAGGATGCGGAGAAGATCCAGTCCCTGCAGAACCAGCTGTCAGAGAGTGAAGCCACGGTCTCTAAACTCAAGGCGGATCTGGACACGGTCAACATCAAATTAACCGAATTGTCGTTGGCTCCGAATGACACTGCTACCCAGGATATCGACGAGGCCACCAGAGCGCTGCGAGAGCAACATACGGCGGAGATCGAGAAGTTGACGACCACGCATGAGGAGCAGCTGCAGGCCCTGCGGGTCCAGCTTGAAGAAGCGGAGGTCAAGCACAAGGAGCTCGAGGAGAAGTCTCTGAAGGATCTAGAGGAGGCGGCTCAGAAAGCTGCCGCCGCTGGAGACGATGATACCGCTGGTGCCTTGGAAGAACTGAAGCAGACCCATCAGGCTCAATTGGAAGCGCTCGAGAAGGAGCTGGAATTGCAAAAGGCTGCGGCTGCTGGATACGCCGAGCAACTCGATACCTTGAAGGCCGAGTTGGAGTTGCAGAAGAGCCACTACACGGAGGTCACCCAAGCCCTGGAAGCTAAGGCCACCAAGCTTGACGATCTTCAGCGAGAATTGAACGGCCGGGACCAAGTGGTGGAAACCTTGCACATGGAAATGGATCGCCTGAACCATGCTAAGCAACAAGAGGCTCGGGCGGCCGAGGAGGCTGCCAAGCAAACCATTGCTGCCCTGGAGGACAAGGTTGCCTCTCTCGAAACCAAGCTGGTCGAGGCTGGATCGGTCACCGACCAAAGTGGTGAGGAGACGGCTGCCCGTCTGGCTGAGAAGGATCAAGAAATCGCCGATCTGAAGGAAGCCCTCACGAAAGCTCAGGATGAACTTGAACAAGCCCGCGAGTCTGTGGAGATCGCGCTAGCCGAGAAGATCAAGGAGCTCGAAGCTGTCCACGAGGCCGCGATTGCCAAACTTCACTCCGAGCATCAGGAGATTTTGGAAAAGACGCAGGATGAGCTGCAGCAGGCACGCGACGCTACCGAGACAGGCTTGGGAGAGAAGGCCAAAGAGCTCGAAGCTCAACACCAGGTCGTCATCAGCCAGCTCCAGCTCGAGCATGAAGAAACCCTCAAAGAGGTGCGGGCCGAGCTCCAGAAGGCACGCGAGGAAGCCGAGGCCGGCTTGAGCGAAAAGTCCAAGGAGCTTGAGGCTGCCCACGAGGCTACGATCGCCAAGCTCCAATCCGAACATGAAGAAACTCTTTTGAAGGTGCAGGCTGAGCTTGATCAAGCACGCAATGGCACTGAGTCCGGCCTGGGAGAAAAGGTCAAGGAGCTCGAGGTCGCGCACGAGACTGCGGTTGCCAAGCTTCAGTCTGAGCATCAAGAGACCCTTGAAAAGGTCCAGGCCGAACTTCATCAGGCGCGCAACGACACCGAGACTAGCTTGAGCGAGAGAACGAAAGAGCTCTCTGCTGCTCACGAGGCCGCCGTTGCCAAGCTCCAACTCGAGCATCAAGAGGCTCTCGAGAAGGTGCAGGCCGAACTTTCTGAGGCGCGCAGCAGCACGGAGACCGACATGGGTGAGAAAGCCAAGGAGCTCGAAGCCGTTCACGAGGCTGCAGTTGCTAAAATTCAATCTGAACATGAGGAGACAGTCTCCTCTCATTCTGCTACCATCGCCGAACTGAAGGCGAAGCACGAGGAAGCGCTCGCTTCTGCTGCTGCTGCCCATGCACAAGAGCTTGCTGCTGCCAAGGAGGCGGTCGAGTCTGCAGGCACCACCCACTCTCAAGAACTTCAGGAGCTCCGGGACAAACTCCAGGCTTCCGAAGCCGCCCACGAAGCCGCAACTGCAGCGGCGCAGGAGGACCGCGAGGAATTACTTGCCGAGCTCGATGCTGCGCATCAGGCTGAGTTGAATGCCCTCCGACACCGGTTGGAGGCCACCGAGCAGAATCTCACTGAGGTCCGACAGGCTCTGGACGATGGTGCTAACTCGGCTCAGGACCTAGCCATCCAGGAGATTGAGTCTCTCAAGGAGAAGGTCGGGGCCCTCGAATCGCAACTGTCCACCGGCCAGGGCGAGATCAAGTCCCTCCAGGATGCGATTCAAACCAAACAGGGACAGGCCGAAGCCCTTCAGCAGAGCCTGGACGCTTTCGAAGACAAGACCAAGGCTAAGGATGCCCAGCAGCAGAGCCAGCTGAAGTCTTTGGAGGAAGCTGCTATCGCTGCCGGCAAGGAGCTGGAAGACAAGGCCAAAGAGGCCGCTGCTATTGCCGAGCAACACGCACAAACCCTCGAATCTATCCGGGCCGAACATGCTGTTGAACTTGACAAGGCTCGGACGGACGTTTCTGGGAATCAGGAGCAGGCACTTGGTGAGCTTCAGGCCAAATATGAGGAATCTGTGGCTCTTCTGCGTGACCTGGAATTCAGACACGCCCAGCAGATGGAAGCTCTCCAGGCCGAGCTCAACACGGCCCTTCAGCGCCATGCCAACGAGATCACCTCCCAGGCTGAGGTTCGCGCCCAAGAAATCGCGGAGCTCCAGAAGCAGCACGAGGAAACCCACAAACAACTCCAGGCTGAGCTGCAGGCCAGCCAGACCTCCAAGGCTGCCGAGTCGGATGCAGAGCATAGCAAGGCGATTGAGCAGCTCCTGACCATTCAGGAGGAAAAGCTTTCCAACCTCCGTGCTGACCTCGAGTCCACAAACCGGGCTAAGATTGAAGAGCTACAGAATGCGCACGACTCGACCCTGGCGGAAGTTCACGCTCAGCTCGTGGAGGCTCAAGCTGCGGCTCAGGATGCTTCCCTTCTGGAGAGCCTGAAGCTGACCATTGCCGACCTCCAGAACCAGCTGACGGAAGCCGAGCGGTCTGCTGCGGTGAGTGGTGAGCTCGCTGGCAAGCACAGCGCCGACCTTTCCAAGGTCGAGGCCGAGAAACACGAGTTGGAAGAGAAGCATCAAGCCGTGTCGGCGCGCGTCGAAGAGCTTGAGAAGACCTTGGTGGCTTCGCAGAGCGCAAGAACGGAGTTGGAGGCGGTCCTGCAACAGCTTGCCGCATCCAACTACGAACTGTCGCAACTCAAGAGCCAGCACGAGACTCTGACGGGCGAGCTCGAGCAGTTCCGCTCGCAGAACCGGAGCATGGAAGAGCGCGTTCTTCAGGGTGAACGAGACCTGAACAGCCAGATCGACAAGAACATGTCGCTCCTCAACCAGCTGGGAGAGGTCGACTCAATGATCTCGGCCAGCCGCAAGCGCACGCGAGAACTGGAGGCGGAAGTGGCGGCGCTGAAGGCCGAGCGGGACAGTGCCAAGGGCTCGTCGGTTGGCCTGGATGGCAGCCGGTGGGCTGGAGAGACCCTTGCCAGAGAAGACGGTGGTTCCACCGCAGTCGAAGGTGAGGACCTTGGTTCATCTATTCAGGGAACGGTGGGATCTCCCCGTTTATCGTCATCACCCTCTCCTACGGGACTGCCCCAATTCCACCCTTTCACATGACTACGCCCGTTCCCAATGTATGTGTCGACATGGAGACTGATTGGTTTTTCTTTTTTGGGTTATATAGATGGCCAGCATCCAAGAGCAGCTTAAGCACATCCGTACCACTAATGACGATTGGTATGACGAGCACCGACGGTAAGAGTCTCTTCCCATACTTGGCCGATGCACCAGCTGACCGGATGATGTCTCAGAATCCTTGGCGAATTGGCCGAGTTGTCTCGTCGAGCGACGCCTAACCCTCCGAGTCAGTCGACGACACCGCAACCCGAGAAGGCGAACGGCTCGAGCAGCAGTTCGGACGAGCAAGGGGTTGAGGAAGGATCCTCGTGAACGGGGAGAGAAGACTCTGGGCTCGGGGGAGGATGACCCTATTTCCTTTGTCGTATGATGTCCCGAAGAGGAATTTTCATTATTGTTGTATTGGCCTAGGCTGTATGTAATAGAATACTCAGGATACCCCTGTTCTCCGCTTTCTTTCTTGTGACTCTCCGTGTTCTACAAAGCCCCTCTCCAAGGGATCCCATTGGACGTGTAAGTGGTTGCACAAGACAAAACAGAAGGGCAAAAAGCCATCCACACCCGACGATTTCATGCCCGACTGGGTTGGAGTTGTTTTTTCCTGTTTGCTGTGCGGGTGACACCCCGCCAGGGAGGTTGCAAGGCCTCAATCGCACCGTATGTTTCTTCTGTCTCTTACCAATCGGCCTCCTGCTTTTCCCTCCTCGCCTCCCGCCTGGCCGCCTCGCTGCGTGGCCGCATTCGCGCCCAATAGCTCTGCACCGTCCCCCACCAGGGTTTTCGGGGTGGTTGTGGCGTGGCGTGTTTGCGGAGCTGTTCATATCGTGCCGGGGTGAGGACGCGGAGCGGCGGGGAGCGGCGGGGAGGATGGCGGTGCCAGTGGGCAGCGGCTGCATGTGTCTGTCGGTCTGTGTTGGTGTTGTTGTCTGCATCGGTGTCTGCATCGGTGTCTGCGTCAGCGTCTGTGTCTGGGTGGTCTCCTCCTTCGTGGAGGTACCGATGCTGCTCGAACGCTTGTCGGTCGATGGAGTCCAGGGAGGAGCGGTGGCGCAGCCAGTGCAGGATCTCTTGTGTTTGGAATTGGGTGTTTGGAGTAATAATTGGTGTAGGGGGGAAGATGGGTGCTTGCTCTTCTTCTGGGTTTGGTGTTGTGGTGTTGGTGGTTGTGGTTTTGTGGTTGGGCTCGGGTGCATTGTCGCTTTTCTTGGTGGTGGTGGTGGTGATGTTGGAGAACTGCTCTATATCTTTGCTTTTCTCGGGATTAATGATGTGGCTGTGGTTATCGGTATTCGGAGTTATGTTGGTGGTGGTTGCGGTAGTGAGATCGTGAGGAGGATCTATGAGCCCTCCCTCGGGCTCAGCCTCGCTATCCCTATAGTCCGGTCGATCGTGGCGATCCGGCGGGTGATGATCCCGGGGATCTGGATAATCCCGCTCGTATTGATGATGATGATGATGATGAAGCGCCTGCCCCCCGGACAACATCCGCACATCCTCCGGTCGACGGATCTCGTCGATTCGCCATGGTCTTCCTCTTCTTCTTCGGCTAGGTCTGGTTCCTGGTGTGGTTGTGGTTGAGCGGGTGGGTTGCCTTGTTGTTGTTATTGTTGTTATTGTTGCTGCAGCTGCAGCTGCAGGTGCTTCTGCATGAGGGTAATGCTGATCCCCTCGATAGTCACTGGCCAGTGGATGATGGTGCGGATCGGCGTAGGCGTAACTCTCGGCCGTCAACCCCGACGAAAACGCCCGACAGTACGCCTCATACTCTACGCCCAAATGTTCAGTCGACGGGGTCGGAGAGGAGGACCTTGAGCTGCTGGTGGAGATGGTTGTGGAGAAGGTGTCGGTTTCGGATTTGGAGTCGGGGTTGCAGTGCTGGTGCTGCTCTCGGGGCTGAGGGGGGGGTGGTGGGGGTGACCGATGGTAGGTTGGTTTTCTGAGGCGTTTCGACGGGGAACCTGGGGCACCTGGGGAAGGGGAAGAGGGGTTGGTGGGCAGGTGCTGCGAGAGCCAGTGGCGGAGGTGGTGGATGGTGGATTTGCGGCGGAGGAGAGGGGGATTCCTCTTTGAGGTCGGGGTCAGGTGCTTATCGGGATGGGGGATGGAGGTGAGGGTGTTGTTTAGGGTGAAGGAGGAAGTTGTGGTGGTTGTGGTGGTAGGATGGAGGGGAGGCATGTTGGTGAGAGAGGCATTAATGTCTAGTCGAGTAGAGTGCTAGGTAGATCTTTTGCAGTGCAATGCAGTGCGGTGCGGTGCGGTGCTGTACATGAAGGAAAAGGGAATTATCTTCTGAACCGACGGGTTGGATCGGGTTATATAGTAGTTAGAGAGGAAAGATTAGAGCCAAAAGTACATGCATGGACTGGACAGTACGTGCTTGTACTGTACAGCAAGTGCTGAGACATGCAGCCCTAGCTTCACCTCTCCCCCTCCCTCATTCCCAGGAACTCTCATTAAACTCACCCTCCTTACCTCCTCCACATCTTCTTCACTCCCCGGTCTAGTCTCAGTCTCAACCATGCACCTCATCTACAGTAGCATCCGTGCTGACCCAGACCAGACCGTTCAACCCGTTCAACGTCCTCGTGGCATTAAATGCCGTGCTGCCGTGCTACCGTTACGCCTGGCCGGGGTGAAAATAAAAAAAAAAAAAAAAAAAAAACAAAAAAAAGGAGCCCGCTGAGACTTCAACCAAAAAAAAACAAAGAAAAGGAGCCCGCTGAGACTTCAACCTTAGCACCAGCACCAGCTCTATGCATGTCCGTCTAGCGTAGTATACAGATGAACCGGATATATATACATCATACATCACCCAGAGACGCCATCGCGCCCCAGCCCCCATCGGCCGACTTCGCGCATCGCCTCATCGCCGCCCTCGACCAACCGCCCATCCGCGTTGACCGCATTCTGGCTGCCCAAGACTCCAGCCACGCACTCCCACCCATTGCGTCCACCGCCCCAGCGGAGCACCTCCTGCTTGTACCGCTCGCCGGCGTCTCGCTCCACCGCCGCCTGGCCCCCGCGGAACACGTCCTCCCAGATCTTGTTGGCAATCGCCCGATCGAAGATGTAGCTGTAGTAGGTGGCCCCGTAGCCATACAAGTGGCCGAAGAATCCCTGCCACGAGGTGGGCGGCCGCGTGTCCGTGGGATCGGGCAAGCTGGAATGCGTCGTCGCCACTTGATGGTAGAGTGCCGTGCTGTCGATCCGCCGATCTGCCGGCAGCGTGTGGTAAGCCTGGTCCACGAGCGCCATGAGGATTTGGGCCTCGTTCTCGACGGCACCATAGACGGAGCCGTGCGCGGTCCGGTCTTTGGCCATGCTTTGCATCATGCTCTCCGAGAGCGGGGTGTCTGTCTCCCAGTGGCGGGCGTACAGCGAGAGCACCTCCGGCGCCATGGCAAAATGCTCCATAAGCACCGATGGCAATTCGGCGAAGTCGGTCGCGCAGCGCGTTCCCGAGATGGACTGCAACCGCGTCTGTCCGAGAATGGAGTGCAACGCATGACCCATTTCGTGGAACAGCGTGCGCACACTGTGCTCAGTCAGCAGAGCCGGGCGTCCCGCTCCCGTCGCGGGGGGCTCGGGAAAATCGCACACGAGAGCGATTGTGGGGAGCTGGCGGAGCGTCTTGCTCTCCGAGTCAATCGCCGTCGCCATGCCGTCGTTGGGATGCGCCGACGAGTCCAGCACGGTGGCGCACTCGGCCACTTCTTCGGCGGAGATCTCCCGCGCACACCGCAACGTGAAGTGAGCCGGGTTCGGATGCTTGTTGGGCCGTGAGAATAGATCGCAGTAAATGACCGCAAGGTGTCGGCCGGACTCGTCAACCACATCCAGGCGCCGGACGTCCGACATCCATGTCTCACCGGGAGCCGTCTCCCGAGGCACCAGCCGCACTCCATACAGTTGCTCAAACAGGCGAGACAGGCCTTGCATCACCGTGCCCAGCGAGAAGAATTCGGGCACTGCGTTCAGTTCCCGCGACCGGCGTGCCATCGAGTACTCCTGGACCCGTCCGTGCACATAATACGCGTGATCCCACGGTTGCAGTGGCGTGGCGCCCTTCATGCGCTGCAGCTGCGCGAGCTCTTCCTTCACGAGTTCACGGTTGCTGCCGACAAGGGCCGTCAGAAACTTAGCCACGGCTTCCGGACTCTTGGCCATCTTGTCATGGAGCGTCATATGTGCGAAGCTCTCAAAGCCGGACAGCTGCGCTAGCTCCGCCCGTTTCGTAAGCAGTTGCTCCAGAACCTGGATCTGACGCGGACTCGACGTCCGCGTAGCTAGGTAGATATCTCGGCGGACGTCCTCGTTGTGGACCGATCGCAGCGCCAACCGCGGGATGAGACCCATCGTCGGCACCGATGCGGTGCGATTCCACCGCTTGATCTTCTGCACCAGCATGGGATCCAAGCCCCGCAAGCTGTTGGCGTTGACGACCACGTGAGCCTTGGCCGGCTCGGCGCCATTAACAAAGGCTGACCCTAGCTGGCTGACCTCCGTCGATAGGTTGACGAACCGCTGTCGCTCGTTCGGAGGCATATGGATGGCAGAGTTAGAGAAATCCTTGATGAGGATCTGCGCCACAATCTTCTCCTCTTCCGACCAATGCGCCGTGACCTTCGGGTTGGCGGCCGCCTTCTTCAACTGGTCATTCAATCCCGTGGTCGTGTTCAGAACGTTCATATATTCAAACATCAGCGCATATGCCTGCGTGGCCGCCTCCTGCACCTGCGGGTCCGGGTGAATGACCCGGATAAAGTCCGACAAGTCGATCACCCGACACAGCAGGTCGCTGAGGCGGTCGAGATCACGGGCCATAGTCCGGTATTCCTCCAAGGTCGAGGCGGCGAGCACTTTGGCGACGATCGCCTGGCATTTCTGCAGCGTGGAGGTGGCAAAGACGCGGAAGCCATCCGGACTTGTGAGGTACTGGTTCTGAACCAGCCCAGTGGGTTTCAACTGGGCAGCACTGCTCTGAGAGAACTCCCGCCAGAAGGGCTGCGAATCGAACATGCGTCGGAGAGTCTCATCCTCGGTTTTCTTCTGGTGATTCTTGGCGGGGGTGTAGTCTATAGCGGGACGGTGGGCGGCAGCGGTCTCCAGTGAGCGTCGGGCCTGCGACAGACATGTGCGACAAGTCCACGGACGCCGCCGAAGCGGCATGAGCATGTGAGGCGACCCCATGATGGGATAAGCGGGATTAGGGCGAGTGGGTGGCTTGTAGACGGTATTCTGACATCAGGCTTTGCTTATACCATGGAGAACGAGCAGGTAATATGGTGATGAAAAGGGAAACAGGAGTTGAAGATGGTGACAGAGAGAGAGAGAGAGAGAGAGAGAGATAAGAAAGGTATGTGGAGAAAGAAAGAGCCCAGAGAAACAGGAGGGGGGGAAGCGGAGAAAGAAGGGAGAGAGTAGGAAATCAGAAACGGGCGATGACGGAGGAGTGGCCGAGCCGCCGCCGCCGCGACGGGGAGCGAAAAAACCCGCTTGGCAACTTCCCTGCCCTTTCCCTTCCCTTCAATGGTCAAGTTCACCTCCCGTCATTCCCGATCTGAACTTCGACCTTCGTTCGACCTTCCCACTCACCTCCCTCCGATCTTCCTCCTCCATCCCCCTCCATTGGCCTTTCTCCACCATGTCTTTCCGGCCATTGTTTCAACAGGTGCGACATGCAATTCTCCAGAAGCTCGAATCCCTTCACTAACCGCCTCAAAACAGCGGGCTGTGGCTCCCCTCGCGGCCTCTCTTTTGGCTGGAGGAGTCGCTCTTTATCCCCGGCGGACGGCCTTTGCAGAAGAGCCCCGGGACCTGGTACGACCGTTCTCTTCATAACTTGATTGTGATTGCAACAATGGTTGTCTGACTGTATCTTGTGCTCTTCTCTCTCACCCCGAAGAAACCGATCTACGATGACTACGAGGACGAGATCCCGACCACCAGAAACATTCCCACTCCCACGACGCCCACCGCTGTCTCGTCGTCCATTATCCCGGCCACACCCACCTCCTCCTCCGCTACCTCCTCCCCGACCCCCACAGATATCCTGACGGCCCAGGTCCGTCAAGCTCGTCTATTCCTGTACCAAAACTCCCTGGCCGTGGAGACCTGCTTCAACAACTTCCTGTCGCGGGCCCTGCATATCGAGAACGCCTTCACCAACACCGTCGCCTCGCTGGCCCCCTCGCCCGAGTCGGGCGAGCGCCTCCTCCCCGGGGGCGTCTACGTCGTCGTCGCCGCCATGGCCGGCTCCATCGTCTCGCGCAACCGCGGTCTGATCCTCCGCACGGCCTCCCCGCTCGCCTTCGGCACCGTGGCCGCCTGGACCCTGTTGCCCGTCACCATGCGCAACGTCTCCGACCTCGTCTGGGAGTACGAGAAGAAGGTCCCCGTCGTGGCCGACTCGCACCTGCGCTTCCGCGCGCAGGCCGAGCACTTCTACCACACCGGGGTCGCCCACAGCGCCATGGGCCGCGCCATGATGGAGGAGAAGATCGGAGAGGCCCGCAAGAAGCTGGAGGAGATTGTCAGCAAGGGCCACTAGAGCGTTGCTTCTTTTGTCTTGCTAGATTCCATCTACCTTTCTCTGCCTTCCTTCTTGGTGTTTAGCCCTTCTCCTGTGTTCATTCTCCCTCTCTGCTTTGAAGCGGACGTGATATATTGCTACTCCTCCCTTTTTCTGACCTCCGTGCGCGGGTTGAAAGACTTCTTGTGGCCGTGGAACTGGGATGACCTACCTACTGGACTCGTATATCTACTTCTGGCATAACTTATCCTCCTTCCGTCTCTCTGTCTATTTGTCTGGTTGTGTGTATGTGTGTACTTTACGAGGGTTAGAATTGAAGAACGCACGGTTCTAGACAAGCTTCCTCCCCATGCCTTTCAACCAACTCTGTAAAATCCCGGGCCATCTCCGGCAAGAAAAGAGGATCTCACTGAGCCCACCAGCCCTGACAGCTTTAACTCCGGAGGACTAGACGCACGATACTTTACAACGAGACATAAGAAGCTTCTTTGCTGCTACTAGGACTCTGGCTACTCCGCCGCGGGACTCGGCGAGCCACTCGTAACAGGCGGCGGAGGGGGGCTCTGCACCGCACCACCACCCTTCTTCGGAGGCGGCGGCAGGGGAGTCCCCTTCCGACTCGACGGGGCATAATCCAACTCTTTACTCTTCTGCAACCCCTCCGCGAAATACTCATCAAAGGCCGACGCACTGGGCGCCGCCCTCGCCTTCCGGTGCGAACGTCCATGGCTTGCTACCGCTCCCGTCGTTGTCGTCGTCGTCGCCGGACTCGCCACGCGATGTGTCGGCGTCCCCGCCATAGGCGGCGGAGGCGGGGAGCTTAGATTCGCCGGCACGAGGAACTGGTGCTGCTCTTGGCCCTGCCCTTGGCCCTGCCCTTGATCCCCGTACCCGTACCCGTACCCATACCCTTGAGTATGCTGCTGCTCCTGCCCCGGCTGGTGGTGCTGCTGAGCATACCCCCCAAACTGAACCACCCCGGAGGGCCCATCACCCACCCGCGAGGTCGAGGCCGAGCCCGACGGCGCCGTTTCGAAGACCACCTCCCCAGGCCCCTCGACCTCCTCCCCCAACCCAACAGGCAACCGGTGTAGGGCCCCGAACCCCAGCTCGGCGCCGAGGGCGCCCTCGCCGCCCCAGCCGCGCGTGGGGATCAGCTCGACCTCGCGCACGACGTCGAATTCGCTGTTGTACACCCACAGCACCAGGGTGCGGTCCAAGTGGTCCTCGACCAGCTCGCCCAGCGCCGACTCCCCGCGCAGCGTGCCGCTCGGCGTGCCGATGATGTAGTCCGAGTGCGGCAGCAGACCCGCCCGGTAGGCCGGGCTCAGCGGCGAGGGGATCGATAGCACATGCCAGATGTTCTGCGTCGAGGAGAGCGGGGCTAGTTGCACGGCAAGGCCTAGGGTTGGGGATGCAGTTGCGGTTGCGGGGACGGGGAGGGAGACGGTGTGGGATTTTTGGCCCTGTGGATGGTGAGGTTTGTTAGGTGAGGTTTGACCGAGGGAGGAGAGGGGGCCGGGGGGGGTGGGGGATTGAGGGGTGAGGAGGGGGTCTTGGGGTTAAGGGGCCGGTTGCTCACTTTGGCGCTCCAGACTTCAAAGGTTACGCTGGAGCCGGCGCAATTGCGGACTTCGGTTGCGAAGAGGTTCGGGTCTGGGTCTTCCTGTGTTTTGAATGGGAGGGGTTAGCTTGGGAAACGAGATGTAGGGCCAAGTATACTAGCAAGGCAGAAAGCAATATCCACGTACGATCAAACGTCCATTGATCCCGATGATGAAATCAAACCACGGCTCGAGGGGCACCTCCGGGTCCTTGTTGCGGAGTACCTGGAAGCCGAAGGAGTTGTCCGCGGTCGACGATCGGGGCTGCTGAGCTGGCTCGGCGTCCAGCCCGATGAAGCGGTTGAAGGCGCCGAACATGTCGCGCGGAGGGATAGGCTGTAGGAAGACGAGGGTGAAATGCGATCGTTAGGTAAATTCTCGTCCGCAGTGCAGTCGAAGCTGTTCGTTGATGGGCGCAACGTGGAGGGAGGAATACTGCCCCGTATCATGGCGTGGATGCTGGCCATGTGTTTCAAACAAACCACGCAAACACCGCCCGTTTGAACTTATCGCTTATCGCCCCCGGTTTATCGGTCTTCCCTCCCTCTCCGTCGATAATAATGCGCCGCTGCGCTGCGACCGAGTCGAGCAGCAGAACTTGTCGAGTCTCAAGGGATTTACGCCTCCCTGCTTCATGGCACGCGATCCAAACGAAGATGTGCCTCCGCCGGAGGTGCATCACTACGATGAGCTCGGAGAAGTGCCGTGGGATATCCAGAAGTCAGTTCCCCGATCATCATTATTCGCATGCATCTCAGACCTAACTAAACTATTCCCAATCACCACAGTTACTGGGCTCAACGATACAAGATCTTCTCCAAGTACGACGAGGGGGTGTGGTTGACCGATGATGCCTGGTTCGGTGTCACTCCGGAGCCCGTGGCCAAGTACGTTTTGAATTGTATCTCTCGTGCCGGCGAATGCGCAAGCCCAGGGTTAACACTCTTCGTGTAGCAAAATCGCAGAGCATATGGCCAGCGCCGCTCCCGCGGACAGGATGGTTCTGGTGGATGCCTTCGCCGGGGCCGGCGGCAACTCCATCGCCTTTGCCCTCTCCGGCCGGTGGAAGCGTGTCTACGCCATCGAGAAGAACCCGGCCGTCCTGCAGTGCGCGAAACACAACGCCAAGATCTACGGCGTGGCGGACCAGATCACCTGGTTCGAGGGGGACTGCTTCGAGATCATCAAGAATCAGTTGATGGATCTGGCTCCGTACAGTGTCCTGTTCGCCAGTCCGCCCTGGGGAGGTGAGTTATACTTTTTTTCTTTTTGGTTGGCTTGGAAGAGATGAAAAGGCATGCCACTGACTGACAACTGGTGCAGGACCCGGTTACCGGTCGGATAAAGTCTTCAACCTCCGGACGATGGAGCCTTACTCGTTGGCGAAATTGTACACTGAATACTCGCTGTTCACCGAGCACATTGCTCTGTATCTTCCGCGGACCTCGGATGTGAAGCAGATGGCCAAGGTGGTCAAGGACGGGCAGAATGCAACGGTGATGCATTACTGCATGGAGGGCGCGAGCAAAGCCCTCTGTGTATATTATGGTGGGTTCAATCTGCAATGATGGCTTGTGACCTACTCACTGAACTTGTTGATTGTCGGGGCTGCGTTCATCTCGGTGATGCGCAGATAAAGCTCACCCCGCTTGGATGTGCTCGCAGGCTTGCACTTTGCTGTACATTATTGTCTGGTTAGAATTAATCAAATACCCCTTAGCACTTTACAGTTTGTGTGGATTGCGATAGAGGTAAGACCGGAACTTGTAAGCTGCTTTCCTGATTGGGATTAGGGCGGTGTAACTCCGCCGGGCTCTCATCTTCAGTCTCTCATTTCAGTCTCCCGAGCCTCTTCTTCCTCTCGCCGCTTTGCATTTCCCGTGCCATCTTCCTGCAGTCCGTTTGAACCACGCTCTCTTCGCTTTTCCCTTCACTCTCTCTTCACTCGCGGCACATACCTTCACGCGTTCCCAGGTCGGTCATCATCTCTGGTAGACAGAGCCGGCCCCGATGCGCCCGAACGCGTGACATTCCTCCATCCCCCACCAGCCGAACTCTTTCTTTCTTCCTACGACACCCACGATCACAACCACACTTTCGCCGTCAAAATGCCTCACGCAACCGAGCCCCCGGTCCCCGAGACCGAAGATTCGGTCTTCGAAAATGTGATGCGACAGATGAACGGCCCCCTCGGGGATGGCGCCATGTCCTTCGATTTCCTGGCGCGCGACCTGGAACCCGGTGAGAAGGCCGACGACGCCGTGGACTACGAGGACTTCGACGACGATGAGCTTCCCGAGGAAGAAGAGCGGACGGGTCCCCCGGCTGCTGCCGATGACGACAACGGTATGATGGATCTCGGCGATGACGACGCAGACAAGGATCTCTTTGGAGGGGAAGACGAGGATCTTTTCGGTGGCGGCGGCGGCGACGAGGATGATATTGGTGCTGCCGGCCGGGAGGGCGAGTTTGATACACAGCAAGGTCCCCGCGATGAGTTGGACGATCTCTTCGGCGAGGGTCCGTCATCGCCGGGCGCGGATCCAACCCGAGACTTGTTCTTCGACGAGGAGGAGACGACGGCAGCGGCGGCGACTGATGAAGCACGACCGGTAACGAAGGGGCCGGTGCCGGCGGCGGTGGAGCCGGTGATAGAGGCCCCGGTTCCTTCCCTGTCACAGGAGCCTGCGGCGGCGGCGGCGGCGGCGTCGATGGATGAAGACGAGGTGGATCTTCTGCAGGAGGACGAGGCGCTGAGCCCGACAGCTGAGGATATGGATCCCGCGTCGCTGCGGGCGTGGAAACTCCAGCAGCAGCTGTTCGCCATGTCGGCCTACGGCCCGGACAACCCGCCTGCACCGCCGGAGAACGTCGAGGAGCTGCTACATTCGCTGTTCCCCACGTTCGACCGGAATGCTCTGCCCCGGTTCCTGGAGCTGATCCCGCACAAAAAAGCCTTCTTCCTGGGCAAGCAGCCGCCAAAGCCTCCGAAACCGGTGATCCCAAGTAAAGTCAACATTGAGTTGGCGCAGGACCAGGAGCGAGTGTTCAAGGCCGCAGGCCAGGTCTTCAAACGCCCGCATGAAGCCGAGCATTCGGGCTTGGTGACTATTCTGGAGGCTGCGCAGGAGGACGAGGAGGAGATTCGGGAGGATTTCGAGCACGATACGGACGTTGATGATGATACTTTGCCTGGCGGTGTCTCTCTGCATGACCTTCAGATTGTCTGCGCAGACTGGGATGTCAAGGACGATATCTCGATCATGGAAGTTGATGAGCCTGAGACTCAAGAGCTGGACCCGATGGAGGACGACTGGCTTCTCGACACAAACCGTCCCGCAAAGAAGCGCAAAATCGGTCGGGATCCATTGGAGGTGGTGGCACTCGCCCATATCGATGTGCCTATTGTCGATGACCCCGAGCAGGCAACCTCGCGGATCGCCCAGAAGGTGGTTGTCGACATGAATGACCCTCATATCCTCCTCGATGAACGCGGACCAGAGAATGCCACGCAGAAGCCCAAAGCGCTAGGAGCCATCAACCGCGATGAAATGGACGCCAGTGTCACCAAGCGTCTCACTTCACGGTACAACATCTCGAATGATCAGGCTTACGATATGCTCAAGCAGAACCACCAGAACAAGGTCCGAAGCACCCTGGGCAATGTTACGTTGGAACATAGTATGCCTGCTCTACGCCTTCAGTGGCCTTACTACAAGACGGAGCTGGCCAAGGCCGAAGCCCGGTCGTTCCACCGTCCGGCACTTGCTTTCAGGCCGGGACAAACATGTTGGTTCAAGAACACTGCGTACATCAAACGCAAGCACCAAAGGGGCAAAGACGTCAAAGCCCTCTTCGACTCTACCAAGTCCCTGTCCCTGGCTGATAATTCCAACGTCTTGCTGGTCGAATACTCGGAAGAAGTTCCTATCATGCTGTCCAATTTCGGTATGTCCAACCGCTTCATCAATTATTACCGCAGGAAGAGCATGGAAGACCCCACGCGCCCGAAGGCAGAGATCGGCGAGACCGTTGTCCTGCTTCCTCAAGACAAGAGTCCGTTCTCAATCTTCGGTCATGTCGACCCGGGCGAGATAACCCCCGCAATCTCCAACTCCATGTATCGCGCACCGCTGTTCCAACACCAAGCCAAGTCGAACGACTTCCTAATCGTGCGCAGCACGACTGGCTCCGGCGGTAGTGACTACTACATCCGGAACATTGAGAATTTGTATGTGGCTGGGCAGCAGTTTCCCTCGGTGGACGTGCCTGGGCCCCACTCGCGGAAGGTCACCACGGTGGCGAAGAATCGTATGAAGATGCTGGTCTATCGTCTGCTGAAGAAGAGCCCCGACCTCCGCCTCTCCATCAGCGACGTCACGGCGCATATTCCCGGCACGAGTGATATGCAGAATCGTCAGAAGGTGAAGGACTTCCTCCAGCACGACAAGGATTCGAAGTACTGGGTGCCCATGGAGCCGGTACCGGAGCAGGATGTAATTCGGGCGTGGGTGCAACCGGAAGATGTATGTCTGCTGGAATCCATGCAGGTCGGTCAGCAGCATCTTCACGACACCGGTTTTGGCAACGATGCCGAGACTGGCGGCGACGATGATGACGATGGAGAGGGCGAGAGCTTCGAACAGCAAATGGCACCGTGGAAGGCTACACGCAATTTCCTTCTGGCCTCTCAGGGCAAAGCAATGCTCAAACTACACGGTGAAGGTGACCCTACCGGGCGTGGCGAGGGATTCAGCTTCATCAAGACCTCCATGAAGGGTGGATTTAAGGCTGTTGGCGAGAGTGTGGAGGATAAACTTGATGCGCAAAGACTCAAAGAACTGGGTGGCCACAGCTACAATGTCGCTCGGCAGCAGAAGTCCTACGAGACGTCGATCCGCCGCATCTGGGATGCGCAGAAGGCCAGCCTGTCGTCGACCGTTGAGCATTCCGATGAGGAGAGCGACATTGACCGCGATGACGAAGCCGAGTTCAGCAAGCCGACCCCTAGATCCGAAGCACCTACGCCAGCCCCATATCGGCGCGACGACGAGACGACCAGTCAGTTCAGCAGGATGAGCTTGCCAGACCAGAGAGGCAAAGTTCTGCGCATCATGCGGACATACAAGGACGAGAGGGGTCAGCTCTATCAGAAGGAGCAGATGGTCTTCGACCCCAAGGTTATTCGGCACTATATTCAACACCGGCACCGCGTGGAAGCTTTGAGCACCAAGTAAGATTTCCCCTCCCAATGCTCTGGACAAGTTGACTAACCGTCCCAGACTGGACTCTCTGCAGCCCACCGGCGATCCGGAAATCGATGCTCGCAACAAGAAACTGTATGTCTCGTCTTCTCCCCTAAATATACTTTATACGGCCTGCTGGGGCTTGGACACACTAACCAATTCAACTCCACCACAGTCTGGAAGCCGAATTGAGCCGTCTCAACCGTAACAAGGAGCGTCGCTTTGCCCGCGAGAAGCAAAAAGGAGCTGCCCGTGCCTCCGCCGGAGATTCACCCGCCGACGGTGGCGGTGGCTCTGGCAAGTCCGCTGGCACACAACGCAAATGCGCCAATTGCGGCCAGGTCGGCCATATCAAGACCAACAAAAAGTGCGTTCTCAACCAGGATGAGTGTCTTCACCCCCCCATTGATTTCCAGTCCTCGTTCTTTACTGCTTCTTCAACACCCCGCTCTTCTCCTTGGCCGACCTCTCCATCGTCTCGCCCGTCTCTGTCCACCTCCCCTCCGGCTCCCACAGCCGCAGGAAATGCAGGGAGCGATGGGCGACGGCGCATGGCACTCCCCCTTAAAGGCATTTTGAAAAAGCCCACCACTACCCTTGGGCCTGGCTCTGGATGTGGATCTGGCACCGGCTCCCACGCTAGGCCTTCCTTGCCCGGGGTTCCCAATTAGCGGAAACAAGCAAGCTCAGCAACCCATTGCTACTGCCCACTGCATCGGATCCCTTCACCCCCTTCATACCCCAAAATTACGCATGAAAAGACAAGGACCCATCTTCGCAAAACCCAAATCAAGGACTCCAAGCTAACACATGAACCTCCAACCGCCAAACAGACTCTGCCCCCTTCTTAACGGCACCATGAAACCCGAAGACCGAGTCAGCGACTCCGCCTTTGCAATGGGCGCGCCTCCTGCTCTGTGAATGGAAATTATCGCTCACCCTAAACTCCTATTTACCTTCGATCCATCCGCACCTCTTCTCACTAAATCGCATCCACGTCCGACTCCTCCCATATCTCTCACTTTTGATCATATGATACCCCCAAATCTCCGACGTTTCTGCTCTCTTGTTATCGCCACCTTTCCTCCTCCTACACCTTCATCGCAGATCGCAGTTGCCTGCGTATCAGTTTTTCGGGACAACCCGTCTGTATCTCCTACTTTCCAGTATTCCACCCTAACGTGTTTCCATTCACACGGCCGCTTTAGAACTATCGATTTTTCAAATTGCCAGGCGGCGCTTGGGGGACTAGAAGCATAAGCAATAAGCATTCTTGATTTCGTACTTCCCATGCTTCTGTTCGGCTTGAAAATGTAATTGGCGTTACCTTGGCCCGGCGCTGGAGTTGAGCAGCATTCAGAATAGTTCCCCCAGCCATGATTATATTTGTTTGCCAAATGGCTTCTAATTGTCTTTTTTATCCTTTTCTCAGTCGGGCAAATGGCCATTGCAAAAATTGATTCCCAATGAGCTGAACATTTGATATTCCTTTCTACACGTAGATTGCATAGGTTCGAATGACTATCAAAGCTAGTAGCTTACTCTGTTCTGCCGGGTTACTTCTCTACTGTTGGCTATAATTCAGCCGTTCTCAAGTGCGAAAGTAATTGTTCGTTTCATCGTATCAATATCCAATAACGACCGACAGCGGGTAGATGTACATATACCGGGTAAGGTATCTCGCTTCTTAAGGATGAGTGATGCCTGTCACATAACAATATTTGATGAAGAATACATCGTGAGCCTTTCGTGTACATTCGTCGCGCTTGATTCCCGAGGTCCATGAAGTAAAGAATACCCAGCCAACGATGCTACGAGCCATATAATTCCGACAGCTGGCCTCGCCCCGAACGGTGACGACCCCGATCAGGAGTCAAGGCTACGGCCACAGACTTGGGACGTCGATAGGTGTAACCCAGGAATGCCCCTTTCTTGCGCATCTCAAGCACCGTTCTCCGCATTTGCCGGTCACGCAGAAGCTTGTCCCGCGGGCGTTTCCGCTCCTTTCTCTTGCGATCCTTGTGTGGAGAGGCTTTTCCTCCTGGACCTGGACCTGGTGCGGGATGTCGACTTGCATCCTGGGGCAGGGGAGCTTCGGCTTTAGCTGGCACCGGCTCATCGATCTCACTATCGTCTTCCGGGTGGTCAGGATCTGACATAATGGAGATATCATCGTGGTCGCCCTCGTATCCTGCATCGTCAAAGTACCTGGTATCTTCCCAGCCTTTCACTTTGGGGATAAATGGAGGAATTGACTGATGAATCTCGTCCCACTTAATGTTGCGGAAGAAAGGATGAATCTTTATATCTGTTGCGTCGTTTGGGAAGACGTAAAAGCCCTTGTAGTTTCGATTGCGTGGGTCCATGTTATAGAAGAAATGTCGAGATGGTAATCGAGAGCTCAGAGAGTCATTGATTTTGTACTTGCTTGACGACAGACGATGCTCCTTTTCTTGAAGTAGATAATTGATAAGATCAATGGCGTCAGACGAAACCCTCTTGTCTGACGCTCTACTAGCAGGAAAACAGAGTGTCTCGTGGTGATGCTTTTGTCTTGATTAGCTTCATCGGAAGTTTCAGGTATCGTACAGGCACGTACATGGATCTTCATCTTGGTCTTCTGACGATCGTGCGAAGCAAAGGGCGTGAAGCCGTAGAGACACTGTCGCACTCGAGTTAGCCCTGTTCATACATCTCAATGATCATCGTACCTCGTATAGTATGATGCCAATACTCCACCAGTCGCATCGGCCGTCATATAGCTCACCCCGAACAACCTCTGGTGCCATGTATTGGTTGGTTCCAACGACGCTTGCGGCCAAACGCCGCTTCTGAGTACGGTCACGCCATCCAAGCAGGCCCATGGGGGGTGGTGTGCAGTCAGTTTCAGCTCCAGGACCGAATTCATGGAATGATGCCTTCGCCGGCTTGCGGGCTTCCTTTCTGTCCTGTGAATCTCCGGCCACTTGAATCCCCAGTTTCCTGAGCAGGGAGTATCGCTGCTCATTGTAATATACTTGATCATGGGCCCAATGTCCGTCGAAGGCTAGGCCAAAGTCGGATATCTTCAAATGGCCGGACGCAGATATGAGGAAATTGTCGGGCTTGACATCGCGATGAATCCAACACAGCCGATGGGCTTCTTCGATACACAGAATCATCTCTGCAACATACCATCGCGTGATTTCTTCAGGCAAGATGCACTGGCGCATTAGCAATCCCAGGAAGTCGCCACCGACCATGTAGTCCATGATAAGATACAAACGATCGCGATCCTGGAAGCTCGCGATCAATGGCACGATCCAGCGAGATTTGGCCGATGCAACAAGAAAGTCTCGTTCGGCTCGGAGATGACCTTCTTGGCTGTTGCGTATCATTGCAGATTTTCTGATCACTTTCATCGCAAATACATCCTTCTTGACCCCTACCATCATCCTCCGACGTGTGCTTGTGGTCCCGTCTATGACAGAGATAGACCGAGTTTTGAGCTTTGCTAGCTCTCCTCTGCAAAACGAATGCTTCTCCCCAAGTGCATCAATACTGTCACTTTCTGCTACTTTCTTCTCTCTGACCAGCCTCACAACTCCAAAGCTCCCCCTTCCTAGAACCTTGATTGCTTCAAATCCGGCGAGAGATACTGTCTCGTCCTGTCGGCCACAATGAGAGTGACTTTTGAGAACACGGCATTGGCGCAGATATTGCCGTTCCTGTGTGATCCAGTTCTCCCAAACTCTCGCCCTTTCTTCGGGAGCCAAGGGAAGGCCATAAATATACTGCTCAAGCTCGTGCTGGCGCTGCGAGCGGAGATCCGTCCCACAAAACACTGAGTTGAAGTATGTTTCGAAGAAGACCTTTGCATTGGCAGCGGCCTCTACTGTGATGATCGAGGGCGACCGACCGAGTGAGCCTTCGATCACTTGAGTATGTGTACCCTCGTCGCTGCCAGAAGGTGGCGTTGTTTGCTTCGCCTGCTCGGCACCTAGAATGCCTTGCTTCGAGCCTCCTGATGGCTCTTCTGATGTGGGAGGAGTCGTGGGAGGAGTTGTCTGAGGGGTGGAGCGCGTGCTAGTCGGGGACACACTGTCTTCCGGTGAGGTTTGGGGATCGGAGCTATCCTGAGCACTGTCGCCTTGCTTGTCCAATGCAGGGGCAAGTGAAGGCCCTGGAAACTGAGGAAGCCGAAAACTAGGCCGCGAGCGAAGATGTGAACGACGGATGACCGTAGGGTTTCCAAAAGTGGTCGATAGCTTGGTTGACACAATATGTGTGAGTGCCGCCGGTGTCGACTGACTTCGCTTCAAGACTTCCGATAATCGCTTGTGACTTGGCCGTATGATCGGGAGAGGAGCTTGTAGGGGTGCTTCTGAGGGTCTGGGGGACTCCTCTGGATGAGCGTGGACATTTTTGGTTGACTCTGGAATGTGATTGGGGCTGGAATCAATGATGCCAGTCGAACTAGATCTTTCAGACAAATCCGGAGGCCCATCAAGAACTGCCATCCGACCGGATTGCTCTTCATTCTGTCCAATTTCGACAGGAGCAGGGAAAGAGTGGAAGGTCTGTAATGGGACGCGGTCATCCTCGACTATTCGCAGGCCATCTGCGTCGTGGGCTGCCACTGCTTTCAGTCCTATGGTCATGAATTAGCTTGGTGAATTACGCTTCAATTTGAACAAGCTGCGACTTACCTTGAGCAGGGCTTCGGAGACCCAGGAGTGACAGTATCCTCGAGCTTCGTTGGCGGATACGTTCTCGGATGCTGTCTTTGCTCTTAAGCTGGCTCGCGTGAGGATCCGAGCTTCGAATACCTGACATCGATGTCTCGATGGTAGATCCTTCGCTGCTCATGATCTCGAGAGATGCTGGGATATCATCCGGGGTTTGCGAGCCCTCGTCCATCTTGAGTTGCTTTGAGGCGATTGGGCCGAGTCAATATTGATACTATGAGGGGGCTAGAGCTCGTCAAGCAGATACCCTTGGCTATGAAAGTGTATGTGCTGCTTGCTCTATGGTATGAAATGAAAGAAAGAAAGGCACCGTCATGTGCTTCATTACTCTGTCGAGACACGAACGCCTCCGAGCTGAATGCCTACGCAGGGAGTTGCAAGGTTGATGCAGCGTGTGGATTGATGCAGTCCCGATTAGGAAACCCCAACGAGAACGGGTACGTCTACTGAGGAAGGAGCACTGTTTGGTCGAGTATCACTATCTATGTGACTACGAGGAGAAAACAAGATGATGTATGATGAGATGCAATCACTTTTGAGATTGTGAACACAGATATTCCGTAACTATCCTCCTCCCTGCCAAATGCAGCGGACGGCTGTGCAAAGAAACAAGTCGGATATCACAGAAATCAAATCATATATTCGAAAACCCCCAGAACACCGATTCTTTTGGGAAAGAAATTAAATCCAACAGACATGATAGCAATAGAAAGATTAAATGCAATAGGATGAGAGAGTGCGTTCCCGCAATTGAAAGCGATGCTCGGTGCTAGGTCAACAAGCGAAAGGGCGGAAACAAACATCCCCAGGAAACTGCTTATTTGATCTCAAGCAGCTTAACGTCGAAGATCAACTTCGAGTTGGCAGGGATGCCGGGAAGAGCACGCTTGCCGTAGGCAAGGTGAGCGGGGATGGTGATGCGGCGCTCACCACCGACGGCCATACCGGCAATACCGATGTCCCAGCCCTTGATGACCTCACCCTTACCAAGCTTGAAGGTGAAAGGCTTACCCTTCTTGTTGGCTGCAGTCACACATGTTAGTCGAGTCATTAAGTGATGTGAGATATGATTTTAGGACTTACCATCGAAGACCTTGCCATCCTCGAGCTTGCCGATGTAGCGCATAGCAACAGTGTTGCCGGCCTTGGCGGCAGCACCCTTGCCAAGCTTCTTGTCGTCGACCTTGACACCCTTAACCTCCTTGACACCCAGGGTGCCGGTAGTCTTCTCAGCGGGCTTCTCAGCGGGCTTCTGGGCAGAGGGAGTGGGGCCCTGCTCCAGGTTCTTGGCGAACTGAACCTTCTTGCCCTCCTTGGCATCCTTCTTCTCCTCAACGGGGGCAGCCTCGCCGTTGTTCTTCTTGAGCTTCTTCTGCTGCTTCTTGCTCAGAGCAGGCTCGTTGGCAGCAGGCTTGGCCTCCTCGGCGGCACGCTTGTTCTTGCCCTTGGTCTCGACCAACTTGGGGGCCTCCTCGTCGCTCTCAACCTCGGTGATTCTGGGGTCGTCCAGCTCATCGAGGTCGTCGCTCTCGTCCTCCTCGCCCAACAGAGCCTCGAGATCCAGCTCCTCCTCACCAGGGGGAAGGTCGTAGTCGTCCTCATCGTAGTCATCCTCGTCGTCGGAGCCACAGGGGCCGTGCTCATCAGCGGGAACAACGTAGTTACCGGTCAGGTAGATGGTGTGGGTACCAGTGACCTTGAAGAAAACACGCTCCTCCTCACCGACGGTGATGTCGAGAGGCTGCTGGCAGTTCTACATTGCGAATAAGTCAACGAATTGGTTAACGGCATGATCAGAAATCTCGCTCTTACCTTCTCGGGGTCCAGGGTACAGAGGACCAGCTCATCCAACTCGAGACCCTCGTCAGACTCATCATCAGAGTCGTCATCAGTGGCAGGGGCCTTGCCCTTGACCAGCTTGGAGATAGCAGCCTTCAGGTCGAACTCCTCATCCTCATCATCTTCCTCGGAGTCCTCGTCCATAGCATCCTCGAGCTCCTTGCGGGCAGCAGCAAGCTTGAGCTTGCGGGCCTTCTCCTTGTCGCTGGGGCCGCCGTTGACCTCCTCGTCATCCTCGGAATCTTCCTCGGAGTCGTCCTCGTAGTCCTCATCATCAGACTCGTCCTCGAGGTCCAAGCCGGGAGGAGGGCGAACGAGCTTCAAGGTGGCGCGGGGACGCTTGTTGGAGTCGAAGCCATCCTCGTACTCGGGGGCCTCATCGGGGTCGATGGCAGCCATGGTCACACGGAACTTCACATTGCATTAGTATTATTTATTAAGCTTCAATGTCAATTGGACTCACCATGGCAGCGGCCTCGGGGACCACAGCGGGAATCAGAGCTCCGCCAGCGGGAACTCTGAGCGCATAGACGGCAACAGGCTGAACTCCGGACATTTTGAATGTGATATGTGATATAGAAGAGGGGGGTTATGTGTTTTTGTAAAGAAGGACACGAACAGAGCCCGACGGAAAGAAAGAGAGAAAAGGCAGATAAAAAGATCGTCTACCAGAAAGCACGGAAGAACGAAAGAGACAGAAGGAGGAGGAAGAGTCGAGGAAGAGGAAAAGTTTTGACGCCGCCGCAGCACGCCCGGATTTGCTGTGGCTGCACCGAGATTGTCGTTCACCGCCTTTGAGCTTTTTTTTTTTCTTCATCAAGAATTTCCCGGGCAACCAATCACCTCGGAAGACCCACTCTGTCACCGCCTTCGCTATCACTCGAGCTTCTTATCAGATCACGTGCTGCCTCTTCTCCACCCCCCGCGCATGCAGTCCTTCGCTGCCTTGGCCGCTTCCAGACCCATTCATTCGCTGCTCTCGGGAACCACAGACACTCTCTCGCTGTCCTCGCCCGATCATGCTACTTCCCTTGGCCCAAAATGGGCTCAGTGTTGGACCAGAATTCTAGTGCCGTGCGCAAGCGTATTCAGAATCGTACGTGGTTTTAACTCCCCCATACCGCTGCCAGGCACATCCGCATCGCTAATCGCTTATCGCGTCGCTGTATAGATCAGTTCGAAGATGAGGGTGGCGAAGAATACGACGCCTCCACCTTTGGTGGCTTCAGCGATTATATGCGCAGGAAGAAACTCAAACTGCAGAATCTGGACGCTGAGATACGCTCCTCTGCTTCTGAGAATCCCCCCATCTTTCGAGGCGTCGTGGCGCACGTGAATGGCTACACGCAACCATCTCTCCAGGACCTCCATAAATTGATTGTCAGCCATGGTGGTGGTTTTCTCCAGTATCTGAGCGGCAAGACGGATGCCACTCACATCATCGCCAGCTCACTGACCCCCAAGAAACGGGAGGAACTCCGAAGATATCGGATCGTGAAACCGGCATGGGTAGTGGAGAGTGTCCAGGCGGGTCGCTTGCTCCCCTGGGATCAGTTCCGCGTCGTTGACGAAGGACATGCACAGAAAGTCTTGAAGTTCGACAATGGACGTATGCTGAGCCAAACCAACAGTCCACAGGCGGGCTATCGGGAGCAGAGCAGGAATAGCTGGTACGCCTCTCAACTCCAGGCAGCGGAGGCAACTAGTCCGGTGAGGTCTCCTTTGGTGCAGCCTGCGGGCTTAGCGCCGACAGAGACGCAACCGAACTTGGCTTCGCAGTCGGACTATGGCGAATTCCCCAGTTTCTCGATGGACGAGGCAGGCAATCCTCTGCCTGTTTCGCAGCAAACCAGTGTACTATGTTCTCCCATGGATCTTGAACCTAACAAGGACAACCCGGGCAATGATATTATCGTGTCCCGTTCAAACATAACGCAAGAAAGATCCCCATTAGCTCAACAAGCTAGTCCTTCGAAACCAGGATTGACATCTGAAGAATACAATGCGCAACTTTTGACGGATCCGCGCATGCGCAACTCCAGTGTAGTCAATCCCGAGTTCATCCAGCAATACTACAAAGAGTCACGTCTGCATCATCTCTCAACGTGGAAGGCAAATCTCAAAGCCCAACTTCAATCTGCAGCTACGGAGAAGTCGCAATCTCAGTTCAAGCGCGCGAAACCTGTTCCCGGTGGCAGACGATATATCATGCATGTGGATTTCGACTGCTTCTTTGCTGCTGTATCAACATTGAAACATCCCCAGCTGGAAGGAAAGCCGGTGGCGGTGGCACATGGCGCTGGGTCGGGCTCTGAGATCGCAAGCTGCAACTACGAGGCGCGTGCGCATGGGATTAAGAACGGAATGTGGATGAAAGGCGCTTTGGAAGCGTGTCCTAGTCTACAGGTCGTTCCTTATGATTTTCCGGCATACGAGGAAGCGAGTCGAAAATTCTATAATGCTATCCTCGCTATAGACGGCATTGTTCAGAGTGTGAGCATTGATGAAGCGCTTGTGGACATCACAATGCAATGCTTGCATGCTGGAGGTTCGGATGGAAGAGGTGTTTCCGAAGGGTCTATCTACCGGGAACAAGCTAAAGCCGATGAGATTGCGCAAGCATTGCGCACAACTATAAAGGAACACACGGGCTGCGCAGTGTCCGTGGGCATTGGTGGCAATATTCTCCAGGCTAAAGTAGCCTTACGCAAAGCAAAACCGGCGGGGCAATTTCAGCTGAAGCCTGACGAAGTACTTAATTTCATAGGGATTCTGACGGTCCAAAGTCTTCCGGGCGTCGGTCATAGCATGGCTGCCAAGTTAGAAGAGCTGGGCGTCAAATTTGTGAAGGATGTTCGGGAATTGACTCGCGAAAGACTCACATCCAGCCTGGGTCCCAAGACAGGCGTCAAGCTTTGGGAGTATGCACGAGGCATCGATCGGACCGAGGTCGGCAACGAGACGATACGCAAGTCTGTATCTGCTGAAGTCAACTGGGGGATCCGCTTCGTCAATCAGAATCAGGCTGAGGATTTCATCCGATCATTGTGTGACGAGTTGCACAAGCGACTAGTCGAGAGCCTCGTTAAGGGCAAGCAGTTGACGCTCAAGGTGATGCGGAGAGCAGCCGACGCGCCGCTGGAAGCTGTGAAGCACCTGGGACACGGCAAATGCGACATTCTCAACCGAAGTGCCATGCTCGGCGTAGCCACCAATGCTTCTGACGTTCTGGGCAAGGAGGCCGTGGCCATGCTTCGCAGCTTTGGCATCTCACCCGGTGATCTAAGAGGATTGGGGGTTCAAATGACCAAACTCGAGCCGCTCAAATCCGGGTCTCCTCGCAAGCCCGACGGCAGCCAGCAACAGCTGAACTTCAAGGCATCGCCGATCCGCAAAAGCATCGAGCGACCTGAGGACCCGGACGACGTGGAGAGTCCTCAGCGGGGCGAGTCCGAGGCCGTCCGGTCCGTCCCCTCGATGCACGAGAGCGGCCACAAGCCGTTGAACATCTCGGGAACGCAATTCATCCTGCCTTCGCAGATCGACCCCCAGGTCGTCGCCGAACTCCCCAACGACATCCGCTCGAAACTGGTAGCCCAGGGCCGGTCTCGCCGCGACACGCGGTCGACCTCGCCCTGTCCGCCCACTCGCACGCGCCGACCCATAGAGGGCGCAGAGCTGCCTCCGCCGTCCCAACTTGACCCGGAGACACTTATGGCCTTACCAGAGGATGTCCGGGCCGAAGTACTAGGTTACTACACCCGCGACTCCAGCGACCCGGACAACCAAACCCCAGAACCCTGGACATCAGCACCTCCCACCACCACCACCAACCCTCCCCGCCCAACATCCTCAAGCTCAAGCTCTCTCAAACTCCGCAAACCCACCACGCCCACCAAACGGCGTCGCGGCCGTCCTCCCATCATCAAATCCAGCCTCGACACCACCCTAACGCAAGCCAAATTCATCCGCCTGAACCCGCCACCACCAGCAGCCTCAGCCTCAGCCCCTGCATCAACCACCACCACCATCACCACTGACCCAACAACAACAGAAGTCTCCGCCGACTTCCTGGCAGCCTTACCCGAAGACATCCGCCAAGAAATCCTCGAAGAACAGCGTCGAACCCGCCTCCTCCAGCGCCCAGCCCTGCACCCTTCAACCCACGCACGACCACCCTCCACCACCACCACCACAACAACAACAACAACAACAACAACAACAAGCAATGCACCTCCACAACCTCCCCGCGAGAAAACCATCTCCCTCCCCCCGCTCCCCGCACGCCCCACCTTCACCGCCAACCGCCTAACCTCCCTCCCGGACCTCCGCGACGCCCTGACAGCCTGGTACACCGCATTCAACCCCGCGCCGGACGAGGCAGGCGCAGTAGACAGAAACGAAGAAGACGAACAGGGAGAAGAAGAAGGCCCCTTCGACGAAGACATCCTCTCGCTCGCCCGGTACCTGAAACGGGTTGTCCTGGACGAGCGGGACCTCGAGAAAGCGGTCGCCGTCGTGCGGTGGTTGATCTGGTTGGTCGAGAACGATAACCCGGGGACCACGGCTGACCCCAGTGGCACTGGCGCTGGCGATGCGGACGGCCCGGCAAGTTCGACTCACAGGAGCGCCAGCGCCAGCGGGAGCGGTCCCGGGTCTGGGTCTGGGTTTGGGTTTGGGTTTGGGAGTTCGCAGGAGGAAGACGCTTTCAAGACGCCCAGTCCGAGCGGCAAGATCTCTAGGCCGAAAGGGTTGGATAGGTCACAGCGGCGACGGCAGCAGCGGAAGCAGCGGGTCGGGAGGAGGTGGGGGGTGGCCGTGAGGATGGTGAAGGAGAGTGTTTTGGAGGCTGTTGGGGAGAGGGGGTTGGGGGCTGTGGATTTTGATTGAGGGGGTGGGATGGGACGGGGGATTGGTTGTTGGTGTTTGCTGTGTTCCGTATGGGCTACGCAACTACCTACTTAGTCAGGTGTTGTATGTACTGTTTAGTTGAACTTGATAATTTGAGTAGAGGTTGGGGTTGGTTAGGGTTGCTGGGGAGGGTTATCGCAACCATTCAGTAGGGACATGACGAAGGGATACATGCCCCTGAACCATCCAGGAAATAAAGCACATACAGTACGTCTGGCAAAAACCTCGAAGCAGGTACCTGTTTCCACAGCCCCTGATTATACCCTCTCCACTGTACCCAAGCAATTCAAGCACCCACATACACACCCACCTCTACACAACCCATAATATAGCAGCATAAAAACACCTCAATCACTCAAGTGCACACACCCCAGCCCCCCCCCATCTACCTACAACAACAGCCAATGAATCACGCAACCCACCCCTCCCTCAAAAACCACTCCACCATCCTCCGCACCAGCCCCGCATCCCGATCCACCACCGTTCCGGCCCCCTCCAACGCGCGACTCAGACCCCTCGCCCTCTCCGTCCGGAACCGCAGACGTCTCCGCTCCGCCAACATCTCCTCGGGGAAGTCGTACTTCCCCGCAAAGAAATCCACCAATTTCACCGGCGGATTCGCTACGGGGTCCGGGTCCGCGCCGCGCAGACGCTGCACCCATTCCCGCGGGGGAAGTTCAACGAAGTCCAGCCCCGCGCGGCGGAGGGCAGGTAGGAGGTCCCGCGTCCAGTGGAAGGGGGTGGGATTGGTGATGTTGTAGATTTCGCCTTTAGCGGTGGCAGGATCAGGATCAGTGGCTGGCGCTGCGGGGCTCGAGGCTAATGAGATGTCGTTCACGGCGGTGGCGACCACATCCACCGGTAGCCAGAGGGGTTCCTCGTCCAGGGCGGGGAGGGCGCCAATGGTGCGGGCGGACTGGAGCATCAGGGGGATCGCCTCGGTGGCGTTCCAGATGCCGTGGACGGTGTCGCCGACCACCTGGCCGATGCGGAGGACCCGGACGGCGAAGCCGGGCACCGTGGCGGCGGCGTGGGCGCAGATGTGCTCAGCGACGAGTTTGGATTGCGCGTAGCCCATGCCCTGCGCGGCGGCGAGGGAGGACGGCAGGGTCTCCGGGACGGGGTTGAGGTCGGAGTTGACGACGGCGCTGACGGAGGAGCAGAAGTTGAAGGTGGCGGGGTGGGGCCGTTGGGCTTTGAGGCATAATCCCAGCAGATATTTCAGGCCGCCGAGGTTGTCCTTTTCCAGGCTGCGGAGAGTGACGTTGAAGTTGACGGACCAGGCGCAGTGGATGACGCTGGTGAGTTCGCTGGTGAGGGTGGTGTAGGTGGAATGAGGCAGGCCGAGGGAGGGGTCGTCGCTGAGGTTCGAGGGGAGGGCGATGAGTTTGCTGCGCGCCTCGGGGGCCAGAGAGGCGTAGAGGAGGCGCGTGGTGAGGGATTGGTGAAGCCGGGTGTAGGCGTCTATCGGGGAGGCGGCGCGGATGAGGCAGTAGATCTTCTTGACCTCGGGGTTGGCTGCAAGCTGGGCCACGACATGGCTTCCTAGAGACCCAGTTGCACCGGTGACGAGCTAGATGGAATCAGCGAACCAGAGAACTCATCTCCAATAGAGATTGAACACGACTTACAACGTACTGCCCGCCCAAGTCATTTGCACACGGCACATGCTGCTCAAACTGGCTATACTTCTTAATCATGCCCTGCATCTGCTCAACAATCGATTCACCATCATCCGTCACACCAGTCTTGAGATTGGCAAGATACCGAGCCAACAAGCGTATGCTCGGCTGCTCAAAGGCGATGTTGAGCCCCAGCTTCTGTCCATTCGTATCGATCTTTCTCAAGATCATCGAGCGCAGCTGCGTGGCTTGCAACGAGTCCATTCCCAGAGCAAAGAAGTCCGCATCGTCGGTCAGCAGGCCCTGACTCTTGAGCGGGAGGATATCCGCGAGCTGCAGCTTGAGGAACGACCGGAGCTCTGCCTCCGAAAGTACTTGAGTCCCCGTCATGGCGTCTTCAGCCTCGTAGGCCTCTTCAATCAGACGTTCGTATTCCCGGTAGAAGCCCTGTCTGATAACGGTTCCCTTGTCGGTGCGAGGATATTTTCCATCCGCGGGTAAGACACGCACCATACTCTTCGACAGCTGACCGAACGCAGGCATGGATTCGTGGGCTCGCTCGACGGCAGGCCAGATCGCTTCCACGATTTGCTCGTCCGACAGAGACTGAGAGTCAGGGGCACGGACGACCGCGAGCCCGATGCAGGCCTTGCCCGCCCCGAAGACAACAGCCTCGCTCACTGCACTATTCTGCCGGACGCGTCCCTCAAGGTCAAGCGGGTTCACCTTCTCGCCGTTCACAAGGACAAGCGTGTCGTCCAGGCGGGCGTAGTACTTATATGCGGTCATGGTGGGATGCTTCACAAACAGATCCTTGGTAGCATACGAGCCATCCGGGCGGTTAGACATGACCTTCGAAGGCCAGCCATCCAGACAAATAAGCTCGAACACCCCCGGGAACCGCTCCTCGAATTGCAGATACTTCTGGACCGTCTGCGACGGACGAAGCCAGTCCCACCCTTTGTCATCTCGAGGTCTTGTAGACATCATCAACTGGCCGGTCTCTGTCCTGCAATCCTTGTCAACACGCTTTCATTAACCAACCACAAAAGTACTTACGATCCATAGTGACTGATGAGATGTACCCCATTCTCAACCAGGAGGTTCCCCAGCGAGTCCGGACAAGCTGACCCGCCGAACATAACCGCCTTGAATTTTGCAAGCGCAGCGATACCCTCGGGGGTCTCCGCAAGCAGTTTGAGAGCATAGGGGACACCATAGAAGATCTCGAAGTCATGAGACTCCATGATATCAAGAAGGTACTGCCTGGTCAGCGGCAATTTAGCGTTATAGAGATGCAACTGTTTGCTGGCATGAATCGTGCGAAACAGGCAGCTGATACCGTGGTTGTGATACAGCGGCAGCGTCACAAACCCGGACATGTTCATATGGCCCGCATAATTCTTCAGGGCAGCTTGTTGGGTGTGGAAGATGGGCTTCGGGAGGCCCGTCGAACCACTGGAGTGGATAATCCACGCGATATATTTGGACTCCGCGACAGGATCCAGAGATGGCGTCAGGTTGGTGTTAATTTCTTCATCCGGGATGGGAAAGTCGTAGCATTCCTCGGTCGGAATCTCATCGATGAGCAAGTCGGGAACGCGCTTCTTGATCTCTTTGGCTGTATCTCTGAAGGATGAGTGGATGAAAATGTGTCTCGACTGTGTTCTTTCCAGCAACGACACATAGGCGTCGATCGATATCCGCGTGGACAGCAGCAGACCGGAATGTCCAAGTTTGGCCAACGCCAGGAGCATCACAAGATAATTGAGATCCGAGGGACCTAGTAAAGACATGACGGTGGGAGTTTCTGCGGAGGATGTCCGGGTCGGAATACTTTTGGCCAATACTTGGGCGACGCGGAAGGCGTAGACATCGAGTTGGCGAAGGGGGTAATCCACATACTCGATGCCGTTGTGTGGGTAGGAAATGACGGGCTGTGAATTTCCCAGAGATGCACGTTGGCGGACAAGCTCGTCGAGAGTCAAGGGCTCTCGCTGTGATGATGTCTGAAGGGACGCCTGGTCGCCCTGTGCGAGAGGTGCCCGCAAAGTAGGCGCTTGCGGGAGTATTGCAGAAAGCATTTTGGTTAAGAAAGCACTGGTTGTGCACTCAATGAAGATGACTATGTCTTTGAACAAACAGATCAGACTCCAGCTTTTATACGCATTGTTCCTGCAAGTTATCCGGTTCGCTCAAAACGCATGGTAGAAGGGTTCCGTTATGCACTTCCTGGTTTGGTGGAGGGAGGCATGGATATCCGATCAGCCCGGATATTTCTCCGAGCTCAACTACATACTTGCATGGCACCCTCATCGTGACGATCCAAGTCATTTCCGGGTCATTTCCAAGTTTAGTCTGTCTGTCTGGCTGGCTGCCAAGGCAGTGGAGCTTCACTATAGGCCTAGCGCGTCTACAACGCAGCAACTGCCCGGGCAACTCCAACACATGAGGAAGCATCCGCCGGAGTAAAGTCCAATATAGTACAGATCATCCTAAGTCGTGTAGTCAAGTCATATCATTAGATCGGTCAAAAGAGCCTGGCCAGGCATGCAGCATTTCCAAAACATCATGATCGAGTCGCTACATAGGGAACGTCGGCGGATCATTACTCAGATTTGTAAATGCCTACGCAAGAAGCATTCAGTCAGTCTCTCTCCGTGCCAAAATCATACCTCAAAAATATCACTTACCCAGGAGTCAATCTGCGTCCACAGGAGTGAGCCGTCCAAGCTATCCAGAAAACTCAGGTCTATCTCCGACTCCAAAGGCGACGGTGTAAAATTAGTCGGCGGGAATCTACCCGGATAATCATAGGAACCAGGCTCCAAGGGCCCAGAAGGATATATGCTAGTCAGGCTCAACTGTCCTTGCTCCGCCAGTGTGCCCGGATTCTGGCCCGGAAAGAAGACAGCGCGAAACCCCTCGGAGGTATCGCTGGATGAGCCAATCCGCCTACGGACTTCCCGCCTCAGCTCTTCCAGAATGATGCTGTAGCGGCGACTGGGTGAATTCTTCCGGGTGGCCTCTGCCAGATGCTGCTGGCAGGTTTCCGCCAGGCTGAAAAGGGAATGGAGATGGTGGACGTCCGCGACCCCAGGGGAGGATATCCCAAAGGTAGTAGATAAGCGATGCTGTTGGATTGTATATATGTACACCACAATGATGGCGCAGAAGCACACATAGTGGGTAAACCAGAACGATTGTATCAGGACCCTCTGTTTCGCTAAGCTATCCACTAACCCCATGGCTTGCTCGGCAGCCTCGATGCACTTGAGCACATGATGAGTTACCGTAGGATGGGGAATCTGTGGCGTGCGGCTCAGATCCGTAAAGTCGTTCAGCAAAAACGACCGC